CCCCACCACTCACCGACGCATAATCACAACCACCCCTGAGCTTTATCTAACCTTTGACCCTGAATCAAGTGACCCAGGCAGCCAAGTGACAAACCACCGGAACCGCAATTAACCTCCACCTGACAAAGAATAAAGAAGGGAACAAAAGATATAGAGTGAGTTGCCTCATCAAATAATACGGTAGTTGTTGGTACCTACTGCTGATGAATTAAGAAGAAGTGAAGAAATAAGAGAAATGCCTGGGCAACCACTAGTATCAACAGTTAAAAGCAGGAGAAGATTGCGCTACATTGGATACACCATAAGAAGAAACCAGTAAAGAAACACAAAACAGGCATTAAAATGGGAAATAAAGGGATTGAGGAGGCGAGGACGTTTAAAAGAAACCATAGGACGAACGTTGATAAGAGAGGTTAAAGCTGCTGGATTGGATTCCATCTATGATATTGAACTGATTGCACAGGATAGAACAAAATGGAGAAATAGACTTCTTCTTCCTCTTCTCCTCCTCCTGCATCAGTGAACATGTTAACCATACAATAACAAAAGCATGCAAAGGCTTAGCAATGACAGTCCTGGCCGTTGCCAAATTGGAGCAGAGGCATCTTCTGCTTCTGTTCCAGGGACTTGTTAGTTCTCCCATCGAATATGTTTTAGCCATTCTCACTCTCAGCCATACTCAGGCTGAAAGACTTGAAAAGGTGCCCCCCCCCCCCATCCCCAAAAAAAAGCTAGGCTCAATATTCTGGGGTGCACAAGAGACATCTTAGATATTTTCTTGACTTTCCTACCATAAACTACAGGATCAAGATTTTGAGGGCTCGCGCATACTTGAAGGTAACCTTTGATCTGAAGCACCATTTGCAGCACATGCTCTTCGGGAAGGGGGGGGGGGGGGAGTTCAGGAGACTAAAAAAGTGGCAAATGATGGCTGGGTAGGGCAGAGGATGATATCAAGCAGGTCTGCAGTCTTACAGGCATCCACTCTAGTGAGGATGGATACCAGTGCCTAAAGCGCACCTTCTTCTGTGTCTTCATGCTTGATAGGAGTTATCTTGAGCAATATCCTGTTGTTTTCAATGCCGACTTATCAGTGACAGTTCAGGTGACACAGATGTGTTGATCTACACATTGGGGGGCATTATACGTGAACATAAGAGTGCATGGGCATTTATAGCACCCTGTGCAGTCAGAACAGTGACTATTACTATAGAGGCTATGGAGGTGACACAAGATTTCATGTGGCTAGAATGAGGGGGCAATTCCTCTGTCTGTCTGTTTGTGCGTGCGTGTATGTGCGTGCTGAGTGATTCTTAGCATGTTACATCTGGGAATGACCAGGGAAGCTGGTCAACAGTCTACACTCAGAGGCAACACAAGACAGACATATAATCAAACTGCTACTGGCACCATTAGAAGTAGAATGCTTTGCTGACTGCTGAGATGAGGACAGAGTGCCATAATATGTTCTTAACTCAACACTTAACATAGTCAAGCTAGTTAGTGTAAAAAGCTTGTCAGTATCTGTGAAACAAGTCTATTCAATTCAGTTACGGTCATAAGGATCATATTTACATTTGCACCTGGTTTCTTTCCGCAGAGCAGCTAGCTGCCTGCCAAAAGCATCACAAAAGCACAAACCCCATAGCTCCAGCAACAACCCAGTGATCTCTACAAATTTCTCCAGTTAATCAAATGTTGCATCGATGAAAGGAACCAAAAACCTTCAGTGAGAGAAGGAAACGGCTTGATCACGTTGTAACAGAACGCATTGACTTTATGAGCCCCGAGTGTCTTCTTCCCTCTTGTACGAGTGCATTACTTGTCGCTTGTTCATTAGCCATTTCTTTAACTCTTTCAGTCCCAACCAACACATCAGGTGTGATCAGCTACTGCCCAGGTATCCCAGACAATGCAGGATGTGATTCGATTTTTATGATAAACGTGTGACCCATTTTATTAAAATTCAGCACAGTATCTTTTATGCTCGAAGCTATATGCTATCCCAATGAAAGTAATGCATGCATGCTTTATTCCTTGTATCTAAGTACTCATTAGGCTTCTTCAAAGAGATTTTATGGGACTGAAAGAATTAAGCATGCACAGGTGTGTAGATCTGGGTGAAGGAAGTGAAGTGTGACTTCCAGATGCTGTTTACATATGCAGAGCAAAGACTAGATATCAGTAAAATTAACTATTGAGCCAGTAAACAAATCATGTCAGTAGCACATGAAACGATGTAGTTTTTATTGCAAAATTTGCAATGCTGTTTTACAACATTCACCTTCACATTATAATTATATTTTGTAATATTTACAGCAGCAAAAAGAAACATTAGTTTAAATAATAAATTATAAAATTAGAAACACAGTACATTGATATATTGTGGTAGTGTATGCAAACACTGTAGTAGTTTTAACTGATATTTTTCATAGTATCTGTAATGAAACTGACATGAGTTTCTTTGTTTAGGCAATGTGAGGATGTGCAATTATTATTAATAATTAGAGGATCTCTAATTTAAAACTTATCATAGAAATGGACAAAACTTATCACAGAAATGAACAGGATCCGCAGCACTTAGAGGATGCAGAAATCATTTACAGTGCAAAATTATAATCAGAACTGAACTGTATGAAAACAGAAATTATGGTCTTCTCTATAAAGAAAGGACAGAAAAAAAAAAGTAAAGGACTCTTATACAAACCTTCAGGCAGACATTTAGGGCTAGACCTATATTTTATAGACCAATCGACATTCGGCAGGTGATGTGGTCAACATGATGCCAGCCACCTTTACTTCCCAGGACTATATCTGGTACCCACTCAAGGCTGGGTCAAGCCGGGAGGTTATTTAAAAAAAAAAAGTCTGCTTCCATCAGGACCAGAACCCACAATTTTAGTATCAGCAGGCGAGTGTCTAGCCACTACACCACTGCGGTTAAGAAAGATCTACTGTGTAACGTCTATGTAAACGGGGACATTCTTACACAGGTGAATCAGCACAACAGTCACAGAACATCATAACTTATGATGCAAGATGTCTTGTACAGAGGTGCCTACCTGAACAGGACCGCAGGTTTCACCCAGCTGATGTAACTTTTACAGACACTCTAATTATAAATTATTTTGAGACTGAACCGGGTATCTGTATCTGTCTTGTTAGTCTGCCTTCCAGAATAAGGTTTTTAAATCATAGGATGGTATGTTAAAAATCTCAGACAGCAACCTGAAGAGGACAAACCAATCAATCAGCTGATCTTCTGGTAGAGATTAGAACAACAATCACCAAGCCAGAAACAACCATTTGCAAGATGAAAACACAAAAAGTTGCAGTTACAGTAGAAACAGCCGTAGGAAAGCTAATAATTTAACTATCCAAGCTGGAACGAAAAAATAACAGTACATGCAGAAACTGAGAAAAACAACTTGTGCCAAATAAAGAAACAAAAGATCAAATAGTTTGGCCTGTTTGTTAGAATTTTGTCAGAAACATGAATTATGAACACAGGTGCTACATAACAGATCTAATAAGAGAATAACAGGGTGCCCAAGGAGAGAATAGATTAATGGCATTAACTTTCTGTCCCAAACTATGCACTATACCTGACTGGGTATTATTCATGTGCACTAGTCTACATATTACTTAAGTCTTTATATCTTATATTTAGTGAGTGACTTTGAATAACTCTGACAACATATATGTTTTCTGCAAGAATTGTATATTTTACCCCTCTAGAAGTAGTATACAAATGAGTTTTGTACTGCCATTCTCAAGTCCCTCGGACACTAGCTAGGACCTTTTGGGACTGAAGGAGTTAAAAATAAAGGCAGGTCTTGCAGTAACACAGGCCATCACCATGAGCTGTGTGTGACTACCATGCTTTCCACAGCACAGTATACCACCATCGTCTGAAAAGGTGTCAAAGATTCTATTAAATAAAATGGGAATTGATAAATGGTTAAGAAGAGCATTAGATGATCAGCCGGCCACATCATGGTGAAAGATATCATTAACAAAATACAATTTAACTGTGCGCTTTCACTCTCAGTAGACATAAATGTTGTTTATTCAGACTGAAAGATCAAGAAACCTTATATAAATATAATAACCGATTAAAGCTAAGATATGCAAACATCAGCAACAACCCAAAAAAATATCTTATTTTATTATCACAATAATATTCAATATTTGATATCTTAAAATGTTGATGAACCCTTTATGTGAGTTTATCCCCGTCCCAGTGTGGGAAGCCATTACAAACATTTTTTTTAAATACTCACCTCGGCTATCACCAGGGTCCCTAATTATAAACTATGGATCGAACAAGGGTTTCTGTGACTTGCGAGCTTGTGATTCTCATCCCAACTGTTGCATTCTGTGTCACCGGGTGTTTATTGTTTGTTGTGCGGTGCTAGTGGGGTTAAACATCTGATAAACCCAAATAAAAATTCACTATAATGCAGTTAATGATAGGAACATTCTTTGTTGATATACTTGTGGCAATGTAAGACTAAAGTAGTGACTGTATAAGTAGGAATATGGGAAATGGACGGCATAGGAAAAACATGTATAACATGTTGCAGTTACACAATTTAAAGAAAGTGTACACAATGGGTAATTTCATTTTATGTACATTTGGTCGAATGCAGATTTGCTGTGCAATCAATCAATCAATCCTCATCATGCAGGAAAAGTTAATTTATATCTAAAACATGAGATTTGCTTGAATGTAGATTTGCTATGCAGAAAGGGTTAATTTGTATCTAAAAACATCACACAGATGTGATTGAATGTGGATTCGCTATGCAAAAAGGGTTAATTTACAACTAAAAACATCTTGCAGATATGATTGAATGGGGATTCACTGCTCAAAAAGGGTTAACTAAAACAATGTAGATTTGGTTGAATATGGATTTTTTTCTGCAAAATTGGTAACTTACAACTGAAAGCATCATATAAACTGGATACTATGAAAACAGCATGGGATAAAAATGTGACTATCCAATCCCACCAGTGTGCATATCTTCTATAACCTCTTCATCCACAAACTCTCCAGGTTCTCCCTCGTGATCCCCAGCTCCCATTCTGAAACCATTGATGTGTTCACTCCGCAGGCTCTTGTCCATGGGCAGAGACAAGGCTGAGTGGATTGCTTCTACAGTGGCCATGTTGACATAATAGCCCAGTTGTACCCCAGGCAGGCGACTCTGAAGTTCTTTCAGGTGGGTATGAGCCTAAGGAGTACAGAGGTAAATATTAGTTTGGCTCTTTAATTCTTTCTGTCCCTGGCAATAATCAGAATAATAAAGACACACACACACAAAATTGTACACCTTTTGCCCCACATATCCTGCTGTTTTGACTGCTAATTTCACACCAGTGAACTTGAGTCCTTTGCCATATGGCTTGCTCTCTCTCTCCACAGAATGGCTAGCTGCTTGTTGATAGCACTGAACAAAGCATGAACTCCTCAGCTATAGTGATGAGCCCTCATGGAATTCTGTAAAAATTTAACCTATGAACTGAAAGATACAACCATGAAAGAAGCTCACACCCTTCAGAGCATGAAGCAAATAGCTGGATCACTTCACCATGGAGTAATTGCAGAGGATTACATGGTGAGATCTTAGTCTCTTCTATGATGGCCAGCCATATCCTCTACCATGTCTTCAACACATATGATGTGTGCCAGACATCGCTGATTTGCTTTTCAAGCTGTAGATTCTTCTGACTTGTTTACCATCCAGTATTTTGTATATTATTTACAAACAATCAATGTTGGTTAGTAGGATGTAACTCCTACTTCACTCGTGTAGTTTAACCAATTAGCATTGTTCTTTGCCACCCCATCCTCCTTCTTTTGGTTTCTCCTTCTCTTTTTTCAATTCTCCCCTCCTTTTTTTTTTCTTTCTTCTCCTCCCTGACAAATATAATTTTTGCTTTTTCATCCTCTTCTTTTCTTCTTCTTCTTCACAAACACAACATAGTCTGCTAATAAAAATTGTTTTTCTAGCAGTCAAAGACTGGAAATAACATATGTAGACTGACACCAGAAATAAATATAACGACTCTGTTTAGAACAATGAAGTACTGACCAACAATTAATTAAAATTAACAAATGTGACAAAGATACAATATTATAATCAGAATAACATTAGAAATGGGACCCAACGGGCAGCAGAAAAAAAAAAAAATAATAATTATCAGAAGGAAAACTAAACAATAGTGACTAAATAAACAGGTTAGTTACATGTCCTAACCCTAACTTTTTTGTGGCTTTTGGGTCGTTCTAATAGGCAGTTATTATATACTGTAGTCGTCTTTGCTTTATAAATGTAAAAATGTCATTCCATTGTGAAAATCAATGCAAAGTAATCTCCTACAGAATCACTTGCATTTGACTTTGAACCCTGGTATCTCAGGATTGTGAATTAATGTCCCAAATAAATTAAGGAACTAGAATATATTTTGAAAGAAAAAAACCATAAATAATTTGATTGTTACAACTTACAGCCTTCCATCGCTGTGTGGAAGCATAGTGTTCAATCAAGAAGCCGTAAATATCCCCAATCCTGACATCTGTATCTATGTTCTTCTCCTCAAGCAGACTTTGGCATTGCTTGATTGCCTCCTCTGGGTTCTCTGGATACACTCTAGTGTGTTTAAACAGAAAGATCACAACCAAGAAGAACAGTTGTAGAATTAATGTGTTTTTAAAAGATGTAAATACATACAGTTACCAAGTATGATGTCAAACAAAAACAAACTACTCAGCAACTGTCTTCAATAAACAGGACACTTTTCATGCTTTGAGCTCCCTGTGTGGTTCAAGGGCACTATCCTGACATGGGGGAGGGGGAAAGAACAGACCTCATGCACCCCCTCCCCCCAATAAGCATGTCATAAAAGGTTACTCATTAGGGGTGTTTTCTTCAAAGTCAGTGCAACAGTCTGCACACAAATAAGCCAGATGTGTAAAACACTTGAGAGCAAAACTCACGCCCTGGAAAAAGACTCAAGTCAACAAGTGTGTGAACAACCAGAACTTTCCGTTACAGTTTACAGCTGTGAATTCAAAGAAGAAGAAAAAGATGCCTTGGACACATGGTGCTAGCCCAAAATGTGGATAATCATGTCCTTCTTATCAGACTGTCAATCATTTCTAAAACAAATGTTCTCCCATGCCATGTTGCCAAATTGTCCTGTATCATTTTTCATGCTCTTTCTCTGATTCTTATCAACTTGAACTTTCTTGTTAGCACAATCAAAACAAAACAAAACAAAAACAAATTAGGTGGTCATCTTCTGGTGCAGGAAATCAGTTCTCTCCATGAGTTAACTTCTTCCAAGAAATTCTCACAACACTTGATATGTTCTCGTCAAACATCTGTAAAATCACATCTCCGCATCTTGCACAAATGTTTTGTTTTTTCCTACTTACTAATTGACTGTCCATGTTTATATATCGGACTCATGAATAGCAAGATTAAGAAACACAACTTGGCAGACTGATTTTATTTATATTTCTTTCTACCAAATGTGTATCCATTCTTTCAGCTGTTGCTTTTCTTTCATTCATTCATTCACTGCCCTATTGTGTCATTATATATCACAGAGGGCTTGGAGTCTTATTTCTCTCTTCTCTTCTATCCTGTGCAGTCACTGCAAATCGTCTTTGGCTTCTCTCATTAACATTAATCTTAAGGCATCTTTTGGACGTCCTTGTTTCCTCTATCCTTCCATTTCCCATTTCCCATTTGAGTGCCTGTTTGGTGATTCTCAGTTGGTCTCTTTCTAAAACTGTAGTCTTTACATCACTCTATTTGTCCTCAATGCTTTGATCTCCCTCCACTTCAAGAGCCTCAGATCTGTTTTTCAGCTGAAGCTGGTAATGTTCTTTCAATTTTTTTCATTGTGAAGTCTTTGGTTTTCTATTCTTTGTTGCATATTTCAGCTGTAGCTTGTTAATTATGAACACAATTATTTAGTTATGTTATGTTTTCACAATCTACATCTTTGCACATTGGGCACGACCATGCGTGCTCAGTCCTCCTATGCAGCAGCCACTTCAAGGTACCCCTACTAACTGTTCCAATGAGGAGGTGGTTATGTTATCTCCTGACTTTACCTCGAAGATGACATAGAAGTGCTTCATGAAGCTTATCTCCTGGGTCATGCAGTCATGTTAGCGCCATTATCCCTCAACTTAGTCCATACAACATTGATGATATCAGTTCTATCCACATTTTGTAATATTTGATACATTTGGATGAGGTAAAATTCTCTGGAAAACAATTTCTCCAACAACCTGACAGCCAGCACTACCAGTGGGTTCAAGTAGACAAAGTTTGTCAGTCATTATCATCTTCATCATCATCATCCTGTTGTGCCATTATGCATCACAAAAGGCTCACCATTTATATGTCTGTCCATTCCATTCTAATGTGTAAACTTTTCAATATTACAAGTAGAATCCAGTCCAGCACCTCTAACCTTTCTCATCAGCATCTTCTTTAGGGTACTCACATGTTGTTGTTGTTGTTGTTATCGATCCAGCGGCGCATGAGCTTTCGCCCTTTGGCCAAATGCCATGCTGTGGAATTTGCATGTTTTCACAAGCTGTTCTTTTCCTCCGTACAAGGTGTTCCACTTGTCTGGTCTCGGAGGGAGTAGCATTTTTCTAGTCTCGCTGAGTTTTGGGCATACAAAGAGAAGGTGTTCAACAGTTTCGTAGGGGTAGTTACATAGCTGGCACTCTGGGGAGTGTTGTGGTTGTATTCTGTTTAGATGTCCACTGAGTGGAGTATGTTGTGTTCTAAGTCTGAAAATGGTGGCCTGGTCCCTTCTTGTTAGATGGTTAATGCTGTCATTAGGATCAGGGCCTGCCATATGTCTATAAACATCACTTCCAGTGTCTCCCATGGCCCATCTGTTCAACCAAGTCTCTTTGTTTTTAGCTTTTATCAGTGTTTTTGCTGTCTATAGGGTTGTCGCTGTAGGTGGTTGTTCTTGTGTTGCTCCTTTCTTTGCCAATCTGTCAGCTCTGTCATTACCTGGTGTGCCGGGTGCTCACATAAATATCCTTGTTTCCTCAATCCATTTGCTTCAGATATCGTTCCTGTTTGCTCATTCTCAGGATATGCCCACTGCAGGGCCATCTCCTTTATCTTGTAACTATTGATACCAGCAGTCATCCAGACATTCTCTCATTTCTTCACTCTTCTTGAATTCATCCCATATTGTTATCTTCTTCTTCTTCACATTCACCGGCTGTAAACTCCAGCGGAAAGTTCTGGTTGTTCATCCACCTTTGGACTTCAGTCTTGGTCCAGATTCTGAGGATTGTGTGCACATTTTTTTTACAGATCTGATATAATTGTATGCAGATTTTGGGTTCCTTGCCTCTCAGGCAGATGTACTCCGACTTCGAAGGAAGCTCCCCAATTAGTCGACACTGATGACATGCTTGTTGTGGGTCTATTCTTGTTTTTGCCATATTGCGGCCCCGGAACCTAAACAGGCAATCCCATTTAGTGTTCATCAGTGTCCTCAGGCATTTCTTTTAAAATGCATTTAGCATTATAATGAATTTAGCTTTATATTAAATATAGTGAATAACCTCTTACCGTCTGGCCATGGCAAATTTTTTTATATTTGCCATTTTATGTTTGAGAGCCTCAAGTTTCTCTTCCTGCATCATGGGGTCATCCTGCTTGGCTTTTGAGAGGCATTTGTAAGCTTCCCCGAGGGCACCCAGAGCTTTGTCATAGTTCTGATATTCGTCAATCTCAACCTGATAGTTCACAAACATGAGCAAATTAGCGAAATGTTGTTAAACAAATAAAAAAGACACAGGTAAAATATTCTACACACTGAAAGACATAACACACTTTTAAAAATAAAGCAACGCTTCCCCATTGTAAGCTTGAACAAAGAAGGCCAAACAATAGACTGCGATATTTATTTCCTGGTGTGTACAGCTGTATCTCTATCTCATCACATGCATTTATAGTAAGAAGCAAATTAAATGAAGAAAACACATGAATCCTCTCAATCAAAATACAAAATCAACTGCTCTCAAAAGTAACTGCACGTTTTAACAGGGCAAGAGCAAATTCACTACGCTTTCTTTCTGTTTATACAGATATGGACATAAGTGTTAAATAGTGACTGCTTCAAGAAAGCTTAACATTCTGCCATCAGTATATATTCAGTTTGTATATTCAGTTTGAGGTTTTTATCTGTTTCTTGGAGACTGCATTATTTGTCTGATATTATCCAAAGACTTTAATACACGTCTTTGAGCTTGCTAGCCTGTTGGTCATGATAAATAACAAAGACAGAATAGACAATGTGTATTCTTCTTGAGCCTACCATTGGAAAGAAGCTTTGTTTTGCAACCTACTAGACAATGCAGGTCAGAACAGCTATTCTAGGCTATCAAGGTGCACATCAAAGTCAGAAGCATCTTCATCATTGTACAGGGTTTTATCCAATATGCCTTGGTCTCTCTCTCTGCAGACCACCTGGCTGCCAGCAAAGAGCATTGCACAGAGCACAAACTCCACAGACAATCACCAAGATCTCTGTTAAAATCACACTTGTGAAGAGCTGAATGACACAATGAAATGAACTTGCAACTCTTCAGAGATTGAGGTAAACAACATGACCTCTTAGCTAGGGAGACCCTGGAGGGCAAGGTGTTTTGGTTTTTACAAGATGATGTGCAGGGAACTGCAGCCTGAGGGTGATCAAGATGTGCAACATTTATTATTTCAGCAGATTTTACTCGGGAAGAGGAGAGGTGAAACTAAACATAGGAAGTATAAGAAGCAAGAGAAATGTAAGCCTAAACTTTCAGTTTATTCAGTCCTGTTTGTTTTTTGTTTTGTTTTTAATGTTTTGCTTGTTATTCCAACAATGCCCATTGTTAAAGGCCTCAACTCATTGTTTTCTCTTGCAGGTACCAGAACAACTAGTGGTTTAATGCTTTAAAAAAATACGTTTTAGTACTGAATGACAACAATGTGTAAATTCAGGGAAATATTCTAGCCAATAAATAAACTGAACTAAGTCAACATACCTGGGCACAGGCATCATAAAAAGAAGCCAGAGCGTCCAGAGCTCTGCCTTTGGTGTAGAAAGCAATAATGTTTTTCATGATTTCTGGATCCTTCCTCCAGTCCAGGGACTGGAGATAGTTTGCTGCCATGACATAAATCTCCTTCTGCCTGGACACACCGGCAAAGAAGACAATCTTCTCTGTGTCACCAGATTTCAAAAGAGCTTTCATAGCCTGGAATAAAAGACAAAAAAGAACAACTATATACTAAAATCTAGAATGGCAAAGAAATAAGAGAAATGTCTTGAAACTGCTAGTATCAACAGTACTGTGAAAAAATCATAAGAAGCAGATGAAAAATTACTTATCAGGCAGCTAAATTGGAAGCAAACGGACTGAGGAAACAAAGATGTCCAAGAGAAATCCTATGATGATTGTTGCAGAGGGAGGCCAAAGGGGATTGACTGGATTCATTGACAGATTGCACAGGATAGAATGGAATAGGGGAACTAGACTGTGAGCCCTATGTGACACATAATGACATCACAGACGATGATGATGAATAAAATATACAGATACATGATCATTTGAAAGAACATTTGAGCCAGTGATTCTCAAACATTCTGTTCTTGGAGTAGAATTCTTGCAGTTTAAGCATGCTACCAGAATAATAATAAATCCACATTTGAAAACAGTAAGGCTAGGATATTTATTTTCACCAAGAATATTCAATGTTTGTCAGTGTTTGTGGCTCAGGGGTTGTCAACACAGTTTCATGGGCATGGTCAAAAGCCAAAGAATGCAAACTCCCAGAAAAATCTTTTTCATTCCCTCCAGTTACCTCATCAAAGTGTTGGACGAAGATGTAAGGATCTTCTGTGTGCTACCTCATCAAGGTGTTGGACGAAGATGTAAGGATCTTCTGTGTGCTCTTTCTAATGTGTTGCATGATTTGATTTTTATGTTTTGAGGCTGTTCTTGATGCTACCATTCCAGATATCCTATGGTCTTTTCCTTGCTCTGTATTCATAATATTTCTTCAATGTGGCTCTCTGTTGCAGCTGGTACCAGGTTACTCCCATCACATGACCAAACCACCTCAGATGCTGAGCTTTAATAAAGTGTATGTGGTTGCTCTAAGACGTCTTTTCTCTGTTGTTATGGTTTTTCACTCTTTAGTTGTAGTAAGGGACCATTTTTGACCCTGATAGCAATGAGTTAACAAAACAAACAAACAAGTTTTTATTAGATTAACTTTGCCGGGAATAACCCAGTTAACAAATTCCTGCAGAAACTGGATGTTTCAGCCAAAAGGTGCAAATATCACAGCCGCGCTGTAAATGGGGACAATGCAACTACATTTTCGCATGAATGCAGAAAAAGAAGAAGAAGAAGAAGATGACTGCCTTGGTAGAGAAAACTACATGTCAGATTAGAATATACTGAACCACAGGTTTGATAAAATAGTACAATGTAACTTGTTTCTAGATGGTGAAATCTCAAAGCACATCTCAGTTCTTGCTGTAGCTTCATGCTTAATTTACCATTAGTTAACATGAAAGAAACTACTCAACCAATAATAAATATCTCAAGTGTTTCTGACCTTTATCTTATTTCCAGCCTGCGTGAATTTCTTAGTCGCCAGGTGGTAGGCTCCTTGATGCATGCACACTTCTCCGATGGCTTCCAGAATCTTGTTTCTGGCCACTGGGTCCATGTTAAAGTCTTTGTCCGGTGTCAGCTTCTCTGCAAGATCCTCTGTTATCTCTACTGTCTGCTCATTACAGATGGAAACAGCTTCCCAGTACTGAGGGAGAGAAGAGCACAGGACAAGTTAAGTACTCTGTTTTAATTACACTACCCTTCTTTCATGATGCTTATATAAAATCCAAACTAGTGCTAACAAGTGGTTAATGTGTTATTTAATTATATATAATTGGTAGAATAAGTATTTGTCTTTCAAGGAAATACAAAAATTTATATCTTGTGCCATTTTTTTTCAAATGAAAATATAATTATTACATAGAATTGTAGATGAACTTTGTAAAGACAAATTATTTAATCTCTTCTGTCCATTAAACTATATGATACATTATATGTATCTTTTTAGTGCATTAACTACATGTTTTCCAGCTTTCAATCATCATTTACATTGAAATTCCAAATTGTTTGACAAAGTCTGCTTGCTGTCTGTTCTAGTTTCAGTCTGCCATAAATTCCTGCCTGACTCTCTGATGTCTGCTCAGTGTGTCTGAGAGCTTTCTCTGACAACACCTGCTAGCTGTTTTTGAGAGTTTTCTCTGACAATGGCTGCTTGCTGCATTCAAGAGTTCTCTTTGAGAATGTTTGCTCACTGCATTTGGGAGTCTTCTCTGACTACAGCTGCTCACTGTGTATGATAATTCTCCCTAACTAGTTTTTTTTCTCAAAAGAAGCAATGGTAAACATGAATCGCATCCTTCTCCTCAGGTTTTTCCATTGTGCATTTTAGTGCTCTTTGATGATAGCTTCTTCCTCTCTGGATCTGACCAGCTAATAATTTGGCACAAGAGAGCTAGGGATAGCCATCATTATCTAATCTAGTTAGCAGGACTAAAATAAAAACAAAAAAACATTAAGGTCATCAAACCAAATCAAAAGTATGCAACACACAACAAAGTGACCCTGAATACTGACCTTTCTACCTATAGCCAATAAGTCCACAGCTTTGTCATATTGTTCATTCTCCATGAAGAAGTCTGCACACCTCTGGAGCAACTCTGGATCAGCTCTTTCATCTAGATCACCAGAAATGAGCTGTAGAGCCCCAAACTGTTTAGTTGTGAAAGCAAGCTCCAGAGCTTTAGAATAATTGCCAGCCTGTGGGGAAAAACCATACCATGTATTACAGGCATGACCAAGCAGTCTGCATTCAGGAACCATACAGGAAATTCTTAGCAGACTGTAATTATTTGTGAGTCTGCAGTGGCTTAGCATTTGCCTGTTGGCCTGGTGGTCATATGTTGGAATCCCCACAGAGACACATTTTTACAACTGACTGAGCCTCAAGCCAACCTGGCCTAAAATGGGTACAAGGAAATGTTCAGGAAAGTGAAGGCAGTTGACAAGGTATAAACTACTGAGTGCCAACTGAACTATAAAAGGGAGATAGGTAAATTTTACCCCACTAGGACATCACACAGAGCGATAAACACCAGGTGACATAAAGTGCCACCATGCAGATGAGGATCACCCATGGAGAGGTCCTGGAAACCGCATTCAACTATAAGGCTATAACTGCGACCCCTGGCAAAAGCCAGGGTGGGGTTTCAAAATAACAAGAAATTGCATCCCTCAAGGGGGATGACAGTCAAAGAATTGATCTATACAAATATTAGTCATGCACCACATTCAGGGCCATATGTAGGTATGTGCAGCTGAAAAAGGCGGCAACATTTTGATGATGACAAAATATAATTAGTAGTAAAACATTTTAAAATATGTTTGTTGCTTTTACATTAGGAAACCAGCATTCCTCATGTTGATTCCTGACCCCTGCTGTAGGGAAAACAAGAACAGACCCACTGCCTACCCAAAAGCATGTCATGACTAATTGGGAGCTTCTTTCGAAGTGTACGTCTGCCTGAAAGGCAAGCAACCAACAGTCTACATGCAAATGGGTGAGACATGTGAAACAGATGTGCACACAACACTGAGTTCTGGAACAGGAATACAGCCCAGAAGTGGACGAACGATCAGAACTGTCAGCTGGAGTTTAGAACCAATGAACACAAAAAAAGTAAGTTTTAGCATTAAAAGTTGGCAGCACTCAGCTAATACACAACAGCTATATGGGCTAAACTGTGGTGATTATTTTCTGTGTGTTTACCAATTTACCATATATTTTTTTACATCGAAAAAATTTATACATTTTTTTACTTGTAGATCTGAACAGTTAAGTTTCAATACTTCAATACAGTTTAAAAGTAAACAGTTTTGCAACTTATCGCTGGTAGTCTAAAAATTGTAAAAACTTTACTCAGGAACTAAACGATGCGTCTGTGAAATGAGCCCATGACCTTCAGAGTGCGAAGCAAACAGCTTTGCCACGGAGACCCTTGGACCAGCAATGAATGTGGAAACAAATGGAGTGAGCTAATGAAAAGACAAATGCTGGTCAGAGAGGTAAAGGTGAGGGCCTGGGTTCCATCCATGACAATAAAAAAGATGGCACATGTAAAGCAGGAAAGCCCTATGTGATGTGTCAACAACACAAAGAGATGATGCTGATGATCATTATGTGTGGTATATTCTTGTTTCCACAAGCAGCTTTTCTAGTATGGAAATATTTTACAGTAGCAGCAGCCCACCGATAATCTCTGCTCTACTCTGGTCCTGACAGCAACAACAATCTGTAAACCACTGAGAAACCTTTAAGGAAAATGGTAAAAGCAAACTATAAAAAAAAAATACTGGATGAAATGATTGAATGGTGTAACAGGACAATTAACATATCTGATAACAGGCTTGACTCAAGACTAGCAACTAAATGAGGTGGTAAACCATGACGACTATGCTAATGCCTACATTCCACCCTGAGTGACCATAATGCCAGAGTGAACTGCCCATCTTCACAAAATCTTACCTTGTGGTACAACATAACTGCTTTATCTTGGCTACCTTGTTTGGCCTCATAATATCTGGCTGCCTCAATCATGTCTTCTGGACGACCCATCAGTGCCAAGTTGAGGAGCTGGTCTTCAAAGCCATGCTCCTGTTGGACACAATATCATAAAATTCAGTGACTGACTACCTTTTTTGAGTAGAGGAATCAAAGACATTCAATATCCCAATTAGAAAGAAAGTACAGGCTACTGAGGTGTGGTTTGTTTATAGATTAAATTAAATTGTAGATTTTAGAATCAACATTATAGCCTGGACATATCCAAAGATGCTGTCTTCCGCAGCACACACTGTAAGAGGTAGATGTTAATTGTTCTGGTACAGATGCAAGAGTGGTGCCTCAGACTCTCAGTCTGGAAAACTACCTGGCATACAAACACTACTCTCCAAACTAGGCAGTTGGTGTAAGGTAATGATGCAATGGATACCATCTCACTGTGGAGTTCCTGGAAATGAAAGAGCTGATAAACTAGCTAAGGAAGGTGCAAATTAAAAACAACCTGATGTACCAGTCTCTTATCAGCAAAAGAAAAGAATAATCAAATCAATCAGAAAGCCACCAAAACTGGCACAAGATGATTACCATTTTATGGACAGACCAGAGCAAGTTATTTTTCTATGTCTTAGAACAGGACACAATCGACTGCGCAGCCACTTGTACACAAAATTTAAAATCTGTGAATCAGCCATGTGTGGACTGGCACCTGAGAAAACAGATCATGCCCTCCAAGACTGTCCCAAATACAACACATCAAGGCAAAACTTTTGGCCAAGAGAATCATCAGTGCAAGTCAAATTTTACGGACCGCTGAGTAAATTACAAAAGACAGTGAAGTTCACACTAGAGACAACATTGCAGACATAGATAATTTATTTCAAGCGAACGAAAGAGGAAGAAGAATTTTACCGGTAGCATACTGTTTCTGCAAATGTCATAATCTGTCTTTCATATCCTTTCCTGTCAGACCCACACATCATTCTAAAGTCTTTTAAATAGGTTGTTTCATTTAACAGTGCATTTTTCACCATAAAAAGAAAATATGATCCGTAGACCTAAGAATGTTTGGTTTAGTCACTACAGGTAACCTTGCCGCTGTCCTTTGTGTAGCAAAAAAAAAAAATCTACTTGTAAACTGCCTTGTATTCCTGCATCATCAATCAGGTGCCATCTTCGCACTGAAGGTTGGCTGCAATGATCTCCAACACACTACATCTCTTGCCTTGGTTGGTCACTCTCTCAGACTACTGTTCATCCATCTCCTGATGTTGTTCTCACACTTGTAACATTGTCTACCTCTTGCCCTCAACTTTTTCCTCCAGTATTGTTTTTAAAAGTGTTATGTCTTTTAATGTGGCCAAAGTAATTTAATTGTGTCTTTTTTTTGTTTCTATCAGCAATTCACTTTTCATGCGTATTCTTTCCAGAACCTCTGTACCGAAATGTTTTTGTTTCCATGAAATTTGACCTTGGTCTTCTGTCTTTCCACATTTCCAGAGACTCAATTCAATTTTCTAGTTGCCTGTTCATTATCTAAGTATCTGCACCATACAGCAGGGTTGAGCATATACTACATGTGAAGATTATCATTTTTAGTGTATTGTTTATTTTTCTAGCTGTCATTAATTTGTGCATCTCACTGAAGAATGACTTATCATCCTTAATTTTAGTTTCCTGTGTCATTATACAGAGTTACAAACAAGTATGCAGACAGGCTTACCTTACACAACCGTATGGAGCTGCCATATGCACCCGCCCTCTGGAAGAAATGGATGGCTTCCTTGATGTGCTCCTGATTCTCATACTGTCTGGCCAGGTAGTAACAAGCAGCTTTATCACCAGTCTCATTGCAAACCTCTGCTGCCTGTAGGTGCCCATGAATAAATGAAAACTGTTAACATACATTAGGTTATGGCATAATCAGTTAGGGTGACCAGTTAACTAAGCTTCCTCTGTAACTTTCATTTCTATAATTTTGTCAAAATGATCTGGTACCCACTTAAAGAGGCTGGCTTAATCCTAGAGATATATTGTTTAAAAAGGCAAACAACATTGTTTTATTACAGGGTAGAATCAATAAGCTAGTAACTGAGCACACCACTAAGTTATATGACTCAGTGAACAAACAAAATACCTACAGATGGCTTTAACCCAACCAGACCGCTGGCCCGGTTTACCGGGAATTTCTTAACCTGTCTCTATACCGCTGGCCCTAATTTTCGGCTTTTTGCGTACTATGGTAATCTGAAAATAACCACCCAATCGTTATCAATCCTCTTTGTAAGACATTGCAAATGTCTGCCCGCATGCGTTTGGATTATATTTGTGTTGTTTTATGTGGAAAAATTCTGAAAATTCACAATGAAACGAGCGGCTGATAAACCAAGTTCTAGGCTTTTCACAGTCCAACAGGTGATCGTTACTTTGGTTTATTCAGACTCTGTGATATACATATATATATATTCATTATCTGTGATAATTTCATAAAGAATACGTTCTTGAAGTGACACTGTCAGTGAGAGCGCGAATGATGAGGAAAATCTTGAAAATTATCAATCTTGAAATAGATCGATAGTAGGAGAAGGGGGTGTGTCCATCAAACGGCAACATCTGGTGTTCAGTTTGTGAAACAAAGTTGATCCTGATGAGTGAATTCGCACACAAAGGTGGAATATTGGCGATAGATAAAAGGTAAGCCTATTTTCTACAATGTCTCCAAGTTTCATCATATTCTAGCCACTCGTTTGCATGTAACTAATATTTTTGACTATCATGTTGGTTTTTTTGCGGTAATGCCCAGGAGCTCAGGTTACAGGGACAGTTAGGTTATGGCCCTCAGGTCTGGTAGGGTTAATTCAGAAGCGTCAGCAAAATAATCCTTGCAGACATCATAAATAGCAAAGAATGAAGTAATAATTATTTTACATCTGAAATATTCAATATCTAAGGTCAATATATGCATTGCTAATATTTTCAGTCCTTCAGTTGAGTTGAGTTGATTCAAGAACCGACATCACAGCACTCGGGGCATTCCCATAAACACTCTGTCCCCATCTTCAGCAGCCAGTGCAGAGTTCCAGTACCAATGGTGCCAGTAGCATTCTGATTAAACATCCTTCTTGCCTTTCCTCTGATCCATTTGCTCCTCCAAATTGTACATGCTCTCCCACACAGCCCTAAACCACGTATGTCTGCCTTATTATGCATCATTATTCCACCAAGTTATGCACAGCCAGCAAGTCTGCCTATTCATTTCCCAAGACAATGGCGTAACCGGGAGAAAAGATCTAGACAATACTCCTCACCCATGACCTTCACAGCGAAGCATGCCACTCTGCACGAAGCATACTTGTCCGGACCTTTCTCGGCATGCTTTCTCAGTCAGTTACAATCATGATATGTGTGTGTCAGCAGAAAGCCGCAGTGACCACCTCCACCTCCATTCTTAATCTGGATGTTGCAGTCTCACATGCTAGGCTCTCCTGCACCAAAACGTGGGCCGTTAACTTTTGCTAAAAAAAACCCAAGCACTCTTTTTCCTCTTGACACTGAAACACCGACACAGGCCGATCTTTTCTTTGCATCTGTCTTTGCTGTTTCCAGGATGTTCCTAGTGTTTATTGCTTCCCATATCATTCACTAAATTTTCCTGCTTTGCTCTGTTGGCTTCTGCAGCGCCGCATTTGAAAACCTCCACGAATCTTTCTTTTTTTACATTTTCCGTCATCTCCACTTCCTCTCGTGAGCTTAGGGGTGTCTGTTGCACTTTCACTGCGGCTCTCTTTGCCTTCCACGCCTGTTCTACTTCTGGAGTCCACCATGGGGGCTGTAGAAAATTAGTTTTGGCAGTCCTGTTGCATGCCCCCTGTCTGAGGCATCTAAGTAGGTTGTTGGTCCATCTATACCAGAAGGTCTTGCCTGCTCTCCCAGCCTTAACCTTCCTGAGTTTAGAAATCAGGACTGAAGATGGTAGGTGATCATTCCCATGGCCATTCAAGACAGTCCATTTTACATCTAATACAGACAACTGGGTGACAAATGTCAAGTCAATGGCTGTGTCTGCACAGGCAGACCTCACCGTCATTCTAGTTGGCCTCCCATCATGATGCAGACCATATTGGAGTCGAATGCGGCCTCTGCAAGAGCGATTTCCTGTCAGTTTTCCCCACTACTGTCCGATTCTCTGTTCCTCGCATTAAAGTCCACACATATGAGCAGCCTATCACCTGGTAATTCCTCTAATTCCTTGAGCCAGTCCCATTGTTCCTTTTTGACAAGTCTACCATGGCATTTATATTTCTGAGGTTCCAACTTAAGCCACCAATCTCCACTTGTATCCCCTGAACCTTTCTTCCACTGTGATTCCACTGGCTCAAGTCAAGTACCACATGCTTCACTTCTTCCTTCACCAACAGACCTTGACCATGCCTTCCCTGTCCAATAGGGTTTATATAATTAACATGCCCAGGGCAATGATAACTGTCTGTATTTAGATCCTGGAGCATGATGACATTAAAATCAACCTCTCCAGTACAGGACCTCTCTACCTAGCACTCAGACAGTTCTAGTATCCTACTCTTACTTGACTGAAGCTCAATCTCTCCGCTTTTCATCTTGTTCTCCTAGCACCTGCCCTCTTATTGCTATGCCTTCTTCTCTCCCCATTCCCTTATTTTCTCCTCCTCACTCTCTATTCACGATCTGCTAAAAATTGTGTCGAGCACAGAGCATGTTCTCCGTAGCTCCGGCGACAATTCCTGTGTATAGAGTACTCCAGGAAATTCCCGCGGTCACCCTAGTAATGCCTGCCTGCTAGGGAAGAGGTAGGAAATGTCCCTTAGGAGTCCATCTACCTGGTGCCACCCCTCATGCCCAACAGACGTCCAGTGCTTAGGGTCAACAAAACTAACACCTGAGGTCAAAATATATAGTGCTTCGGTCAACATATCTAATGACATAGGTCAATAAAAGCCTTGCAAAATATAAACATACTCAGTTCCTGAAGTCAACATAACTAGGCCCTTAGTCTAAATTGCTGCTCAGATTCAGAGCTGACAGTCAATACATCAAGTGTCTAGTGTCAAAGATCAGTATGCCTACAGACCAAATTCTTCTTCTTCTTCTTTTGTTCGCATGAAATAAATTATCTATATCTGCAAAGCAGTCTCTAGTATGAATTTCACCGTCTTTTGTAATTCACTAAGTGGCCCGTAAAGTTTGACTTCCACAAGTGTCTCTTTTGGCCAAAGGTTTTGCCTGAAAGCGTTGAATCTGGGACAGTCTTGAAGGATGTGATCTGTTGTTTCAGGTGCCAGTCCACAAGTACACATGGCTGATTGGCCAATCTTAAATTTGTTGTACATGTGGCAGCGAAGTCAATTGTGCCCTGTTCTAAGGCGAAGGATAATGACTTGCACTGGTCTGTCCATAATATGGTAACAGACCAAATTGCTCATATCCCCATGGTCTCAAACGTCTATGGTCAACTTATCAAGTGCTAAGGCAGGGCTATTCAACTAGTAGGCCGAATCCAGCCCACAGAGACCTATTAATTGGCTCATGCATTCTTGACAAGTAGGGCGATGCGTGGTCTTAAGGCATGGTATCCGCCTGGAGTGCTGGAGTTTCCGGGTTCAATCCCCGGTAAGGGCTGGGATTGTTTCACAAGGACTTGGACTTCTAGTAATTTCCCCTGGTAGTGAGATCAGACGCCCGTGTGCATTGTTGCGCACGAAAAAAATTCCCTTGGCAGTTGGAAATCTAAAAGAATAGCCTAACAGCACTGCCCGAGCAAAATGTGGAGTTGAAAATCTACCCAAAGTATTTCAGGATCCTCACCAGTGCTACAGAACCTGTGCACTGTGCTGAGCTTCTTTGAATTCAGATTTGAGTTAGAAGATGAACAGAGCACTTATGGGTTACTACCCGTGTGCCATGATGTTGATCCGTTGTTCAAACCTCATTGACAAGTGTATTGTATCAATAATCTTTTTATGCTGGGGCTCAAACTGCTAGCCTGTGATGATCCCAGTTTTCAATATTTTAGCCCCTAAGTAGACTTAGTTTGAAGAACCCTGGCTTAAGTGAAGCAATCTGGATGATACAAACCTAATGTTGGTTAAAAAAAAAAATCTCACCTTTTCCATGTTGTTACAGTAGCAATAGACCCTGACAAGAGAGAAAAAATCCTGTGCTGACTCATAGAACTGAATTGCTGTGTCCATATTTTCTGTGCTTTCCATGTACTGTGCCCACCAGCGCCGTAATGTTCTAGGGAATTATTGTACAAAGCTCACTTATCTAATATTTTTGTACATGATTTTTGTGAAAACATCTTCACAATAAGATATAAACCTCTTTGATGCTATTAAAACTGTATCACAGTGTTCAAGGAAAGTATCTGAAAATCTGATTAATGTATAATGTATTTCAAACATAATTTCTAGCTAGTATGGTTATAATAGCTTAGCTGAAAATTGGACATCCACTAATATTTTAAGCTGTACACAAGACATCCCAAGCCACTTAATTTACTCCCATTCTTCTTTCTTTTAGGTCACCAGGGTGAAATGGTTAATTACTCTCTCAAAAATGCCAGAAGCATTGCTGCTGTTGTTGTTCTTCTCTTCTGTCATTTACCTCAGCGAGGTGTTGTGGGAAGATGTAAGGATCGTTTGTGTGCTTTTTCCAATGCTGATGTTCATTTCTGCTAGGTTGCTCCTGATGGCGTTGCTCCATCTCTTGCGTGGTCTTCCCCTTGCTCTATGTGTTCTTTAATGAATTGTATGACTGGTTTCAGTCTTAGTCTTTTTCAAATTTCTTCATTCCTGATTTTATCTCTTCTTGTCTCACCAGCAGCCGTCCTAGGACACCTCATCTCTGCTGTTACGATCTTCGGCTCATTAGTTGTACTAAGGGTCCATGTTTGGCCCTGGTAGCACAATGTCGGCCAAAAAAAAAACGTTCTTATGAGATTTGCTTTGGTTGACAGAGGTATCTTTCTATGTGTCAGAAGCAGTGTTGTCCCATAACCTGATTTGCTTTTGCACATTGTTGCCATGAAATAGTAATTTTGTGAATCTCACTGATACTTTGTGTTTTCAAATTTCTTTTCAGTATTTTAAGTATTTTCAGCTGTTAGTTTAATTATATTTAAATTAAGCAGAAATAACTTCTGGTTGCTTACACCATTAATGAGTTTGTTCAGTGACCAACCTAATGTTGGCCAAAAGTGTTTTCTTTGTTTCTCATGTTGGAAACAATATCATTATCTTCATTTATCATATGACTTATGAGACGTATGTTCATTGCTGTCAGTCTTTGGTGTTCTGGATATAGTTGATACTCCTTCCTGCCACCATTTTAAATCCTCCAGCATAATAATCCTTGGTCTTTCTCTGCCTCTTCTACTGCTGATCTTACCAGTCATCATGATGTTACCAAGTGTCTCTCTTTCCTATAATCATGTAACATGTGATTCTTTTATTAGCCTCTTCCGGCCAATCTTTATTAGTCATAATGAAGGTCTAAGGTATTTATTAGTTACACTGGCAGTCTAAGGTATTCATAATATTAATCTCATAAATCCCATCTCTGTTGCCTCCAAGCTGATCATGTCCTCCAAGACTGTCCCAGATACAACATATCAAGGCAAAACTTTTGGCCAAGAGAAACATCAGCGCAAGTCAAACTTTTACTGGTCGTTGAGTGAATTACAAAAGACAGTGAAGTTCATACTAGAGACAACATTGCAGATAAAGATAATCTATTTCAAGCACACACAAAAAGAAGAAAGAAGAAGAAGAAGAAGAAGTCTCCAAGCTCTTCTTATTGATGACATCCAGAAAAAAAAAATGTGGTCAGTTTAAACAGGAATCCGAATATGGAGAGCTTTCCTCAAAACTGCTGTCTCCACTATGGAAGTGACTGCAATGAATATGTGCTTACATGGCTTACATGGCTGTTTTGTGGAACAGTACACAGTGGGAGCCCTAATCTTTTCCACAATGTGACTATCGTACTAATGTCTAAAAGCCATAATAACAGTAAAAGCCACAATAACAGATTACAAAGTGAGGCCTTAATCTCTTCCATAATGCGACTCTCAAAGCAAATATCTAAAAGCCACAATAACAGATTACACAGTGAGGCCTTAATTTCCTCCATAATGCGACTCTCATAGCAATGTCTAAAAGCCACAATAACAGATTACACAGTGAGGCCTTAATCTCTTCCATAATGCGACTCTCATAGCAATGTCTAAAAGCCACAATAACAGATTACACAGTGAGGCCTTAATTTCCTCCATAATGCGACTCTCATAGCAATGTCTAAAAGCCACAATAACAGATTACACAGTGAGGCCTTTATCTCTTCTGTAATGCGACTCTCATTACAATGTCTAAAAGCCACAATAACAGATTACACAGTGAGGCCTTTATCTCTTCCGTAATGCGACTCTCATTACAATGTCTAAAAGCCACAATAACAGATTACACAGTGAGGCCTTTATCTCTTCCGTAATGCGACTCTCATTACAATGTCTAAAAGCCACAATAACAACTTTAAAATGCGACACTGCATAAGAAAAATAAACAGTAGCCAGCTTACTTGTCTTTGCTTTTACTGATGTAGTCCTCTAGCTGGTCAGGGTCATCTATCAGCATCCGAGGCACTTCAAATTTATGAGTCTCAGATTTCTCATAGCTGAGGACATGCAGTAGATATGTTTAACTTTCCTTATAGTGCAGAACTGCGAGTTATTTGGTGGGACAGCTAACTATAAAATACCTCAAAACTCTACGACATGGCCATTGGCAGGTAACAGGCACTATAACCTCTTCCCCCTACTGCCTTGCAGGGTAAGTCTTAGAAAAAGGCTACTGGAGTCAAACAATATTCAAACCGGCGGAAAACAAGGGGAAACCACCATTGTATTATCCCTAGAAAATCATGCCTCGAAATATATTGATTTCAGATAACGATAAGAATTTGAATTCCAGTGGAATACCTCGTCCATCATGTTCTACGGGTGATACCCAACACTCATTCAGCTACTGTAGGAAAATGGAACATGTTGTGACCACTGCAAACATCTGTGGAAGGAAGGATAGAGGAAGATTACAGGAAAAGATTCTTGACAGCCTTGTTGCATGTTATGGAGGTGTGTCAGCACACAAACTGATACATGCTGCAGGAGATCACAGATTGTGGAGAGGCATGATGATGATGCTTCAGAAGCCTGATAAAGATCAACAAATACACTCACATCTTGTTTTAACAGATAAAGAAGTGGGTGGGAACATCTGTCTGAACTTTTCCTGACTGGCCCTTGTTATCAAAACTGTGATAGTTAGTGTATAATATTAAATTTGATTAATGACAGAGAAAAACAAGGGTAGAACACCATGTCATGACTCAGTTTGACTCATACAAGATTTAGAACATAGGTTATATTCCAAAGAAACGTTGAATACCGAGTAGAATGTTTTCAGTCTAAACAGGACGTATAACAAAATGGATGTACACTGGGGTATCACTGTAGTTAAAACTAAGGGCTGAGTGGTCGCAAGGCATGGCATCCGCCTAGAGTGCTGGAGGTCCTGGGTTCAGACCCCGGTGAATCTGGAATTTTTTCATGTGGGTAATAAGATTGGAATGCCCGTGTGCATTGGTGCACATGTAAAAAAAAAAAAATCCCTTGGCAGTTGAAAATTAAAAAGATTAGCCTAACGGCGTTGCCAGGGCAGAATAAATTTTGGAGTTTCAAATCTATTTAAAGTATTTCAGGATCCTCACCAGTGCTACAGGGTTTGTGCACTGCGTTGAGATGCTTCGGACTCAGGCTTGAGTTAGAAGTAGAACTGAGCACTTATGGGTTACTACTCTTGTGCCATATGGTTGATCCCTTGTTCAAACCTGAACCAAACCTAAACCTGTAATTTCAACTGACCAGTGGTTCTTGTTCAGTGCTGTAACAACTCCACCCATGGCAAACTTGTGAAAATAGAAAAAAACTGAATCAGCAGCCCGAGACTGCATCCACTACTTCCAATTTACATTAGACATGGGTATATAAAACTAAGGTATAAGTGCAATACTTAAGTTGTTATCTTACATCAACTAGCACCCAAATAATACTGTATACTTATAATCATCATCATCAAGTGTGTTGCCCGCTGGCATGGGCAGTCATGCTTCTTCCTATTTTTTTTATCTCCAACAACATACATCAATCTGGGTGCTTATCATTCTCAAAGATATTATGATCATCTATCCTCATTGAAGTATTATTTATCTGTTCTCAAGTAAATAACGTTGAACTTTTCTCAAGTAACTGGTAGTTATCTATTCTCAAGTAGGTGATACTTATCTATTCTCAAGTAGCTGATATCTACCTATTCTGAAGTACATAGTGGTTATCTGTTCTCAAATGAATGGTGGTTTTCTATTCCTAATCAGATTATATTTATCTATTCTACAGTAAATGGTGGTTATTCTCAAATAAATGGTAGTTATCTTTTCTCAAGTATAATACATACAATTATTTCTAATAATCTCAGGTAAGTGCAGTTGATATATTTTCCCACAAATGGTCTTTATTTTTACAAAATTTATGTTATTCTCAAGAAAGTTATGGTTATTCTCAAGAAAGTTACTATTGTTCTCAAGTATGTTTAATATTCATATTTTCATTGCAATTGTACAAAATGGTTTCAAACTGCCAACTTAGATTCAGAGGTTAATGTTAAAACTTAGCACAGGATGATTGGCGGTGGTTCAAGAAAAGTACTAACTTAGGAATTGCGTTCTGAGTGTCCCCTTGGTCTTCGAGGTGACGAGCATAATTGTAAAATGTAGTTCTGCGATGTATGCGGTCATACATCTCTGCTGTCTGCAGTGCCTGCAATTTTAAAGATAAATAAAAAGTTCTAATCAAGTTGTGGCACAAATGAATGTGTTTGTTGAGTGTTGAGCTAAAAACTGACATAACAGCACTCAGAAATTCCTATAAGCACTCTGACCTCATCTTCAGCAGCCAGCGAAGAGTTTCAGTTCTGATGGCGATTGGGACCTATATTTATCTCTTCAGCAACAAGAGCAGCGCTTATGGCGATTACGACCTATCTTTATCTCTTCAGCATTAGGTGCAGGTGCTTATAGTGATTACGACCTATCTTTATCTCTTCAGCAATAGGTGCAGGCGCTTATAGTGATTACGGCTTATCTTTATCTCTTCAGCATTAGGTGCAGGTGCTTATAGTGATTACGACCTATCTTTATCTCTTCAGCAACAGGTTCAGGCGCTTATACTGATAAAGGTCTATCTTCACCTCTTTGTGGTCAGCCTAGAAACAGGTTTCCTACGAGGGGCCTTGTCAACACAGATAAGAATAATGTTTTCTTCAAAGTCAGAGCGCATTAGCCCGAGGAACCAACAGTCTGCACACAAATAACCCAGACCCGCAAAATGGATGTATATACAACACTCATATGCTGAAACAAGACCAAAGTTCAGAAGTGGATGAACAACCCAGATTTTCTGTTTGAGTTTACAGCTGGTGAACATTAAGAAAATAAGCAACAGCTGGTGAACATTAAGAAAATAAGCAATCTCCATAAGTGGATAAACAATCCAGATTTTCTGCCAGAGTTTGCAGCTGGTAAATGTTAGGATGATGAAGAATCGCCAGAAGTGGCAGTTTGCCCTCAATTTTATGTCTCTAGGGTCGACTCAACCTCCCAGTCATGAGCACCTAAAAGTTTCCAGAAGTTTCTGGGAATTTACTTGGAAGAAAAGATGATGGTGGAGAGGTGAAATGGTCCAGCTCATATTTCATGATGCAGAATGTTTTAAGGCCTAATGTTTCATATCTCAGCATCAGCAAATGCAATGGTGCCACCTTCAAACCTCTTTTGCATTAACCATATTGTGACGTGAGTGCAGGGACTGGCCAGCTGGTGCTGCAGAATCAGAAGTTGAACAAATGATTCATAAAAATTTCGGCACAAGTGATGTGATTGTATATACAGATGGCTCTGTGTTGAGGGGCAGACGAAGTGCACAGGGGTTCAGAGAGAAGACGAATGGACGTCACTTGGTGCAATAAAGCTTGTCATATGATATCACAACGCCTTATTTGAGAATGGAGGTGGAGGCAGTCAGTGCTGCCTTCCGCTGGCTTGAGAATCAGCTGCACACATATGCCGTCATTGTAACTGACTCACAGAGCATGTTGAGAAAGGTGGAGACAGGCATGCTCTGTGCAGAGTGGCAAGCATCACTTCAAAGTTCCCGGGTAATTAGCACCCTTTGGATATTTTCTCCATTTCATGTTAGGAAATGAGCAGGCAGATAGGCTGACCTGTTCTGCACCACTTGGTGGTGAACTGATGCATGACATGCTGGATGTTGTGAGGACAGATCATTACGGTCTGAGTAGAATGGCACTGCAAGGAGTTACAAGGGGATCTAGCTGACGCTCAACACCCAGGGAAAAGGCAAGACAGATATACAATCAGACAGTTACTGGTACCATTGGAATTTTAACTTTTCGCTTGCTGCTGAAGATTGGGATGGAGCGCTTATGGGGGTGTCCTGAGTGCTGTGATGTCAATTCTTAATTCAACATCTGCATAATGAGCTGAAAGAAAACACAGACTGATGGTCTTCAGAAATGAAAATTATGTTGAAAGTTGAATTGAGAATCAGCACTTGGGACATTCCTATAAGCACTCTGTCCCCATCTTCAGCAGAAAGCATAGAGTTCCAATTCTGATGACCCCAGTAGCAATAACTTGAGATTAAGAAATGAAGATGAAAAACTCAAACGAATTTAGAGAAGTAGACAATATAGATTTGACTGACTGACTTTCTACCCCACCAGGACATCACACAAGTGATAAACACCCGATGACACAAAGTGCCACCATGTGGATGAGGATCGCCGTGGAGAGGTCCCAAAAACCGCGCTCAGACAATTGGCCATATTTATGGCCTGCCTATATTGCGGCCCCTGGCAAAAGCCAGGGTGGGGCTTCAAATAACAAAAAATTTCATCCTTAAAAGGACAAAACTGAATTCAGTGGCAACTGTCAAACATGATGGAGACAATTCTCCTGTGACTCTAGGCCTCATTTGTGGTGAAAAAAGAATAGACCCACTGCACCTTAACAAGCTGTCATCAAAAGTGATTAATAAGGAATCTGCTGAAATGTGTTGGGCGGAAGGTGCAGACATCACATCCTAGCTGTAAACCACAGCACAATGTGGCAACTCTCATTTTAAGCTAGAATATCTGTGCCTTTTGGAGAAACACATTGCATTTCAGCTAATCCTTAATAAGTCACTTTTTATGACATGCCTATTTACTCTTTTAGTCCCAAGGACACCCACAGCGGTAAAAGAGGAAGCGAAGAAGAAGTCCCAAGGAACATATCATACATTCACAGGTTTCTACCTAGAAGTCCAATGAATGCAGAATGTGCTGATTTTACGCCTCTTTTTACTATCCCTTGTGCCTTTGATGTTAAGCCCCTGGGGACTGAAAGAGTTAAGTAGCAGTGGGTGTATTATCTCCCCTCCCCAAAAATAGGACCTCGGAACCCATACAGGGATGAAGGAATATAATAAGTACAGAACCATAGAAAGACAATTCAAAAGATGGTGTGACAGCAGCAAGAATAACTTTAGAGAGATCAAAACCAACTTACACAGCACATTCAAATGAGCATAAAGATGGTTCTCTCCCCTGCTCCCCTTCCCCCCCTTTCCACCCGCAACACACATAAAACAAACCTGGAGGAACAAAAGAAAACAAAGAAGTCTGTCTTCATCTACAAACACAGGCATACACAGATTGGTAGACACTGCTTGGCAGAAATTAAAATTATGACACATCTACTAACACTCACATAGTTAACATTAGTTGAGCTGATGAATTTTCAATACTTTTGTCATATAGACTGCAATTCTGCTGGCTTTCACTGCCTCAATCATTTATTCATTAGTTCCCACATTCATTCATTCATTTATTCAACATAAACAACAACCATCACCTTTCAACAACTCCCTTACAAGTCTTCCACCAACTACAAAATTACCTTGAGCCAGTTTCCTCTGTTTTGATAAAACTCATTCAGCAGATCATAACGCTTGCAGTTCTTCAGCAACCTCTCGGCATCTTCCTGAAAACATCAAGTTATATCTGTTAGTATGCCACTATGTGCTTTTCTTATTTATTTAGCCCCTTCTCTCCTACTTAGTTCCTTCCACTCTTACAATGAGGCATAGAAATAAAAGAAAATCACCGAAAATATTATCCGCTGTTCCCTCTTGGCCTGCCTCTTAGTCCTAGTTATCAGAAATGTTTCAACATCATGGACCAGCAAATTGTATGCTGCTGTACCAATCTGAACCCTATATAGGTAGGGATTTAAAAATAATGTTCTTTATTAATATCTTACTCCAGATGACGTCACAGGACAGTCCAACATATTAGAGGGTGGTAAGACTGGGTTTCCCGGCTTTCTGATGCCTTCAACAACCCCAAAACATCTTGAACTGGCCCAAACCCCAACCCACCTACGTCCCATGAGAGAGTGCAGCCTAGGTCCCATGAGTGCATGCAGCCTAGGTCCCACAACTGCATGCAGCCTATCTACCACCCCCTGAAATATTAGACTGTCCTGTGACCTGTGAATTTTCCCAGCTTGGGGTAGGATATTAATAAAGCACCAAAAATAAGAAACTGGGTAGACCTGGGCTAATATACTCAGTTATAACTGTAAATTCTAAAAAGATATAGAGTGCATGTAAATAAACAGTTATCTTTTCTTTACCAACCCCCCCCCCCCCCCCTTTTCCCAAAAAGACTTACGTATAAACCCAGCTGGACAGCCAAAACAGCAACTCTGGCATCTAGCTCTGGTTCCTTGAGAGCTTCACGAAGGGCTTTGGCTCCTCTGGCATGGCCCATGTTGCCCAGGCACACACTGGCCACGTCCAGCCGGCGGTTCTTGACACACATCTTGGCCATATTCTCCCACACCGATTCACTGAATGAGACAGAACAGTCAACCAACAGCAATTAAGTGTGAGACTTTCTTTATTTCTTTCTTATATCCATCATGTGTGTGCCTATGTATATGCATACGTGTGGGTGTGTGTGTGCGTGCATTATTTTTTACTTTTTTGTTTTCTGTGCTTCAGTCTTTCTGCCTTTCTTTCATTCTTTTCATGTCACATGTGATGAGATGTCATATTTATTTTAACAGCACATATGAAAGCATCAATCAAGGAATCTCAACACAGAAAGCACACAAACACATTTTCTTATTAGTGAAATGAAGGCACAAACAATAAATAGAAGCAACTTGTTCTTCCTGTTGTTGCTGCTGTTATTGTTGTTCCTTTTCTCTATCTTCTGTGCTTGCACTTAAAATGGTGTTTGGCATGTTGTGTTGTGATTTACAGATATTCTGCTATATCTGTTTATTAGGTCAACACATCTTATTGAAGCCCACCCTTCATTTGTTGTGGGAGCCACTATGGTATAGTGGCTAGATGCTTGCCTGCTGATTGGAAGGTCATGGATTCAGGTCCTGAAAATGACATTGCCTCTCAGATTGACCCAGTCTTAAATGTATGTGATCAACACCGTGCCGCCCACCTTTACTTCCCAGGACTTTACCTGATACTCTTTTTAGGTTGGGCTGATCTGGGAGTTAAAGTCATTTAAAATAAAAAATTCTGGCTGTGTTCGGATTTGAATATAAGTAAGCGTCTAGAAGCTCACCATGGCGGCTCAGCTAAGAAAGTAAAGGGAACAAAAAATTGAAAAATAAAATTAAAAAAATAGAAATTGCAAGCTGTGATGTCAGATAATCTTTTATACTCTGGGATTTACATAAAATAAAAGTTACTGGAGTATTTAGACATACACACAAACCTTTTAATGAGCTTGATGGCTTTAAATGCCTCGTCCATGTTGCCAATTGTGAGGTAGAAACTGAAATTCATCATGGCTTCCTGAGTGCCCTTGTCACTATTCTCAAGTCCCACAAAGTCTTGCATGATTTTTCTAGCCACCAGTGTGGAATGGGAAGGAGTTCCAGTCTCGGCATTTGACACTCCATTATCTGTCTGTTGATTTTCTGGGTTATTTCCATTCTGTTGAAACATTTATAAAATACTGTAGAGCCTCAATTATTTGGCTCCTGATTATTTGGACTCCCTATTATCCAGTCTGGTCTAAAAGAAATTACTTGGTAATTGAAAAAGGAATAATTTTCTTTGCCAAGTCATTGCAAGTGTGCATCAGATTATTTAGTATTTCGTGCAGTTAAGGAAGACATTATAAATTTTAACTTCAAATGTGAGTTTTTGTTTGTGTGCTTCCTTTTTTTTCCATAACAAGAGTTTAAAACGTACAGCCTAATATATAAGAAATATTTCTAAAGTACTTCCTATACTAAGAGGTCTGAAAATATGATTAACCCTGACAGACCACTGTACCGATTTTTCAGTAATTTCCTAATTAACCGCTATACCGCTGTACCTAATTTTTGGTATTTTGCCTAGTTTGAAAAAAAAATTTGTCACAAACTAAAAATAACCAACCAATCAAGGTCAAACCTCATGGTTAACCATTCCAAATGTCTGTCCCCATGTCTTTGAAATGACTTTGTGTGATTTAACGTGAAACAAATTTTGAAAAATTCACAACGAAACGAGCGGATGATGAACTAAGCACTTCAACAGGCAAGGGTAGTAGGTCTAGGCTTTTCACAGTCCAAGAGGTGATCAATACTTTTGTTGATTCAGACTCTGATAAGTAAGAATTTCATCAAGAACACATTACCAGTTCAAGTGACACAAACAGTGAGAGCTCAAGTGTTGAGAAGAATCTTGAACCTTACACAGCTAGACTGATAGCAAGAGAAGGGGTGTGTCCCTCAAACGGCTGATTGGGGAGATCTAGGTGGTGATGAAAGTTGGACAAGGAATACTGTATCACCAAATACAGACCTAAATTTCAGTGAGGATGGAAAAGGCCCAGTGAACATTCCTTGATCTATCACAGAGGAGAGTAAACCGACTGACTTTTTAACCTTGTTTTTTTTTAAATAATACTTTCTGCCTGCCACTTATTGGTGGATACAGGACATCAGCCCACTGCCAGGACCTGTATCCACGGCCTTCTGGTCCGCAGCAAGCATCTAGCTCCCTCCTGTCAAAAAGTGTGTTCTTTTTTAATCCCCTCAGATCCCTAAATTTATTCATTAAAGTAACAATTTCTTATGATATAACAAGTTACGGAAATACCAATCTGGAAAGAAATGGTTACATTTTGCTCAGGGAACTACAACATCCATCTTTCACCTCCTTCCTAGTTTAAACTGTTTTCGTATAAAGTATGAATTCTGACCCCCATAATCATCAAACAGAATATCTTGGAAGAAAAAATGGAGAAATACTGACATCTTGAAAGATCTGAACATCAAAGAAGATTGGCTAATAAACAGCATCCTGTCTCGGAAACTGAAATATTTTGGTAATATCAAGCGCCAAGACAGGTTGGACAAAATTATAGCAGAAGGCATGGTACCAGGAAGGAGGGGCAGGGGCCGACCAACATGAAGATGGGCACAGGATATAAGTGACTCCTTGAGTATGAAGGTGCATGAGGTGGGAGAGCTGGCGAGAGACCGAGTTTCTTTCAGGCAGACTGTGATGAAAGCGACGTTCTGCAAAGGACCTGCTACATGATGATGATGATGATAACGATAATCATCAAAAACAAAAAATTCAGTTCACATGCATTATCAAATCAACAGATGATGTTTGCATTAGTTTACTAAAGCTGCCGCAGTAAGCCACTGGTTTCCAATATTATGCAGACAAAAGCAGAAAAATATACTGACCTTCTTTGTAAAATAATAGTAGGGAACTTCTACACCAATTAGTCGGCCAAAGTCTGGTGACAGTGGGAAGCTGTCTTGAATTAAAACACCATTTTCAGGTGTGCAAAATAAAGACACGACCATAACTTCAACCTGTGAGACAAGAGAGAGCAGACACAAAAATTATCAGTTGCAAAAAAAATCTTCTAGCATGTTTAAATACTAATTGGAAACAACAGACTCATTTAGCAGCAAATTGGGTCCCAGTGTGGGGGGGGGGGGGGGGGGTAAGAATAAAACAGACCCACTGCCCCCTAGCAAGCATGTCATAAGAGTGGACTAATTAGGGGTTTCCTTCAAAGTTAGAGTGCATCAGCCTGAGGCAGGAAACCAGCAGTCTGCATACAAATAAGCCAGATCCGTAAAATATCATGCAAGCAAAACTCACGTTCTGGAACCAGATTTAACACCAAAAGTGGAGGAAAAACCAGAAATATCCGCTAGTTTACAGTCGGTGGGTGCGAAGAAGAAGAAAAAGAAGATTTAGCTGCATATACAGCTATATTTCTTCTTGAGAAATGTCACCCACAAAAACTTATCAATGAAAGAATGAATCAAGAATTCACATCACTGGATTTGAAACATTCCCACAAGTGCTCTGACCACTTCCTCAGCAGCCAAGAAAGAGTTGCAACCTGTTTAAAAGTCTGCCTATCCTATGTATGAAAAATTCAATGCTGTGTGTTGAAAACTGAATACTGTGTGTTGTAAATTCTCCAGACCTTCTGCTCACTCCTTGCTGAATCAGCCTCTCCAGGTATGTTCTGTTGCACTGTCTAACCAATCAATCAGCCTCTCCAGGTATGTTCTGTTGTACTGTCAAACCAATCAATCAGCCTCTCCAGGTATGTTCTGTTGCACTGTCTCACCAATCAATCAATCAGCCTCTCCAGGTATGTTCTGTTGCACTGTCTAACCAATCAATCATCCTCTCCAGGTATGTTCTGTTGCACTGTCTAACCAATCAATCAGCCTCTCCAGGTATGTTCTGTTGCACTGTCTAACCAATCAATCAGCCTCTCCAGGTATGTTCTGTTGCACTGTCTAACCAATCAATCAGCCTCTCCAGGTATGTTCTGTTGCACTGTCTAACCAATCAATCAGCCTATCCAGGTATGCTCTGTTGGACTGTCTAACGAACCAATCAATCAGCCTCTCCAGGTATGTTCTGTTGCACTGTCTAACCAATCAATCAGCCTCTCCAGGTATGTTCTGTTGTGCTGTCCAACCAACCAATAAATCAGCCTCTCCAGGTATGTTTTGTTGTACTGTCCAACCAATTAATCAGCCTCTCCAGGTATGCTCTGTTGCACTGTCCAAACAATCAAACAATCATTCTCTTCAGGTATGTTCTGCTCAACTGTCCAATTAATCAATCAGCCTCTCCAGGTATGTTATGTTGCAATGTCCAATCAATCAATCAATCATTCTCTCCAGGCATGTTCTGCTGCACTGTCCAATCAATCTATCAGCCTCTCCAGGTATGTTCTGTTGCATTGTCACCGTCCAGTCAATCAATCAGCCTGTCCTTTACAGAACTTTGCTCTCCTCACGGCACGTCTGAAAGTCTTTCTCTAGCCTTGTGAGCTTTCATAGTCAATGCATTTTCAGTACCCTGTATCCACATTCACGGTGGTAGGCCTCTGTCTTATTTTCCTAATACTGCACCCCCCACCACCGTTCTCTCACAATGGCACTTGACATGTCCAAAATACCTCAGCTTTCACGAGAGGATGCTGTTTGCACTGTCCGCATGATCACAAAGAGCGCAGCTACGTCCACTTTATCATAAAGTAGCTTGCTGCTCAGAGAAGAGGCAGCAGCAGATCTATCAGCCTGCTCATTGCCCTGCACACACATGTATGACAATAAAAAAACTCAGACTTGATCAAAAATGATTACAGGAAAGAAAAGAACGACTTACAGGTCCCTCTTCGATAATTTTGGTCAGTGAGTGTGTTTTCTTCGGACTCTGGTCCGTTATATTTGGCAAGATCCAAGCCTCACAGACACAGAACTTGGGCTCAGCAGGATCCCAGTAATGTGCAAATGGGTAGCGGCCAGCTATGTCCTTTGCTGCCTGATTCTTGCCTCTAGTAGGGAAGAAATTACAATTTTTACATATCGTTATTTTGAAATCAAAGGATTAGGAATCAGGACACAAGTTTTCATCACAATAAAAAAAGAAAACATTTTTTGTTTTTCTTCCAAATTGATCCAGAATAGCTTGTTGGATATATTGCCTATTTCATATTTTAAACCTACTTGTGTCTTCTTCTTTCTTTTCTCTAGTCCTGTTCTGCATTTCAGCATAATATTTTGAAGAGACATCAGGTGTCAGCCGTGATGTGTGCTATGTAGATGCTCGTATTCATGGCCTAAGATATTCTGTCTATCCATCACTTACATGGGTGACCTCTAACTCTTCCTCTGTGGCGTTTAAGTGATAAGGCTCTCTGTGGTGCACTATTCTGTGATAGTCTTCATGTCTAAACCATTCAATCTGTTATCACTTCCTATAATTTAGCACAGCTTTCAACCCAGCTTATTTTTTGATATTGTAATTTCTGATTCTGTCTCTACTTGTTACATTTAGGATTCATGGTAGACATTTCATTTCCATTGTTTTGATTTTTTTTTCTTTTGTTTTAGTGAACAAGTCTGGCACTGGTAACACAATGTACATTTGTATCATTTCTATTTAATGTATTAAATGTATGAATTTCTAACCTTTCTGCATCGTTGGTGTCGTAATCATCAGTTTCCGGCAGTTCTCCCTGGACTGGGTAATCATCCTGCTCCCCGCGACCAGTCTCAAAGTTGAAGTACTGCACAGCATCCATCTCCACATCCCAGAAGTACATGCGAGGGTCTGGCTTCCCATCAACCTTTGGTAACGACAGAAATATCATGAACAAGCTCAGGGGCAGTTAGAAAATGTCTTGAAATAGTTCAGGAATGGGTATTTTCTGTCTTACACATGCACAGTAATGGATTGCCCAGGCTGATCTAACCTGACACTCAGGTTGTGTAAAACATACTGGGAAGCATATACAAAAATGTAGGGAAAGCCCAATGTCCAATACTCCTTTTCTTTTCACTTTATTCAATTGATTCTTATTTTTCTGTTGTTCTACTGATGGCAAAGCAAACCACAAATCTACCAGCCAACGTCTCTTCCAGAAGTCAAAAACCTCATTAGGAGAAAAAAAGAAACAGATCGGAAAACTAACATAGGTAATAACCATGAAAAATATTTCCTCAAATACCTGGACAGAACAGACCAAATCACAGTTTTTCACTCACTCAGTGAATAATGCAGACTCAACACACACATATAAATTAGGTACGACTTAAACAGCTGTCTGCCAGTGTCTGAATGCAGAATGGACTCCAGAACATGTCTTGTAAGACTGTCCTCTCTTGGTGGAGTTGGGGAGCAACATGTGGCCACACCCAGTAGACCTGACAACTAAGCTTTGGGAAAATCTGAGAGACCTTGGGATGATATCTTAGTTTAGGCCCACAGAGGATGAAGCGCATGACCAGAGATTGTGGAAGAAGTTCTACTGCTTATGCTGTTAAGCATCAAAGAGAGGAGTTAAAGGTGGTTTCCTGTTTTTTTCTAATAGTGCAGTTTGTGTTAATGTTTCATTGCATGTCTCTTTAACTCCCTCAACCCATCTCTTTCTTGGTTAGCCTTTAGACTTGTAGACTGTTGTTTTTATGCAGTACACTCTAGCTGCTGGTTGATTTTGTTCCACTCTGACCAGATTAGATTAAATCATTTGATTGATTCTTTGATGTTCTATGAACTCATTTACAGGCACTGTGCCTATCATTGTTCTTAGTTCTTCATTAGTGTTTAACTGATACTGCTTGTTAAATCTCAGAGATAATTTATTTTCTAATATGACTTCTGCAAAAACAGTAAGTCAAAAGAGATGTGGCCAGACAACAGCACTGTGCAAAAAAGCAAAACAAATTTTAAAAAAAATAGATGCTCATTGAGAGATATACTGAGGGTTTATTAATACTTATGGACAGAATGGTTCAATCTGCAGCACTTCCGAAAAACCAACATTTATCAAGTAAACAGCTTGCTTTGAAATTCTGTGACCTCTGAGTTCAGGGTCACTGGCAAACTACATATCCTGGAATGTGCAACTAGCAGAAGAAATATGTAAAGAACAACAGACAATATGTGCAGAAAGAAAATGATACTAAAAAAAAAAATTAACAACAAAGAATATCATCATTAATAAAACAAATATACAGTTACTTTTATAGACACATATGTGCACATGCAAACATGCACACACACAGAGGAAAAAAACTACGGAAGACAATCTTTTGTCATGGCACGAAATCTCTTCTTAGGGTTCACTGGCTGTTCTGGTTATTCACCCACTTATCAGCTTTGGTCCATAACATGAGTTTTGTGTGCACAGCCAATTTACAGATCTGCCATATCTGTGTGCAGACTATTGATTCCTCACCTCTCAGGCAGATGCATTCCAACATCCCTAATTAGCTGCCTTGTACTACACGCTTGTCACAGGGCAGTATTTCCACCCATCCCCCCCCCCAACCCCATGCACCCTGCTACACACAGAGGGAGCATGAAATGATGTCAGCACATAAATTAATATATTCTTTTTTTCCCCTCAAATATAGAGAGATTTTGTAAAGCTCTCACACACACAGTGAAAAAAGAATCATTTTAGTTAATTTGTTGCTGGCATCCTTCTGCCTTTCCAGGATTCTTATCTCATCTCAAACCCCCTAGTTATGGCCCCTGGTACTCCACAGGGGTATTTATTCCCCTGGCTGCTTCAAGATACCAGCTAAGTGATTTTGTGGATTTGTGTGGTAATGTTTGATTTGTGTATGTGCCGATGAAGGCTCCATAGCTGCAACGTTCATGTTTTGTTTGGGTCTGTTATATTGCGAAGCTTGCTAATATACTTTTTGTTCAGTTTTATATCTTTCCAGGATTCTTATATTGTGTTACAGGCATGCATGGAAATCACAGCCCATCGTGAAGGTGACTGAGTCTAGCACTTGCTATAATTCAATCCAGTTTCGTCCTTTTTAGGATGAAATATTTTGTTATTTGAAGCCCCACCCTGGCTTTTTCCAGGGGCTGCAATATAGGCAGGCCATAAATATGTCCAATTGTCTGAACGCGGTTTCTGGGATCTCTCCACGGCGATCCTCATCCACATGGTGGCACTTTGTGTCATCGGGTGTTTATCGCTTGCGTGATGTCCTGGTGGGGTAGAAAGTCAGTCAGTCAGCACTTTCTTAAAGTCTCCCAACAATTGTTGCTAGGGATTTAAGGACCATTTATGTATTTATTGTGTTTTGTCTCAGATGCTCAGCTCTTAACCTATGTGCAATCATTTTCTTTCCTTACCCCATCCCCCTTCCTGATTTTCCTCCTTGGCACCCTCTGAAATCCACCTCAGTATCTGTATCATTCATGTCTTACTTGTACACAGTTCTAGCGTCAGCGCAGTCAATAAGAAGCTCGCTTTCAAATCTAGCTGCGACTCGCAACAGCCCACGGTCAGTGTTCGAAACCGGGCGGCTTCCAGGGTTCACCCAGCCTCTAGGAAATGGGTACCAGAGTTGACACTCTGGGGTAAATGGAGGAACATCGCTGTAGCTACAGAGTTACGTGCGAACGGCAACACAGGCCGACAATACTTATCAGCTATCCACACTGGTGGCAAAGCACTTATGGTTTTTAACTGTGTGCAATAACGCTGGTTCACATCTCCCGACTTTACCTTTACCTTTAGCTCCAAAAAGGGAATTATTAATATGTTAGCTACAAACTAATACCATTACTAATACTCACGAACACACACATACACACAAACTATCACTCACAGACATAACTTGAATGCTGACTCTGCTTCCAGCACAGTTGACTTTCGCTGAGATAACACCGCCAAATCCAGAGATGACTTCTGCGATGTTTTTGGGGCTGCTGTGAGCTTTAGCCTCCCTGGAGTTTTTTTTTTTTCATGGAAAAAAGAGCAGTTTCATGACAAATAATTATTTGTTAAATTATCTGATTATCATCTGGTATTTTATTTTATGCACATTTTAATAACATAAGAGGGAATAGAAACCAAAAACGAGCTTTGATAACAGCTTCACTGCAGTCACCTCCATTTTCGACATCAAGTGACATTTTCCTCATGTGATGAGGAAATATGGGGGAAATAGAGATACTAATGAACAGTTTCAGGGTGCAATTAAATTATTTTCTCCTGTTATGCAAGTGTGTAAGGAAATAAACAGGTAGAGAGACTGGCTTGATCTGCACCACCGGGTTGTGAGCTGATGCATGATAAGCTGAATTTACTGATTTAATGATTTAAGAATCGACATCATAGCACACAGGGCATACCCATAGATGTCCTGTCTCCCGCAGCAAATGACATAATGTATAGATGCTAACTGTTGTCGTAGCACACTGATTATCCACAAGTCGATCTCTTCCTCTCATCAGTCCCTCATTGCCGGATCCACACCTAATTCCTCGTTCACACATTCTTGCCCATGTTATTTCAACTAATCTCGTATTCTCTGCCAAAAGTCATTCATATATAGTCTTCACAATATCTCCTTTGTCCAATAGAGTGTTCCCATAGCTTTCTCTTTTGTAGCCAGAAAATCTGCTCTTTCATTCCCTCGCACTCCTGAATATCCCAAACAGTATATCCAGGTGATTGTCCTGCAATTTTGGCATGCTGATGCATGGTATCCATATATAATCAGCAGCCTTTGAGTAAAAGGAAACAATACTGAAACATGATAGGGTCAAGAGAATGGTACAGCTAGGAGTGACCAGGGGGAATCTGGTCAACACTCTACACTCACAGGAGAGAATGGTACAGCTAGGAGTGACCAAGGGAAATCTGGTCCACACTCTACACTCACAGGAGAGGATGGTACAGCTAGGAGTGACCAAGAGGAATCTGGTTGACACTCTACACTCACAGGAGAGAATAGTACAGCTAGGAGTGACCAAAGGGAATCTGGTCGACACTCTACACTCACAGGAGAGGATGGTACAGCTAGGAGTGACCAAGGGGAATCTGGTCGACACTCTACACTCACAGGAGAGGATGGTACAGCTAGGAGTGACCAGGGGATCCTGGTCCACACTCTACACTCACAGGAGAGAATGGTACAGCTAGGAGTGACCAAAGGGAATCTGGTCGACACTCTACGCTTACAGGAATGGCAAGTCAGACATATAGTTAAGCTGTTACTGGCATCAGAAATAGAACACAATGAGAATGTAATGCCAATGAGATTGTCCCGAGTGCTGTGATGACAGCTCTCAACTCAACTCAGCATACTGTGCAATTATGAGGTTCTGGTAAGCAAATACATGACGCTTATCACACCACTATGGACAGACCCATATTTGTTCAGACCCACTGGCACTTAATGGGTGATGTGGTTAGCATCATGCCGGCCACCTTTATTTCTGAAGATATTTCCTAATGCCCATTCTAGGCTGGGTAATTTATATGAAATCTTCCCTGATACAAATTTAAACAAAAGATTTTCAGGCAAGCACCTAGCTACTGCCCTCTTTCAGTCTCAGACAACATAGTATGTGTGTCTGGATTTTTCATAGGCACCAATTACCTAGAATGTCTTTGCACTAGAACCCACAAGAGCATAAAAATAAAACCAGACCTAAAAAAAAAAAAATCAAGAGTGAAGTTAAAAAGATGGGGAGGACATGTGGTGAGCAGCATGCAAAGGGAAAGGATAAAACAATTTGGCATGAGTTGGTTGAGGGCCTATGCTCCACTAGGAGATAGAAGGCAGAAGAAGAAGAAGAAGAAGAAGAAGAAGAAGAAGAAGAAGAAGAAGAAGAAGAAGAAGAAGAAGAAGAAGAAAAAGAAGAAGAAGAAGAAAAAGAAGAAGAAGAAGAAGAAGAAGAGGAAGAAAAAGAAGAAGAAGAAGAAGAGCAGTTAACATTTTATTTTAAGTTTAGTTGGGGCTTGTTAAATAACACATCTGCTCCCACAAAGGATGAATATTTTGGCCCTGCGGATGTAGTATACCCATTATTTTGTTTATTTCACTATTGACTCACTAAGGCATCAACTGTGACCTTCTGTGATAGAAATAGTTATGGTCCATTAAAAAAAAAAAAAATGAAATCTCCTTAATTGCCTGCTAAAATATTTGTAAAACCTTAACAACTGCTAAATATGCAGTACCTCCTTGAGAGATCGTACACCCGCAACACACCAGCATCTGTAGCGACAACTAAATAACTCCCACATATGTCAAGGCTGACTGGGTGTCCCTCAGATTCAGCAAAGGTTATCAACTGCTTAACTGTACCCTGAAGAAAACAAATAACTTGTTTACGTTACGATAACCTAACAAGGAAACACAACTGCACACAAGTTAATCTACACCATATATAATTTCTAGTCCAAAAAGGAAAATAACCAGCTGTTCACCCTGATCCTCTAAAAAGTTATTTGTTTATAGCCAGAATCTGCTGATGCAAACTGCCGATTTCTGAACTGGGAGTCTAAAGGTTCCACAACCAAGCTATTGAGCTGAGTGCTTGGTGTAACACTCTGAGCTGTGGAATTAATGTAGAATGTGTTTTTCTGTAGAGTCTGTGATGGCTTGTGTTGTAAACTGCACTTAAAATGGTAGGCTGCTGATTGCATTCAGAATGATGTGTACTCATGCTTTATTTTGTGTACAATGCTGGCTTTCATAAACTGACTACTTGCATCAACACTGAGCTACAAATCTGTTGTGGGAATGAGTGTTGGCACTAACTTATGCATTTACTCTGCATGTGCAAGCTTCAAAATCTTGCTGGTACTTACTGATTTTTAGGTAATTTTTAAATGAGACTGTGAAGGACTTTTGTGTGATTTCCACTGGCACAGGAACAGGCAGTTATGTAACACTCCGTCTGCAATTAAACTGGACTAATGACTAACTAATGAACTAATAGGGTGGCTCCATGGTCTTGAGGCATGGTGTCAACCATAAGTGCTAGAGGTTCTGGGTTCAATCCCTGGTAAGCTGTGGGATTTTTTTTATGTGGTTGGACTTGTACTTATTCCTCCTGGTCTCTGGATAGTGAGATCGGACGCCCGTGTGTGTTGTTGTGCACGTAAAAAAACCCTTTGGCAGTTGGAAATCTAAAAGAGTAGCCTAACAGCACTGCCCGGGCAAAATTTGGAGTTTAAATCATGTGGAGCTTTACCTCTATACAATATATATATATATATATATATATATATATATATATATATATATATATATATATATATATATATATATATATATATATATATATATATATATATATATATATATATATATATACACACACACACACACACACACATATATATATATATACATACATACATACATACATACATACATACATACATACATACATACATATATATGTATAAAATTAAAATTAAGCCTAGGTTAGTCATTGTCTGAAGTTTTTCACTGTCAGCAAACTCCTGCCCACTGTCTACACTGCCTACAGAGAACTGCCTAACTACAGTGCATCCCAATGAAAAAAGCCCTAGCAAGATCTTTCAGAATGCTTGTAATATCAGTCCTGGTTAGGACCTTCATCCACTTTTGTCTGTTGAAACACATCATGGACATACTGAATAATAAAGTAATAAAAGTACAGATTAATAATTTTTTTGACATTCTGCTCTGAATAAATGGTAACATAAATGTAGATTTTTGTACAGGTAAAATAAGACATTCCCAGATCTGGCTTCATTTTTTTTTCTATAGAGACTGTTGGTTCCTTGCCTCTCAGGCAAATGCACCCCGACTTTGAAGGAAGCCCCCAATTAGCCTACTTTTACAACATGTCTGTTGGGGAGGCAGTGGGTATGTTCTTGTTTCCCAATAAATGGGGCCCCAAACCCCACACAGGGACTCAGGAAAGTAGCCATGGCCAGCTGTTGACCACGTGAACAGGTGCCGAAAGAATAATAAAAATATGAGGCATAACAATGTTGTCCAATGAAACCAAAGATTTGGAAATGGGTCGACTCAACTTTAACTGTAGTCATTTTTATGTGAGCCTGGGTCAACAATAGTATAGGTATAAAAGCCATATTAATAATGCAAATGCATCCAGACTTTCTCTGTTCACCTGAAATGTCTTTACCATACTAAAATATACAACAACAAAAATCAAAACTTCATGGGCAACTTTATTCAATTAACAAACCTTCCTACCTGAAATGTTCGAACCTGAACCTTGTTCTGTTCAATCGCGTAGACACTCTGTTCATACAATCTGATGACCATGGCATCCGTAGCAAAACTTCCTGCAGAACAAAATGTTTTTGCTATAAATATTATATAAAAATATAGAGCTAGAATAGTTTGTATACTGTTCTGACTCCAACACCTTCTGTCTCTTGATCTGGTTGTACACTTTGGCAGTTTGCTTTTTTTTTCCTTCTCTTGATGTTATCGTTCAACTTGTACCCCTGTCTACCTTCTGCTAACTTGACTTCAACATTCCTACATCTCTTTCTCCAGTATGGGTTTTATATAAAAATGTCATTCCTTGAAATATTACTAAATTAATTAAATGATCTCTTTTTTAATCTGTCTGACAGATCCTAATGCAAGCAGGAAAGCTGCTGAGTGCATTAATCTATTTTACTGTTTTGGATTCTCTTTTATACCATTCTCAACGCCCTCTGTTCAATGGGCTAAAGACTTAACAAAATAAGTGTGACAGAAAGAGAAAAGTATGCATGGGGTTGTATTTATGAGAAAGAGAGTAACAGACAAATGAGATCATGCTCAATACTTTTAGTTCCAAATTTATACCACTTTGACACTGTTGTGTATACACATTAGACCTTTCATCCCAGAAACCACTTGAAGAAAACTAGCAGAGAATCCAAGAATTCCAAAAGATAAAATATGTAAAACCACACAGGACATTAATAAATCTTTGCAAAAATATTTTTTAAAATGTTAAATAATATATATAAAGAGAAGCAGCAATAAATAAATGGAGCTGAGAATTAAAAGACAACAGTCTCTTAAAAAAAAAATACAATAACTTATACTGTGACCACAATTGCTAAAAGAAAATTATTGTGGCTTTAAAACGCCATTTTTTTCAGCAATTACCCGGCCCCATGCAAATTTTTAGTAATATAATCGTATGTCATCCTCCTAAACAAAGTGCAGGTGCAATCAGATCAAATTCACTATACTAGGCTTGTCAGGAACTGGCAAATACAGCAATGCCAGCTTAGAGGCTTCTTAACTCTTTGAGTCCGAAAGGGTTTAGCATCACAGGCCCAAGGGGTAGTCATAGGTGATGTAAAATCGGCGCATCCTGCGTTCATTGGGCCTCTAGGTAGGAATCTATGAACGTATGCTGCGTTCCTTGGGACTCAAAGAGTTAAGGATTTGTAAGGGATGACAATGCTGGATTAGCTGCAGCCCGGGGCCAAACGATTCAAGTAACAATCTGTGAGTCTGAAGCAATTCAACTAATACAACATAAAGGTTAAAGTAACAGCTGGTTTAAAATGGATTATGATTACAGAAAAACTGGACAAGATTATTAAAGTAATCCATACTGTGTACTGAATAATCACTAAGTAAGTGTGCCTGGTACTGAAACAATCAACCTACAAAACAGAACGTACAAACACAAACCTGCTGCCTTGACTGTTGATTTGTCCCCAGCGAATTCATACACAACTATTCTCTTTCCATTCCAGACAGCTACTGTATCCTGCACAGATGAAAACATCAACACAGGGACACTTTTATAAATTACAGACATGAATGTATCATCTCTTACTGTCATCGTCATTATCACCATCATTATCACCAGCATCACCATGATCACATTATACTGTGTGTCATTAAATAAACAGTTGTTGCTGGCCGTTGAATCAATTCTCACTCTCTCTCTCTCATCTTTACTGAAAATACTGACCGCTTTTAAAGATGATGTAGGACATGAGAGTCGTAAGCCTGAGGATTTAGGGCTGTATGAGGACCTGTTTTAAGGGAATGTGCAGATTACGATTTTATTTCTTCCCCAACAGAGACAAATTTGTCCCTCTACCAAGGATCTAAACCTAGGTCTTCTAAATAACAGCACAGTGTTCGTAACTGCTCAGCCAGTGTACACTCTAAAACTGCACTTTTACCTGTTCATTTTAGAAAATGATTGACAAAAGTAACTTGAGCGCATTGTTTCAGATGGATTTACAACTCAGAAACAAGGAAACAAAGTAATAGTCAAAGCCTACCTGCATCAGCCAGTACTTTACTTCATACATGAACGTCTCTATCATCATCACAGTTCCATAACAACACGTGTCACTGGGTCACCAGCTGTTGCAGACTGATCAGTTCCCTCCACCACTGTCAGTCAGATGCCACAGACTCTTATTGTTCACATATGATTGTGACATTGAACACATATTGTGCATACTTCAGGGAAGATCACAACAACAACAGGACGCAGTATTCTTGTCCAGATTGATGGACAGGGGGATGTAACCAGGGGTTGACAGATATGAGCATTTCACCAAGGGCACAAGGCGTTGGTTAATCAATACAGAAGGGGCAAGATCAGTCATTTTACTCTTGTGGAGCTACTGAGGAGGAGACTGGAGCACCTATGGATCTGTTTGGAGTGCTATGGTGAAAGTCCTTACTAATCAGTGGTACACACAATAAAACTAATATTTTACATGTTCATTTTGGATCAAGATTGCTACAGTAACTTACAGCTCACTGTTCCAGACCAACTTACAACTTCAAAACAATTTAACAGTCTATTGCTAGCTGCAACTACAGCTTAAAAAAAAGTATCTTCTTTCAAAGGAGTCAGCAGAAACTGGCTGGTTTATGCTGTAGGCATTCAAACTTTGTTTTGCTGTGTCCAACTTGCTTGCCTTCCTTTTCTACTGCATTCCAGTGTACTATAAATTACACTTTCAGGATAAAAGAAGAATGAAGGTGGACAAACAAGCTGACACAAGAACTGTTTGAGAGAGAGAGAGAGAGAGAGAGAGAGAGAGAGAGAGAGAGAGAGAGAGAAAGAGAGAGAGAGAGAGAGAAGAGAGAGAGAGAGAGAGAGAAAGAGAGAGAGGGAGGAGACAGACAAGAAACAAAAAACTGAAATAAGAGAAGAAAAAAGAAAGAAAGAAAGAAAGAAAGAAAGAAAGAAAGAAAGAAAGAAAGAAAGAAAGAAAGAAAGAAAGAAAGAAAGAAAGAAAGAAAAAAGAAAAAGAAAGAAAGAAATAAACAAACAAACAAACATCCATAACATACCTTAGTTGTACATATGCCCTTGATCTGGATCTCTGTCTTCAGATCATGATGTACAGATGCAGAAAAGATTTCTATGCTGACAGCCCCAGGACCATACTGTACCGCTGCGGTCTAATAATGAAGAACAGTTTCATTAGCAACAAACCCTGCAATGTAGGTGAATAGTTCACTCGTATATGTGTAAACTTAACATTATTATGTACAAGAACACAATGTTGGTTTGTATGTGTAAACAAAACGTTACTATGTACAAGAGCACAGTGGTGGTTTATATGCAAAAAGATAACATTATTATGTACAAGAACACAGTGTTGGTTTGTATGTGTAAACAAAATGTTACTATGTACAAGAATACAATGTTGGTTTGTACGTGTAAACATAACGTTATTATGTACAAGTACACAGTTTTGGTTTGTATGTGTAAACAAAATGTTACTATGTACAAGAACACAATGTTGGTTTGTACGTGTAAACATAATGTTATTATGTTCAAGAACATAGTGTTGGTTTGTACGTGTAAACATAATGTTATTATGTACAAAAACACAGTGTTGGTTTGTACGTGTAAACAAAATGTTACTATGTACAAGAACACAATGTTGGTTTGTATGTGTGAACATAACGTTTTTATGTACAAGAACACAGTGTTGGTTTGTATGTGTAAACAAAATGTTACTATGTACAAGAACACAATGTTGGTTTGTATGTGCAAACATAACGTTTTTACGTACAAGAACACAATGTTGGTTTGTTTTAATTGATTTGATTTGATTTGATTCAAGAACCGACATCACAGCACACGAGGCACTCCTATAAGCGCTCCGTCCCCATCTTCAGCAGCCAGCGAAGAGTTCCGATATTAATGGTGCCAGTAGCATTCTGATTAAACGTCTGTCTTGCCTTTCCTCTGAGTCTCGAGCATCTGCCAGAACCTTTCGTCACTCCCAATTGCATCAGTGTCACCAGACTGGTGATCGATCTGCTCCTCCACAATGTACACGCTCTCCCACAAGGCACTAACCACGTCTGCCTTATCATGCATCAGTATTCCACCAAGCTGTGCAGAGCCAGCCAGTCTGTCCACCTGTTCATTTCCCAACACACCAGCATGCCCTGGTGAAAAAATCCAGACAATGCTTCTCACCCGTGTCTTCCGTAGCGAGTCATGCCACTCTGCACGAAGCATGCCTGTCCTGATCCTGCTCAGCATGCTTTCTGAGTCAGTTACAATCATGATATGTGTGTGTTGTGTTCTCTAGCCAGCGGAAAGCTGCAGTGACAGCCTCCACCTCCATTCTTAAGCTGGATGTTGTGGTATCATATGCTAGGCTCTCCTGCACCAAATGTCGACCATTAACTTCTGCTAAAAAACCCCAAGCACTTCTTTTGCCTCTTGACACTGAACCGTCTGTGAAAATGATCAAATCTTCTGAGCAAGCATTATCTTGAATTAATTGCTGAATTTCCACCTCTGTGGCACCTGCTGACCAGTCTCTGCATTTCCCGGCTCAGTGTAATTACGACCCTACACAAGTCTGACTGTTCAGGTGGCACTTTGACCCACTCCTCTCCTCGCCTAATGTTCTCAAGGATGCAAACCTGTCTGATTGTATCTTCTGCCTGAGCCATCAATGACTTCCCTCTTATCAGCCGCTCACCCTTAACTGCACCCAGGGCTTCGTGCAAAGGGTGGTCTGTGTCTGCAGCTACCCTGAGATATGACTTTGCCTGCATCACCTTGTGCCTACCTGCAACAGTTGGAAAACCGAGGATGTATCGCATACACACCACTGGGGTGTCTCTGGTGCAACCCAGAATGACCCGCATTGCTGCATTTTGTATGCGCTCTAGTTTTTCCATCTGGCTCTTTGAGATGGTAAGCATTCCCAGGCCATAATCAACCACTGACAGGATCAGATACAGATATAGTGTGAAAAGCATTCTCTGCTCTATGTCAATTGCAGCCATAGTCTTAAGTGCACTAAGTCTTTTTTGGCATCTTGTCACAACACTCTCCACATGGTCCTTAAAGGACAGGCTCCTGTCAAATGTAATTCCCAGATACTTCAGTTTGCTCTCTCTGTTGACGTTTCTACCATCTATCGTGAGGCTTGGGACATTAGCTTTAACGATCCTGTTGTCCAGAGAACACCACAAAACCGACCCCTTTTCCGGGTGGACGACAGCCCTTATTTCTGTACACCACTCAGTCACTTTGTCTACTGTCACTTGTAGCTCCCGGGCTGTTTGTTCCCTCTTTTCCCCCTGCCTTTATGCAAGTGTATCATCCGCAAAAGTCAGTATCCTTCCAACTCCTGGTGCTTCTAGGCGTGCAATCTTGCTCGTATACACGTTAAAGAGCACAGGTGAGATGGCGGATCCCTGTGGCAATCCTGGGGCCAGACTGTGTGGTTCTGAGGTCCATGAGCCCAGTCAAAGAGCAACCCGACGTGAATACAGGACAGCTGCAATCCAATTCACCATCCATGGACTGACCTCCTTCTCCTTCAGTGCAGTCATCAAGATGTCGTATCTTACTCTGTTATAAGCATCCTCAAGATTCAGTGCTACCGCCATAGTTTCCTGTCTGTTCTGGAACCCTTCATAGACGTCAAAAGCAAAAGTGGCCGCATTTGCCCATGTGTCCTTTCCTGGCCTGTAGCTTCCCAGACCTCTTGGAAGAAAGCTTTCCCCTTTCCAAAAATTCTTGCAACTTTACAGCAACTATCTTCTCCAAGACCTTCCCAAATGTGTTTTGTAAGGTGATGATTCTGAAGCCACTGAGCTTTGTATGATCCTTAAAAGGTTTTGGTAGTGGGATTAGATAGCTGTGCACCCAGTCCTGCGGTACTTTTTCATTACATCAACCAGAAAAGAATGGGAGTTGTTAGCCTAAAAACACTGGGAGACATACTCAGGAGAAGATCGGAGCACTTATGGTCATGTTTGATGTGTGACGAAGATGACTTTGAAATGTTGGTTTGTATGTGTAAACGAAATGTTACTATGTACAAGAACACAATGTTGGTTTGTACGTGTAAACATAACGTTATTATGTACAAGAACACAATACTGGTTTGTATGTGCAAACATAATGTTTTTATGCACAAGAACACAATGGTGGTTTGTATGTGTAAACATTAGATTGGTATAAATGTGAAGATTATGTTGGTCCTCATAATCTAGCAGGTCATTTGGAGAAAGTTGCTCACATCAAGGTCTGCCTGAAAGAAATGTGGTCTCTCATCAGCTCTTAGGCCTCATGACTTTTCATATCCAAGGAGTAGCATTTACCTGTGCCCATCTTTGTGTTGGTTGGCCCTTACTGCTCTTTCCTGGTACCATGCCTTCTACTATTATTTTTTCGTCCACCATGGCGCTTGATTTGGCCAAAATATCTCAGCTTCTGAGACAGGATGCTGTTTATTAGTCAGTCTTCCTTGATATTCAGATCTTTAAGAATGTCTATTTCTTTTCTTCTTTGTCAGTATTCTGTGAATCTTTCTATAGCACTTCAACTTAAAAGCCACTATTTTCTTCCTTAAGGACTGGAAGATAGTCCACAACTAACATCTGCATGACGCTACAGGGAAGATGCATGCTCTAAAATTAACTTTGATTTCCTTGCTGGTGCTTAACCACAGACTTTTGATGCTGTTTAATCTTTGTTTTACTAGGGCCATCCTCATTTTAACTTCTGTCCAACAGCCTCCATTGCTGTTTATTATGGAGCCTAGATATTCAAAGTTTGTGACATAATATGGGCCTGTAAGTGAATATGATCTTAGTATAAATCTGAACCTTTATGTCAAGACATTTTGTTCCAGGGTATGCTGGTGTAAAAGGCAATGAGAGAGCAGACCCCCTGGCTGGCAGTGCAACTATCAGAAATGGGCCATCTATGGAGAGAAGATACATCATCGATTTCGTACAAAAGACTAAACACTGTGGAGCTTTCAGTTTCGTGGAAAATGATTTTTTACTGAATAGACTACATACCTTAGGTGTACCAACTGGAACAGTGAGACAGGAAAACCATGGGAGAGCCAGCCATCGTTACATAAAACAGAAAAGAATGAGAGTTGTTAGCTTAAAAACACTGGGAGACATACTCAGGAGAAGATCGGAGCACTTATGGTCATGTTTGATGTGCGACAAAGATGACCTTGAAATGAACAATAAAAAGGGGATCTGGACAATACTAAACTCATTGGGGAAAGGGGGTGGGGGGACATGTAATCAGGCTGCCACTGGCAAATCAGCATAGGAACTCTTAGAAAATGTGAGAATGTCCCATATACACTCAGGTCACATGACACATTCATTCTTTCAGAGCCTGATCCCTGTCTTTTAACCTGTCCAAAACAGAAGTCACTATCACCAGCAAGCTACCACTGATATAGTCCTTTGGGTCACTGCAACAGATAAACCCCATACCCTATCATCAACTGCAAAATTCAACTCTCATTTTAATTCAAATCCCGAAAGTAAACAATAATTACCTGGTCCTTGTAACTGAAATTCATGACTTGTTCACAGAGAATGTACACACTGGCAAATGTATTCACTGCCATCAACCCTCGGCTGTGACTCCACTGAAAACAGAACGTTAAAAGGGAAATTTAAAAAAATAAGCTACTATCAGTACAGCATTTTCAGTTTACTGCCCACCAAGCACTTTTGTTAGATAGGTTAAAAGATGGAGGCAGTCTATCCCTGTTGTAGTAGTGCAAAGCATATGCCAGATTTGAGTTAGTTTACATCCATAAGTGACTAACCTCTCCACTATAAGAAAATAGTGCCAATGACTTCCAGAAGAATGGTAAAGGACAAAGAATACAGAATATTTCAGACAAGTTGTGATGAAAGTCACATTCCACAATGGATAATCAACATGATGATGATGATAATAAGGGTTCCATATCAGAGTGACTAGCAGCCCAGTTGCTTGTTTACTTTGTAAAGATATAGATCACAAGAATTTTATATCCACAAACAAACATAAAAACATACTAATGACCCAGATTAAAAAATGTAACAATTAGTGATGAAGTCTTTGATGCAGCTGAGGGACAGTAATAATTTAAAAAAACAAAGACACCAAAGAAACAGGACAACGCTGCACATACCAGTTTTAAAGTCAACCAAAACAAGACTAGCTGAATAAATTGGGTTGGTCCTTAAAAACTACAAAAATTGCTTCAAAATAAATATATAAGTGCTTCAATCTAATCAACTAATTAAACAATATGGTTTTCAGCACAGCCAACAAACCCAGCAGTGCTGGAAATGATATCAGAGCATATATGAATCACACTGTTTATAAAATGTATTGTGGTGGGAAGGTTCTCATGTAACCAAAATTGTTAACAGTCATTGTGCTCAATAATATTCACTGCTGGAAACAAATCTACCTTTTAAACTACAGGCAGGTTACTCTTTAAGTAACACGAACCAGCAATAGACTTTAGGCAAGAATGAGGCAGAAGCCAGAATGATATGAAGGTAACTGAAGAACATAACATCAGAAATCCATAAAAAGTGCATGTTCGAGTCATAAAGTCCAGCAATAACATAATGATTTATGTGAAGCAGTTTCGGAGATCACCCGCAAAAAACTTTTTGGACAGATATTTAGGAAAGACATGACCGCCTACTATAATCTCTCATCTTCTACCTTTCATTCTTATATGGATGTGAGAGTTGGACTATCACTGTGGAAATGGCAAGGAGGATTCAGGCTTTTGAACATAAATGCTGTAGACGAATTCAACAAATTAGCTATGTACAACATAAAACTAACAAATATGTAAGAGACAAAATTAACAAATCTACAGGACATCAGGAGCCCTTTCTGGCTTGGTTCAGACATGTGATGAGACAAGATTCGATTGCAAAGACTATACTTCAGAAAACACTGGTAGTCAAAGAAGAGAGAGGGGAAGGGGAGCAAATAAGAAATGACAACAGAGTAAGGCAGCAGGTTTTGTGTGCTAGTGCTTCCACTGATAAACCTTCACCTCTCTAAAGGGTCAAGGGTTATGTTATGTTATAACTTTCATCTCCCAGTGGAACAAAGGTCCTCAACCAATCCACACCAGACCTTTTGTAGACTTGGCAATTTATTTAATTTTGTCACTACTTGTCTGTAGGATAGCGGTATGTGTCAATGCCTGCGTCCTTTTTAGGATGTAATTTGTTTGTTATTTGAAGCCCCACCCTGGCTTTTGCCAGGGGCCGCAATATAGGCAGGCCATTAATATGGCCAATTGTCTGAACGCGGTTTCTGGGACCTCTCCACAGTGATCCTCATCCACATGGTGGCACTTTGTGTCAACGGGTGTTAATCACTTGTGTGATGTCCTGGTGGGGTAGAAAGTCAGTCAGTCTGTAGGATGAGAATGACATCTTAAGATTACAGAAGGTAGATTTCCAGGGAGGGGGGAAGAAGTGCACTGTATAGTTTGTGTAGATTTCCAGGGAAAGGGGGGGGGGGGGGGGGGGGAGGAATGCACTGTATAGTTTGTGTACTAAAAAGGAAAAAAGAGGGTGGCACACCAAATAAGTATAGAAATCAATGATCTAGAGAGATACCTCAATCTGTCTGGCTGGTCCATCAATGGTCGCTGGTGCCTGCAGCTTCCACAAGTCTTCACTATCAACTTTGCGGTTGCCAGCAGGAGGGGAGTATTTCCACAAAGCAATGTTTCCCATGTTGGTTCCGCCAGCCAGGACCATGCTGTTTTCATTGTATGCAAGGCTCATTATTGCTTCATTTCTGTCATAGCCTGTGTTGCCCTCTAGAGTCAGGACATAGTTGTCATCGTGATCTAGGTCCCACATTCTGTATAAATTATATAACATCACAACATCAGACAGGAGCTGCAATAGTGCAGTCACTAGACACATGACTGTTGGCCTGAAGATCTTGGGCTGGAATCTACACTGAGGTATTTTTTAATAATATACTTTGGCTCCCAGCCTAACAAGGGTGGCAGGAAAATGTACTGGGCAGTAAGGGTAGCAAAAGCGGCTGGCATTCACTGACCATATCACCCAGCAAGTGCTGATTGGTCTATTAAAAGATGGATCTAGCACCATATGCATAATCTGCAAATAGTATGAAAAGATCCTTTCTTTTTCTTTTATTTTTTATTTTTATTTTGTTGTTGTAATAATACAAAACACTCCAACTTGATCCCAAGGGATTAAGACAGCAGAACTATTTACAGTAAACAAACTGTAATTTAATGCATTTGTCATTTCACAGTAAAAAACATTTCAACATACATGCTCGTAATAACACCCATAAATAAAATAAATAAAGAAGCTTGATTTGATGGTGCACACTTTCCTAAATTTCATTTGATGATGCTTTATGTTATATGCTGAACCAAGTTAGCACCCTATTGCAGCTGCTACAGAGTCAACCGTTACTCGCCTGTCACCTCTAATTATCTCCTCCACAAAAAGGGGCTTGATCATGGAGTGCAGAAGCATCTTGCAAATATACTTACTGGGTTGCAGTTTGATAAGCCACTGGCAACCAGTACATCTGCATTCAGAATCAGATATGGAGTTAAATGTTTCTAGAATACATGGTGCACATGTAATAATGTAAACCAATTTATAATGCTTATCTGCCATGTGATGCTGTTATTGCAATGTTTATTCATGTGGTTGATGATATGGTCATGGGATCAGCATGCAAATAAGATGCATGAATGCATTTATACTACAAATGCTTTGTATGTTAACTCTTAATGAAGCTGTGCTGAATCTGTTCACTACATGTGTGACGAATATGTATCATGTTCTTGCTGAATCTGTCTGCATCATGCTATGAAATAACCCTTGTACTACTAGGAGGCTGCGTGGTCTTGAGGCATGGTGTCCGCTTCGAGTGCTAGAGGTTCTGGGTTCAATCCCTGTTAAGGGCTGGGATTTTTTCACATGCACTTGGACTTCTAGGAATTCCCCCTGGTCTCTGGGTAGTGAGATCGAATGCCCGTGTGCATTGTTGCGCATGTAAAAAATCCCTTAACAGTTGGAAATCGAAAAGAGTAGCCTAACGGCGCTGCCGGGCAAATTTTGGAGTTAAAAATCTACCCAACGTATTTTAGGATCCTAGCTGGTGCTACAGAGCCTGAGCACTGGGCTGAGCTTCTTCGGACTCAGACTTGAGTTAGAAGAAGAACTGAGCACTTATGGGTTACACCCGTGTGCCATGCTGTTGATCCATTGTTCAAAACCTTCAAACCCTTGTACTTATTCTTTAGATGTGTCTTGGGATTTTATACAGTCAAGATACATGGCTTCACTCTAACTATTATGGGCCGGGCATGAGTCACCTCCCAAACACTTTCTAGATACTGTCTGAAGACCCCTGTTGGTTATAGAATAATAATTCCATAGTAACTCTTTATGCATGGAGTATCTAACCTTTTTTTTTTTTAAGGGATTGGGTGGAGGTTGGGGGGGGGGGGGGGTTAAATGCCTAAGAAAATATGTTTAGAATCATATTATGAGAAAAATATCTATTTGAGATCTCAGCTGAGGATGGGTACAATATTTAATTGATACCATTGTGTAATGTGTGAACTATGAACTTCATTATTGGCTCAACTATGATCTCTGGGAAGACTTCAAATGATGGCCTATTCATATCAGATTTGTAACCTCTGTCAAGGTGCTAATCTAGTCCATATTATCCTATACATGATATCTCTCGCGATTTCAGTTTTTGCGGAGATAAGGGGAATGGTCTGTCAGCTGGGAAGGTTTTATCTCCTGGTAAGGAACTAAATAATAATATGCTGAGATAAACACTCTGATTCTTGGTTTATATATCATAGTCCCTATGGGACAAGGCATGGCTACTAGCCAGTTTGTGTTTATTTGTTAAATGCACGAAAATAGTCCACGCTGGCTGGTTGTCCTAATGCCAGTCCGACATATGCTGAGATAAACACTCTGATTCTTGGTTTATATATCATAGTCCCTATGGGACAAGGCATGGCTACTAGCCAGTTTGTGTTTATTTGTTAAATGCACGAAAATAGTCCACGCTGGCTGGTTGTCCTAATGCCAGTCCGACATCTGCTCTATGTGCAGGTAACCATGAAACTACAACCTGATCCATGAGATGTGTAGACTTGAGCTGGAGGCTTATGCTACAGTCTGATCCACTGGAGCTGGTAGTTTCTGTGTTCCATGGCAAGTTAACCTATGTCAGTCTCATGCCTATGCCTGGCGAGCCCTGAGTTACATGGTAGGATGACAGTAACCTCGGGAGAAAAACAAAGCTAGGCTTAAAGGGCCTGAGGAGAAATAACCAGGGTTAATCTTTATCTGCACTGAGCTGAATTTCAGTGGACCACTTAACATGCCGGGAGTCACCGTGGTGTAGCGGCTAGATGCTTGCCAGCTGATCGGAAGGTCGTGAGTTTGGTTCCTGGCGGAAATAGGCTGACTTCAAAAAAGACCTTGGCTTCCAGGTTAACCCAGCCCTGAGTGAGTACCAGGGGCAGTGGTGAGAAGTAAAGGCGGCCAGTGTGCTGTTGACCACATCACCCACCAAGTGCCGATTGGTCTATAAAATATGGGTCTAGTCCTATATGCCCAATATGCCTGAAATCATGGAGAATGGCCCTTTACTTTTACTTTTTTTAATAACTCACTTAACATGCCAGGCTGTTTTTAAGAGTGTTAAATAATTAGGCATATGGAAAATATATATTGTATAATTTTGTGTTGTTGCTGTTGCTCCAGAAGATTAATGTTTTTTCTCCCCTGTAGGCTTGTAAACATCAGTGCATTACTACTTAAGTAGTATATTTTTTTTAACCTGCTCTAGTTTTATGGTCACTAAATGTTCAGAATTTTAAATTAATTCTTAGTGTTTTAAATATAATTATGTACTGTGGGTCTGCAAGATTTTTCTTCTACCTTTATTGTTAAACAAAGTTAGGGGCTATTTAAATTCTGGGAAGGTCTCTGACTTGATTTTCTGGGTATCCACACTTTATATTATAACCATCTAGTTCCCACAACAGGAATTGCTTTCTGCATCTGTAACAATATCCTGGGACAATCTCTTAGATGGAATTATATACATGAGCCCCATCTGTGGTTCAATGGCATTCCTGACATGATAAGGATGATATCCTTCACTTAAAGTTTACCACTTCTCAAAGAGACCTTATATTACTTTATGACACAACTCTTACCTAACAACTGCTTCTCCAGTGGCTGTAGCAAGAATACCTTTTCCAGCCCAAATAAAGGTTGGGTTTTCAGATCGTCCACTAAGTTTCACCTGAAAATATACATACGTGAGAAAAAGCTGCTGCCTGAAATTTTTATCTGACACCCCCTTGCAACACACATCCCGGATGCTAACCCACAAACATCCTGGATGCTACCCCAGCAGGACAAATCTCAGATACCCTGTTTAACCTCCCAAGAAGTTATAATTAGGGCTTTCATAATGAATACATCAAGTATTTCCCTGGTTTAAACTGCTGTTCAGAATAGGTAGGGAAACAACTGATATCTGACAAAAGTGTGTGACATAATTTCCCAGCAGCTGGGCTTCAAAAGCGGTGACTCCCTGAAAAATTGAATCCTATTTCCAATCCATTGTGGTTAGTTAGAGATAAATGGTGCTACACTCGTATGTTCTTGGTCAGACAGCATTAGACGGATGCTGTGATCAAAATAACGTTGGCCATCTTACCTCCTAAAATATTTTCTAGCACCAATTTTGTTAAGACCGAGGTGACCCTGAAAGTAACCTGCTTTCAAAGAAATGTAGGTTCAGGAGGACCCGTCTAGCAGGCAAGTCCACTAACCACTATTATAAAATAATTCTGAAAAAATCTTTTAAAAAACATTCATCTCCACAAAGGAGGTTGGTTGCAGTAGATATGTGCATCTACTTATTTTTTTGGAGTAATAATATGTGAACAGCCAATCCTTATTGAAGATTCAACTCTAATACCACTGACTTCTGCTGCTGCTACTGCTTTTTCTTCTTCTTCTTCTTCTTTTTCTTCTTTTTCTTCTTCTTTTTTTCTTCTTCTTCTTTTTCTTCTTCTTCTTCACATTCACTGGCAGTAAACTCTGACAGAAAGTTCTAGCTGTTTGTACACCTCTGGACTTTGGTCTTGTTCCAGAACTTATTTTGCATGTACATTCATTTTACAGATATAATATGCAGACTATTGGTTCCTTGCTTCAAAAGCTGATGCACTCTGACTTAGAAGAATCTCCCCTAATTAGTCGCTCTGTATGACACACTTGTTAAGAAGGCAATGGGTCTATTCCTTTACCCCCAAAACCCACATGGGGAATATATACCACTGTCTGAAAGCCAGGATGTGCAGTGACAATATGAGGTTTACAACAACAAAAAACTTCCATCTGATAACTGGGCTACTGCCATGCAAGCTGGTAATGTTGCTAAGATCATAAGCTGCTCCAGAACAAAACAGCTGTTACTGCAGTACTTTCTGTCCTACAGTATGCAAACTTTAGAGAAACGTTTAATTCATGGGTTTAAATGATAAGCTATGAGTGAAAAACCAACAAAACATAAAACATATCTACTGGACAGTCAGATTTAAAAGTAATATCTGAGGCTGAATGGGATCATGTGACCGAAGAATGGTGTGTAGAAGTACAGGTTCTCCTTGAATTATAACCGAGAATCGTTCGAGCTAACAGGTTGTAAGTCAAACAAATCATAAGTCAAATTTATATTTTTCAACACAATTTTTTTTAAAACATATTTTAAAGATTGTACATAAAACACAAAAATACCATCTATTTACACATAATTTGTTTTAAATACATAAATGCACACTAATAATGCACAAGTTGCTACAACATTTTCATCATCAGTTCTCGTTATGCCTAGTGGCACATGAGGCTTCAGAGAGGACTTTCCACGCTTTCCTGTCCTGAGCAATCTTCGGTGCAGTTTTCCATGTCAAAGATGCCGCACTCAGGTCACTTTCCATCGTTCGTCTCCATGTTGTTTTTGGGCGCCCCTGTTTTCTTTTTCCCTCTGCTGTCCATGTGAGAGCTGTTTTGGCAGGTATATCAGAAGTCATTCTCATAACGTGGCCAAGCCATTTCCATCTTCTCTTGGTTATCATACTGACTAAAGTTTCTTGGTTTGTGACTTGAAGTAGTTGAGTGTTTGAGATTGTTACTGGCCAGAAAATTTTTATAATTCTACGTAGACATGTGTGGTGGAAGGTGGACAGCTTGTGTGCATCATTTTTTGTCATTCTCCAGCATTCCGCTCCATAAAGAAGATCTGGCAAAATGATGCTCTTGTAGAGTCAGAGTTTCGTTCCTCTGCAGTAATTGTTGGATTTCCAGATTTGCCTCATCCTTCCTAAAGCAGCTCTAGCTTTGTTCAGACGTGACTATATGTCTTCCTCTGTCCCTCCCAGTAGGGACACCACACTGCCAAGATATGTGAAATGTTCTACATTTTCAAGTGATTGGTTACTTATGGTCACTGGTTGTTGGTTTGGACTGTTTGTCATGATCTTAGTTTTCTTTGTATTAATTCTCAGTCCCACCATTTCTGCTGTGCAGTGTAGTCTGTTACTTTTCTCTTTTTTATGTTCATGTTTATGTGATAGGAGTGCTAAATCATCTGCAAAATCAAGGTCCTCAAGCATGGTGAATGGAGTCCATCGTATGCCTCTTAATGTCCTGTCTACTGTGTTCTTTAGTATCCAATCAATCACAAGGTTGAAGAGGAGAGATGACATAACACATCCCTGTCTAACACCTGTCTTTACTGGGAAAGATGTATTGTAATTTTTTATACTGCAGGAAAAGCCTTTATAGAAGAGAGCAATTATGTTGACTATTTTTTTCTGGAATTGCATAATGCCTTAAAATTTTCCATAGACTGTCTCTATAGATGCTGTCAAAAGCTTTCTCATATATTTTCAACACTATTTTTTTCAAACATGTTTTAAAGATTGTTATTAAAACACAAAAATCCCATCTATTTACACATAATTTGCTTTAAATACATAAATGCACACTAATAATGCACAAGTTGCTACAATATTTTGACCCTACCAAATGTTGTGGTCATAGGTGCAGAGGGTCATAAGTCAAGGAGAAGCAATTTTAAGATGGCCACCCCCTGTGACACACCAGAGAAAAACGATTCTATGTTTTCTGTATGGTGAGCGTGAAGGAGTGAAACCCACAGAGAGAACTGGTGAGAGATCTAGGATGATGATGACTGTCTGTCTCTCTAGCAAGTATCTGTTTGAGGCTGGACATTCTGAAGATGATGACTGTCTGTCTTTCTAGCAAGTATCTGGTTGAGGCAGAGGCAGGACATTCTGAAGATGATGACTGTCTGTCTTTCTAGCAAGTATCTGGTTGAGGCAGGACATTCTGAAGATGATGACTGTCTCTCTAGCAAGTAACTGGTTGATGCAGGACATTCTGAAGATGATGACTGTCTGTCTCTCTAGCAAGTATCTGGTTGAGGCAGGACATTCTGAAGATGATGACTGTCTTTCTAGCAAGTATCTGGTTGAGGCAGAGGCAGGACATTCTGAAGATAATGACTGTCTGTCTCTTTAGCAAGTATCTGGTTGAGGCTGAACATTCTGAAGATGATGGCTGTCACTCTAGCAAGTATCTGGTTGAGGCAGGACATTCTGAAGATGATGACTGTCTCTCTAGCAAGTATCTGGTTGAGGCAGAGGCAGGACATTCTGAAGATAATGACTGTCTGTCTCTTTAGCAAGTATCTGGTAGAGGCTGAACATTCTGAAGATGATGGCTGTCTCTTTAGCAAGTATCTGGTTGAGCCAGGATATTCTGAAGATGATGACTGTCTGTCTCTTTAGCAAGTATCTGGTTGAGGCAGGATATTCTGAAGATGATGACTGTCTGTCTCTTTAGCAAGTATCTGGTTGAGGCTGGATATTCTGTGATGACTGTCTGTCTCTCTAGCAAGTATCTGGTTGAGGCAGGACATTCTGAAGATGATGACTGTCTGTCTCTTCAGCAAGTATCTGGTTGAGGCAGAGGCAGGACATTCTGAGGATGATGACTGTCTGTCTCTCTAGCAAGTATCTGGTTGACGCAGGACATTCTGAAGATGATGACTGTCTGTCTCTCTAGCAAGTATCTGGTTGAGGCAGAGGCAGGACATTCTGAAGATGATGAACTGTCTGTCTCTCTAGCAAGTATCTGGTTGAGGCAGGATATTCTGAAGATGATGACTGTCTGTCTCTTTAGCAAGTATCTGGTTGAGGCAGGATATTCTGAAGACGATGACTGTCTGTCTCTTTAGCAAGTATCTGGTTGAGGCAGAGGCAGGACATTCTGAAGATGATGACTGTCTGTCTCTCTAGCAAGTATCTGGTTGAGGCAGGACATTCTGAAGATGATGACTGTCTGTCTCTTTAGCAAGTATCTGGTTGAGGTAGGATATTCTGAAAAGGTATGAGTTCTGTAACAGACTGTCCTGAGTGTGTCTGACCCTATCAACAAGAGTGTGGTAATGAATGAACCCAGTGATCTGTTCTTGCAGGTAGTTTAGTGTTTGTATTTTCTCCACTGGTTGCCTTCTCTCTACATCCCTGTTTATCTTCTGGTTATTCTGAAGAATATTTGCAACTATAGCAAATCAGTATCTATTGATTTGTGTATGCATGTCTGACAGTAACCCTGTCGGAGCCCCAAAACCGATATCTGGTTGGGTCCAATGCCTCGAGAGAGTCCCTTTACAAATTTGGCTATAATGGCCTGTTTATGAGAAGCCTAACTAACAGCAAATAATCTGTGTGCACTTCTGGAAGGAAAGACTACATTTACCTAAAATAGCATTCAGAGGGGTTTTCTGTAAAGAAATGGCTTTATTTACAGAAATTATGATGTCATAATTTTCCCATTAGTCACAGTCTTAACCTGCAACCAGCTCAGAGGGAAAAAAAATCAGCCATCATATACATTTATTTTTAGATACAGAGATGTGACCTAGTTAATTCTCTGCTGCATTCCTGTTTACTGATGATGCCCAGCGTTCTGTATGGAACTGAATTTTGTTTTGTTCAACGACAAAGAGCAGTATAGTTACTGAATGCATGATGAGTAATGAATGCAGAATGAGAGACTGACTTTTATCTCTCAGCGGAAAACTGGCCCTCTAACACTTTGTCCCAAGCACCTTTGTAATTGTTCATAATCATTTGGATATTACTGGTGAAGTTTTCAATGGCCCGATGTAGCAAATAATTTCACAACCCTCCTTATTTGTCTTTGACGAGATGCTTGATAGATTACAGTGTTAACATGTTTTGTGTCTCTTGTGGTTTCTAGTAACACATGGAAGAAACCTAATCTTTAAACATTTGAACAAAAAATCTTAATTATTTACCACAGTCAGCAAGGTACAAGAACAAGATAATTTCAAAACCATTACCTTGAGGATCTCCTTTGTATCACCCTCCCCAAAAACTGCATGTTGTGTAAGCATGAGTCCTTCAGTGATGGTCACTAGAACATTCTTTGTCTCATAGAACAAAAGCTTCCTCACCAAAGTGTCTACAGAGAAGCACTGAACACACCTTCCTTGCTCACTCAGGTAGTAAACACCACCTTAGTACCGAAAGAAGATAGGACAATGTTTTATTTACTCTGTTTTACATTTTATAAAGGCAAAATAATCTAATATATAATCATTTTATTTAAGATATTTTACAAATACACAAAACTGTGCAGCCTCCACAATGGGAACAACTGTGGCCAATCCAGGCAAAACACTGTGTAATGTACTTGAAAGGTGAAAATATCGACAATATATGCTCTGTCTCCTGCAGCAAATGTCTAAACCATTTTGCCCAGATAACCCCCCCCCCCCCCCCCCCCCCCCCCCCCCCCCCCCTCCCACTTTCCCGTTTCCACCTCATAAATGACATTTCTGGCTGGGCCCAGTTCAACACAAAAAAATGTGTATGAGACATATGGTTAATACTATCTTGACGCCTGTGTTGACATTTAGGAGGTCAGGATATGAGCATATTTAAAGTATCAAAGAATTGGCGGGGGTTTGGTCCTTTGAGCTAAATGGCTTTTTAAAAACCAAGCTGATGTCAGAGTTTCCTATAACCCTCAGTGCTAGAGGTCATGGCATCAGTCACCGGACACATGTGCTTTTTTAGGCCCTGGGTGATGTATTCCATAAAATCCTGAATCTTGCTGGTGTTTACTGATTACTCCTTTATATTTTGAAAACACAATTTAAAATTTTGATAAATATATTAGTGACTTGTGTTGTTCTATTTTACGAATTTACTTCCTAAATTCATGACCATTTTTTTTTTGTTCCTGTGATGAAAGGGTTAAGGTGTAGCCTCTGACTTTTCAGTAACACACTGATAGCAGAGATATCGTACTTTTTACTCCTAAATATTATTTTTTTGCTGGATCCACACTTAATTCCCAATTCATGCAACCTTACACACATTGTGTTGTCTAACATTGCGTCTTCCATCAGCATTAATTAATATATGGTCTTTAGAATGTCTGGTTATATCCATTGTGAGTGTTAATACAACTGTCACTTTTGTAGCCAGGAAAATGCACTTGTTTATTCCCTCACAAATTTTTTTGGTATATCTTTGTGAGTCCCCATTCTGTCATAAGGTTAAAGTTAGCTGCGTATCCTTTACAGGACATTTCAGAACCAACCTCAGCATTGTTTGGCTGTTGTGGTTTTTTTAGGAACATTTTCGTCCAGTAGTTTGCCATTGCTTTCTGGATGGCCGGCTTCTTGATACCACTGTCCAAACCAACGCAAAGCTCATGGCCCCCAGCTGGGATCGAACCCAGCACTCCCGCATTATAAAATGCTTTCGCAACATCTAAGCCACAGACGCCGACAGACATCACAAGGTACACACACACACAAAAGCACAAAAACCACTACAGTTTAAAAAAAACATAGACCTTTTGATATACAGTAAAATATCTTACCACTGGCACCTCCAATAAAAAAAGACATAGACTCTTGTGGTCCAAATGATGAGGCCATTTTATTTTTGCCCCCTCGTTTCCAGATAAACATGTCCAGTGCTGATTCATCACCGCTGACCGCAGCTTTGGCCAGGCTACTGATGTCCCTTTAAATTATGAAAAAATTGAAACAGTCAGTGTTTAAAAATTTTTTTTTAAATCTGTAGCTTGAATCATGTGTGACTAAAAATAAACACAGTAAATATTCAATAAGAATAGGACTATTTCTACAACAGTAATGCATTGGGCTTATGGACTGGGCTTATGATGCTAAGCAGATATTTGTATAGACCAGTCGACTCTTTGTGGGTGATGTGGTCAACATCACACTGGCCCTCTTTTCTTCCCAAGACAGCATCTGGAACAGAATTTGGGTAGAAATTTTTGAAACAATCGCAGATTTGAACATGAGACCTTCAGGCCAGCAGGTGAGCAGCTAGCCACTAGGCTATCATGGCCTCCAAACTTAAACATTCAAAAGCAACAGAAAGTACAAACACTGCATAACAGGTTGAAATTAACAGTGCCAACAAGGATTTTTTATATGGTTTCAAAAGTTAATACACTCAACAAGGTAAAATAAACTTGACAGCCACTACCCAAGTGGGTCTGCCCTCTTAGAGCATCACAAATTTACAGGCTTAAACATTTACAGAAAGGCAGAACTTCTTGTTATGATTAAAAACCCTTTGTTGTGTCTGTTTCCCAGTGAAATAGTAAAAAACCTATAGTCTGAGTGTTAGTATGAACCACTATAGAGCGGGGACAATGGGGGGCTTCTAATCAAAAGAGGAAGTCCCTCTTTTAGAAACATGTTTCAGATTCACTACCTAGTGTTGTGAGGAGGAACAGTTTGCGATCCATTGCTTGATGGGCAGCAAAGGCTATTGTCATTCCGTGTCGATGTAGAAGCTCTTTAATGTCATCAACCCATCTTATATTTATCAAGCCATTTTATATTTAACTTCTCTAATACATCTTCCATCTTGCTTGAGGATTGTCCCATTTACTTTGATGTTTTGAGGGGTCATTTTTCTTTGTAATTACTATTACACTTGTTTTTCTGCTGCTCAAACTAAGACCCTTGTTTTTACTTTCTGTTACAATTATGTCCATAATTTCTTGCAGTTGTGTTTAGTTTTCAGCAATCAAACTGTATCGCCACGGTATTGTCACCAAATTGCAGGCTGCATAAAATATGCCTATCAACCGCCATTCCTGGCCTACCATGTACGGTTCTAATTATTATTTCACTGTACAAACTGGATAAATTGGGTGATACTAAACATCTTAGTCTAATCCTTTGTTTGATGTTTTGAAAAGTTTCAACTTGGTTGTCAGTTCTTATGGATGCATCTTTTTGCCAGTATAGGTTTAAAAAAAAATTATTCTCAAATCGGTAACATCAATGTTTAAGGTTCCCAAAACTATAATAATTTCCTTGCTTCACTTTGTCAAATGTTTTAGTGTAATCAACAAAGCACAAATACAGATCTCGGTTTATTTCAATCATTCTTTCTAAAAGTGTTCTGAGGATAAATATTTTGTTCTTTTTATCTGATGTTATCCAAGCATTTAAATATACATGAAAGATATGTTTAGAGGGTGTGTGCCTTTTCCCTCTCCAAATGCATTACAAAATGTAACGTGACACAAGTATAGAGTTAAAAAGTTTAAAAAAACTAGTATGATCTTACATAGCTGGGTCTTGTGGAGACACTGGCTTCAAGATGATCTGGGTGATTGGTTCCTGAACATGATGCTGGAATGGGTCTTGACCCAGCCTACCCTTGCTGTCAGACTTCCAGCCTATCAGAACACCTGACTGGAAATGTTCAAATAAATAATATATGTATGAGTAAACTTTTTTAAAGACACATTTCTAAGCCCTAGGGCAGCAGTTCCCAACCTTCGACAAGTCATAAACTCATTTTATAGAGGAAAAGAGACCAGTGACCCCCGTTCATTAAAAATAGGCTGTTTTAACAGGGTCAATGAAAACACATCAAAAATAGATTTTCTGCACAGGACACAATGACATGATTTTGTTTTCCCTTTTTCTAAATTTGTAAAGCTGACCACTGTCCGTTGACCCCTCAGAAAACCCTTCATGACTCTAAATGGGGTTGTGATCCATGAGCTGGAACCCGTGCTCCAAGGCAAACTGTGTACATGGTTCTTTTCCCATATTTTAATAACCTAACTGGGGTACTCAAGTGATGTGGTCAATATTGTGCCTTTACCTCCCAGAAGGACATCTCTAAGAACATCTATTATGGTGAATTAAAGACGGGCAGAAAATGTCGAGGCCGACTTCTACTATGATGTAAAGACGTGTGCAAGTGGGACATGAAAGATACTGGTATTGAGGTGGACTCCTGGGAACAAAATGCCATGGACCATGTTGTGTGGAGGGGGGACACCAGGAAGGGAATGAAAATGAAGGAAGAAATCACTGTTAAAAAGGATGAAAGCTGAGCATCTGAGAAGAAACAGATTAAACACAAATGTTCACAACAATGGTCCTGAAATCCCATGCTATAATTGTGAAAGACTTTTCTTAATGTGTCTTGCTAGTCACACTCACCATCACCATAGGCTGTGAGTCCCATGCCTCCTCATACTGCAATATAAAACTATCGTCTGGAAAGATGGAAAGGTGCCAATCAACCTCCTAGAAGGATTGCTGGTACCCATTTTAAGCTGGACTGACCCATCGACCTAAGGTAATTTTAAAACCCATCTCAACGGGAATTCGAACACACATATACTCGTATGCTGCAGACATACGATCCTTTGATAAGCTGTTCTGTATCTTAGAAAGGAGTGTGTAAGTCAATGTTTAAAAAAAAATTCCAAATTTGAAAATCTGATATTTTAAGTGTCTGTGCATTTTCACGCATACTGCTTTCAAGTGACACAAGTATGTTTTTTTTTTCTTCTTCATCATTCAGCTGAGTGGTGCAATTGTGCTGTTCCTGTTTACAGCTTAACTGCAATATTTGCATCTTTAGGCTGACACATAATACTTTAATAAGGCATTTGTTTTCCAGTTAGTCTTCCTGGTTAGTTTTGTGGCATACTTCACATCCTCATTTTTGTGGTTACTTCTTCAACCCCTGATCTAGAATGTTGCCTCTAGAGCAGTGGCTCTCAACTTTTCTAATGTGGTGATCCTTTAATACAGATCCTCATGTTGTGGTGACCCTCTAACATACAACTTTTTTTCTTCGCTACTTCATAACTTCAGTAAATATGTGTTTTCCAATGGTTTTTGGCGACCCCTGTGAAATAATCATTCAATCCACAGGTTGAGAACTGCTGCTCTAGAGGACCCATCCAGGGCTGCCACAAGCAGACTAGTCAACCCCCAAGGGAAGGCAGAGGCAGAACACTGGCATTTTCCACCATCCAAAGAGGCTTCTATAAAATCATAGCCGATAGGAAGCACTCTGATACTGGGCTCACCCAAGGAATCATCACATCCTGCACATGACTGCTTAACCACACATCTGTACAAGTAATCTCCCACTCATCATGGGCTGCACCCTATTTTATGCAGCTGAACAGGTTGTCAGGGATCTGTACCTGTTTGATCCTCATCCTTGTGGTGTTAATCCTACAGACTACAATCCTGGGTAAAACTACCAATCCTAATCTGTCACATGATTCAGCAGAAATGTTTGGCGGCCCACCTGGTTTTTTCCGCGGCCTTCCAGACCACGGGTTGAAAAACAATGGACTACCAACGCCACATGGCATGGACAATAAGAAGAAGAAAAAGATCACCCATGCACTGGGGGTGGACTGATCAGTGCCAGAGGTTTTCTGGCTACTGCATCATTGGGGCTACCAGCTCTGAGATCCGCCGCCAGTTTAGGCTAATACTGGCAATTACCTGAGTGTTGGATGAGGACGTGTGGCAGGAGCCTTGAATGAAATTACGTAAAAGCAGCACAGAAGCTGCACCCAAGGTAAGATATGTATTATCTTCTTACAAACAGCAAAATGGCCTCAACTTTCTCTCATGCTTGTGACAGAAATAACAGCACCAGCTGTAACCTCCAGCAGAAAGTTCTGGGTGTTCGTCCGTCTCCTAACTTGAGTCTTGTTTCAGAACTTGAGTTGTGCACAAATTTGTTTCACAAATTTAGCTTATTTGTATGCAGATTCTTGGTTCTCTGCCTTTCAGTCAGTGACACTCCAACTTTGAAGAATGCCTCAATCAGTCAACTCCTACACCATGCTTGCTGGGGAAGCAGTGGGTCTTTTTTTGTTCTCCCCCCCCCCCCCCCCCCCCACAATGAGGCCCCAGAAATCACATGGGAAAAGTGTTTTATCTATTTCTAGGTATGACGGGAAGTAAAAGTAAATAAAAGCCCTTTTTACACCAGTGGCGCATTGGGCATATGATGCTAGACTTACACTTTTATAGACCATTAAGCGTGATGTGGTCAATATCACATCTCGATGCAGAATGGAATTCTACAGGTTTAGCTTGGCAGCAGTTATAATGGTTTGCAACATTAGAATTCTGTCACTAGTGAATTTTGTGGAAGGGAGATAGAAACTGTATCTTCTATAGATGCGTCTCAAGTTCCAGGTTTTCTCTTCTCATAATATAGTTAACAAATATGGTATTCCTCTTAAGTACGCTTAAATAATCAAAGCAGATTCAGTGACACAGAATATGTTGATTAATATCCATGAAGAACAACTTAACCCACACAGTGTGTTTCTTTAAAAAAAAAAAGAAAGAAACAGATGAAGACAATATTTAACCCCAAAAAAATACTGAAAATGAAATCAAGCAAATACGTACAATGTCAGCTGTCAGAAGTCTTGTCCCATTCGAACTCCAATGCATGACAGTCACTTCTGAACGATGAAGGTGAGGAGTTTCAATCAACTCCTTGTCCTGCTCATTCCACAGAGTGATTTCACCCGTCTCCCATCCCACTGCCAGAATCTTCCGAGTTGGATGCCAGGCAAATGAAGTTGGATGACACTGATGAGTTATAGGTTTATGTGGCAGCTTCTCTCCCTGAAATGATTAGTTGTGATGTTAAAATAATATTAACTCAATGAAAAAAATTATTTATCATATATTAACTGGCTATCATTTATGCATTTATTGGACAGGATTTGTAAACCAAATTAATTCTTTTATTATCAATTTTACCCTTTTGTAAATCAAATTCAACCTTTTGCAAATCAAATTCAGCCTTTTACAAATCAAATTCCACCTGTGGCAAATTTAATTTATCTGGTGAGTGACAGCAGAGTCTTATTATTGTAATTATGCCATTTTTTGGGAGTTACATGCATAGCCATGCAGGCAGCACTGGTCAGCATTCTTGCTAACACTTACCTGGCAACACTTACTAGAAGTGGATCCTCACTTCTGCAAACATTGAGATTTCAAAGATAGTAAAAACCCTCAAACCATGAACATTTGGTGAATGTTATTAACTCTTTGAGTCCCAGTGAGTTTAGCATCACAGGCCCAAGGGGTAGTGAAAAGAGACATAAAATCGGCACATCATGCGTTCATTGGGCTTCTGTGTAGGAACCTATGAACGTATGATGCGTTCCTTGGGACTCAAAGAGTTAAACACTGTTTTAACTTTCAATCCTGCAGATTTTCATAATTATTTTATGAACAAGCAAACCAAATTACCACAAGCAGCTGCAAGAGAACCATTATAAAAAGGTACCTACATATAAGTAAATAATTATCTATTATCTGTAGTTCTATTATCTATAGTGCGGTGATCCTCATGTTGTGGCGACCCCACAAGGCCTCTTTTTTTTTTCTTCCAAATTTCCTGCTGTCACAATATACATTTTTTTTTTCTCATGATGTGACCTCTTCTATTTAGTGTTCATTGGTACTGAATTATGGTGACAATATCTTGTTATTCCCCCCTTTCTGAACTTTGGTCTTGTTCCAGAAATTCAGTTTTGCATGCATATCGATTTTACAGATCTGGCTTGCTTGTATACAGACTGTTAGTTTTTCACCTGTCTGGTAGATGCATTACGACGCTTCTAATTAGTCTACTTTTACCGTATTTTTTTTAAGGAAGCTGTTGGTCTTTTCTTCTTCCTCCACTCAGGGCAATGGAACCCACGCAGCAAAATTATATGACCAAAGAATGTAGCGTGTCTCCTCCTGATGTGGGTAGCCAGTTCTCTTTGAAAGTTAATTTCTTTGAATACATCTTCATTACTCTTCTAATTTGGTTAATCACCAAAAGAAAAAGAAAAAAAATAAAGAAATCAACACAATATTTTTAGTGAAAAGTTGCAATGATGAAACTTTCTGACAAAATCTCTGATTGTTACTTCATTTGTTATTAACACCCATCTTATGTCATCCTTTCTAATTTCCTAGTGAACAGTTACATTTCATTATGTTTGACATACCTCTTCATTATAAAGTACTACAGAACCACCAATTTCTTCACCATAGGATAAGACTGCCAAGATTGGAGAACTCTTCAGCCATCCTATCTTAGTAGTGATACCACCATCATCGGTGTCAAGACGATGATCAAAATGAACAGCCATCTGAAATGCTTTTAACAAACTAGTGTTTACATAAAACTGCATGTGAACCAAAAATTAAGAAATAAAAATGTTTAGAAACTGAATAACTTTGTCTCAGTAATAAAAAATTAAGATGCTTCTCTGTTTTCTTCTTCTTATTCTTCTTTGGCATTCTGAGCACATGAGGTTCACTGCTGCAGATACTGCCTGCCTCCAATCATCTTTGTAATAGACCTTCTCTTTTCAGTTGGTAACTCCAAGTGTTTGCAGAACTGTATGTATATTATCTCTCCACCTTCTTTTTGATGTGCCCTTGATTAACTCCTATTCTTTTTCCTTGTGTAAGCAGTTACTGTCTGTCCGTCGTATTGCTGACAAGGAATGGAGATTTGCTTTAGCAATGCAGAGGTTAAATAGTACAAATAACCTATGATGCGACATAGGCAAACAACTTGTGGTAAAAATCTTAAGACCATGAATCTTTCCTCTGACAAATGTGAGTAGTGGACTGCAAGAAAAGGAAAAATTCTGATTCCTTAGGATCTGAACACAAAGGAGGACTGGATCATAGACTGTAGTGTTTCCTCGGAACTGACATACTTTGGTCATATTAAATTATATAATGATTTGAAGAGAACAGTACTGGATTTTTGGTTTCTAGAAGACACAGGCATTAACTAGCATGATGGTGGACACAGGAGATCAAGGACACCCTGGAAAAAAGTTGATCAGTTAGAAAAGCTGATATGGGACCTAGTGGCTTTCCAGTGTGTTGTGATGAGACTGATGTTCTGCACAGGATCTGCTAAAGGATGACGACAATTATCCTCAGATTGGTAAATTATATATTTAACAGCAGGAAGAAGATATTATGTAAAGACATAAGTACTAACTTATAAAAACTAGACTCCTAGTGCGTGTAATAGAGCCCCATTTGCGGGGGGAGGGGGAGGGGGGGGGGTGAACAGACCCACTTCTCCCTATAATATTATTATATAATGCGACTAATTAGGATTATTTCCTTCAAAGCTGGATTGCATTTGCCGGTTCTCCTTGCAATAATGGTAGCTACTTAGGCGGCAACGGCCGCTTAGTCAGAGTTCAGTCCCCTAGCTGCAGTGCAATTACGGAGTGGACAAGGCACAAATCACAAAACACAGTGAGTTCAACATTGCGTCTAGACCACGTGCTGCGACTCACATTAGCCTAACCCTAACCCAAACCCTAACCCTAATTATGTCATTTGTGTCGTTCCATCTTCTCCACTCCGTAATTGCACTGCATCCAGGGGACTGAACTCCGACTAAGCGGCCGCCGCCGTCCAACTAGCGACCGTTATTGCAAGGAGAGCCCATTTGCCTGAGAGACTGAGTGGATAGATATGCAGTGAGATTGATATGCCGACTAACTACTAAATTCACACAGTTAGTGATAAGTTAACTACTTCTAGTACATATCACAGCCTACACTACAAACTACAACATTGCATGACTGTCACTATCACCCAGTACTAACAAGTAGAAGGAAGACTCGTACTGACAGTACTGACACTGACACTCACTTATGCACTGCATACATTCATATTTGTCTGTGAAATACGTTGTTTTGGTGATCTATTAGTGTTTACCCCACACACCGACTTAATCAATACATATAAATATTAAGCACAAATCAAGGAAGTATTATTATAACCAAACTTTGTATAAAACAACACCAACAAGCGTTGTTACCTTGGTAACTATGATGCCATGACTGTTTTCTGATGTCCCGATATCAACTTTGCAGAAATATGCATGACCCCGGAAGCACTTTTCCGTGCGGATGGGAAGACAATTTGGCTTTTTTTTTTTTTACTTAACAATACTTTAACCTTTTTATGTCTTTAAAAAATCGATTAGCCGAGTTTAAAAAAAAATCATAATTATTTAAAAAAAAATAGTAAAGTATAAATGAACGCTTTGAAAGAACACTTCAGTGTAAAGTAAGCAAGCATTTTATTTTCCCGTGAATGTTCTCGGGTACAACTATTAGTACTCTGCAAGAAATGGTTGACTTATGGGCAGAAAGTCAAAACAAGTGTATTGTCTCTGTTGGAACAGAACCAAAAAAAAAAAAAAATTGAAGTACTTTTAAATACAAATAAAATGGACTCTTCGAAAAGCAGCATCAAAGTAAATGGGAGAGTCTTCGGGCAAATTTATTCATGTCGCTTGTTCAGGTCCCAAAAATGCACTGTGCTTGATTGGGTATAATCACGCGTACTAGTAATTGTGTCAGTTTTTACAAATTATGTTTGGTGAGGGACTCTTGAAGAACTCGTCCTGCAAGAGGTTGTATATTTGGCCCCTCTGGTAGTGTTAAACCCATGTGTTTAGTATTGCCATTCGTAACTCTCTCAGACATTAACTACAACCTTGTGGTGCTGACAGAGTTAAGTACTCGGGTACCCTGATAACAGCAGGCCAAGATAATTAAAGAAGTTAAATGTGGATTAGCTCTAGCAACGGCAGCATTTTACAAAAAGAATAATAGTCTATGCAATCTTTTTTGTCAACTGAGACGAAAAGATAATTCTTTAAAGTTATATAAATCCTATCCTAATATATAGAAGTGAATCATAGACATTTGTCGATAAGTGAAAAATTATTTAGAAGCTGCGGAAGTGTGGTTTGTAGAAGAATTATGAGAACACCATGTGCAGATAAAAAAGGTAAGGAAGATTCTTAAAAGAAAGTGGCTCACAAAGAGAACTGATTGTCCACATCTGAAGAGGACAATATACAGTTTTGATCTTCTCTTAAGAAGGAGAAAACTGGCGTACATCGTAACAGTGGGAACACTGGAGGGAAAGAGAGGCAGAGGGAGGCCGAGAGATAACATGCTGTACAGTTTGACATCATGGCATGATGGATCATCTGTGTCAGAATTGACTGTACGTATACGAGACAGAAGGCTGTGGATAGACATGACTGACAACGCCACGCGTCATGGAAGGCGGAGAAGAAGAAGAAGAGTTCTTACATTTATGGCCATTTTTCCCCTATGTTTTCGGGGACAACCATTTTAGAATAAAATGAGCTCGTAAAAATAATCCCGGGACTGTCTCCGAAAATCGGGGACGAATTGTGACTTTACTTTAGGGAAACTTATTTAGTGATTATGGGCTTACAAAAGTGGCTTTTCCCCCTTTCCATTACCGCTTAGGAAGCTTTGTAGCGCATCGCACGCCTCCCACCCTGAGGTCTTAGATTCAAATCCGCATCGAGGGGAATTTTTTCAGAATTGAAACTGGCTCTTGTGTTAACCCAGCCTATAATGGATACAACCAGGTAGTGTCTTCAGTTAGTTAGTTAATCGGCCGTTTAACCTCATCGTGCATTGTATAAGTCCATAGCGCTCAAATCCCATTTTTAGTATACCCCTCAGCTAGCTCGTGACTGATAACACAAGTTCTGTGTTAGTTTACTATTCTTCTATGGCTGCATGTATAGTGTTTATGCATGGCAGTACCTCTCTTGTCATGAAGTCACTGGAGACTTTCTAATGTTGCAGATTCACCGTTCATCTTCTTCTGGATTATTGTGGCTATCGCTGTGCTCTGTCATTTTATCTTTACTTGGATACTGGATGATATCCAGAAGAAACATAGGAGTCAAAAGCAAACGTTCCACACCTACAACCAGAACTAGCCAGAGAAATGTAATAACAGAAGAGAAGCGCCTAAGCGTGGAGTCGTCTTCTGTGGTTGAGTTGAGATGGTTCAAGAACTACCATTACAGCACTCGGGGCATTCCCATAAGCGCTCGGTCTCTGTCTTCAGCAGCCAGTGCAGAGTTCCAATATGGTGCCAGTAGCTGGTAAAATCTTGAAAATGTAGAACATTTCACATATCTTGGCAATGTGGTGTCCCTACCGGCAGGGACCGAAGAGGACATACAGTCACGTCTGAACAAAGCTAGAGCTGCTTTTGGAAGAATGAGGCAAATCTGGAAATCCAACAATTGCTGCATAGGAACGAAACTCCGACTCTACAAGAGCATCATTTTGCCAGTTTTTCTTTATGAAGCGGAATGCTGGAGAACAACCAAAAAGGATGCACACAAGCTGTTCACCTTCCACCACACATCTCTACGTAGAATTATCACAATTTTCTGGCCAGATACAAACACTAAAATACTTCAAGTAACAAACCAAAAAACTTTAGACAGTATGATAACCAAGAGAAGATGGAAATGACTTGGCCACGTTATGAGAATGAATCAGGATATACCTGCCAAAACCGCTCTCACATGGACACCAGAGGGAAAGAGAAAACAGGGGCGCCAAAAACAACATGGAGACGAACGATGGAAAGTAACCTGAGTGCGGCATCTTTGACATGGAAAACTGCACTGAAGATTGCACCGGACAGGAAAGCATGGCAAGTCCTCGCTGAAGCCTCCTGTGCCACTAGGCATAACGAGAATTGATGATGACAGCGATCTTAAAATGTTACACTATGTTGAGAAATGCACGAACAGTGCACCCCCCCCCCATCTTATATTATCCAATGCTACCCAACTGTACCTAAGGCTGCTGTCGCCCCTGTAGCCTTCCAGCGCCCCAAATTGTATCGAGATTGCTACCGCCCCTTGGGCCGTCCCAGCGCTTCCAAAGAATTGGGGAAAGGGGTTGGGGAAGATGGGGGGGGGGTCGCCCACCTGTATATATTACGATATCACCTTGGTGTGAATTTTCATTATCAGCTCTTGCATCGCTGACTGTTTCACCAGCTATCCATTCCCGGCACCCTGGGTCCAAGGTGACTATCACTGTACAAGTCCGTTCTGCTGGGCGGCACTGTAACCCATTCTTCACCATGCGTGCACTATCTTGTCAGTAGTACACCAGTGTTTGGTATCTTGCTTCTTTTTTTCCGGCCTATTCTTCCAGCTTCCTAGAATATACTCCCTAGATATTAAATTCTGTTACTTGCTTCATACAAGTACCATTCAGCTTTTTTGTACCCAATAGTATTATCAGTAGTGAGGTCAACACTTGAATATTGGATGGCTGCTTATGACCCTGCAGCTAAATAAACTTATCAGAAGCCTCTCATAGATTCAAAATCATTCTCTCCGCATTATAACAGGGATCATTCGCGCATATCAGACATGGAAACTCTTACCGGTCTCCAGACCCTGGAAGACAGGGAGTTCACAAAGCACCTCGCCCAGCTCACCAAATACCACTAGTTGAAAGAACAACTCACGGACAGCCGACTGCAAAAACCGCGGATAGCTAGAAGGAAGTGAACATATTTCAGCAAAAATGCATATGTCAAGCTTCCTGACCTCAACAAAAAGATAGAAGAAGAAGAAGAAGAAGTAGTAGTAGTAATTTAAACAATATCCTGTTCAACCCACCCGGGTTAAACTGGGATGTATAGTTTGTTTCCTCCTATTTCAATAACGAATACTTTCTCCTCTCAAATACACCTAACTGTAGCGCAAGCCCCTACAATAGGAAACTAAAGAGTTGTCACCCCCTTATTATATCGCCATCTAGTGGAGGTCTACGTGGCCAATGGAGGAGGCCATAACGGCAATGATCTAAACGGAAATAACAGCGTCAACAATCTACCTTATACTCATCAGTCCCAAGTCATCCAGACAACTAACCGCTAATTATGTCGCAGAAATCATTTTTCTCTTTGATCTGCATCTTATTGATATGCATAGTCTGCTGTGACGAACACGATCACATAGTAAGTTGCCGAAGACTATGTTTTGGTTACTAGGGAGATAATACATGTTTTGGAAAAATGAATTTACCCAGGAAATCGACGACGCCTCTAGAGGGAACTAAAATCTGTTGTCTGTTTGTAACTGAAAGAAGTGGATATGCCTATCTGTAAATATTTGATGCCTCGGATCTTACTTTTTTTTAACCAACTGTAGTCAACTGTTGTCATTGTGACACCTGTCTAAAGGAGTGGTAAATGATCAGTTTCAAGAATCAAGATGGTTGATAAACTTCATTGAATGAATTTAAGAAAGTCAAGATGAACTCCAATGTGTTTATATTATAGTTTGTGGTTGTAAACACTAATTTCGATACTTCTGCATTGAGTAGACAATTACTGGTACACTTTGTTCTATATTAATTTGGACATTCTTTACCTTAAAACTCCCTACTGTTTTGCCTATCTCAGTGTGGACTTATTGTTAATTAAATTATAATAGTTTCCATGAAAACCCTCACAATCAGTGACTGAGGTAGTTAATTACATTAAATTGTGTAATTATTGATCAGCACATTTATATGGTACAAATTAAGGACCATTGTGTAGGCTTTGAGTGAGGTTATGACCGTTATGCATGGTTTATGGTGATTGGTGCCAGCCACATATTTGTCACAGACCAGTCATAACAAAGTAGGTGTTAATTCTTTCTGAGCTTTCATAAATTTGTTTTTGAGTAACAGTTTAAGTCAGAATGACTTCAGTTTTTTTGCCCTCAAATAGTGCAGGATGTGTGAATAGTTCTTTCCTTTGAATCCCAGTCACAGCAAATAGTTTACTTTTCTCATTTGTTCTGGTCATGCTGTTTAAATTTGGTTTCTCCTGTTTTATTTAAAATGAGCCTGTCCCTGATAAAACAAATTCTTCAGTAATTTTTCGTAGCTGTTATGCCCCCCACCCTCTCTTCTAGCTTATTTTGTAAAATATTCTGGCATTGAAAGTGTCAGAATAATAGTTTGAGGATAGAATAAGTTAAACATTGTGTGAGTTGGAGCAGTATGGGTTAAAGTAACAGCTGCATGAGATAAGAATATAGAAGGAAATGCTGTAATTTACAGCTATTGTTGCCAACGATAACACCACGCCAGATCCCAGATTGAGATTTTTGCCTAACGACCGGGCTGTATTTGTACATGTGGGAGAAGCTTCATGGGGGAGCATGGTCTGAGTATAAATGGCAGAAGGAGGAAATGCAGTAAGCCTCGATGCACCAGTCAGTAAGCGTCGACACATAGCTACTCCTGTAGTTAATGAGTCATCATTGAACAATGGACAGGGTGACCCCCACTCAACCAGAGAGGCCTAAGATTCTGTCACAGAGGTGCATCTTTTCAGGTCTCTGATGAAGTGCGGACGAAGGTCAAGTTTCCATCCTCAAGCAATAGGGTGTTGTGGTGCAAGCTGGATGGTAATTTATATTAGATTATTAATGGTGAACTTGAAAAGTTGCTAAATGTGAAGCTAACACTGTTTAGTGACATAATCTACAATCACTGTGCCCGCAAGTTCGGGACAGTCAAGAATACGCAGCTGGGCGTCACGTGTGAAAAAGCAGGAGGCAAAGAGACATTGAGAAGTGTCAATCAGACAAGAATGTACTCAGAAAATGTTCAAAGCTGCTACAGGCAGTGAACAGGAGAGATTGTATGAGGTCTGGTTACACCTGAAGAGCAGACACAGTGCCCTCTGTAGCACTGAGCATTTCTGTAAAAACAATCAGAGAACCAAAATGGAGCAAGATAAGTTCTTTAGGGATCCATTCTGGTTTGCCCTAGACTTGTTCGAGCAACCATAGTCTGGCACTTTGGTTGTCGGTAAAGAGGAATTGAAGTCACATCTGCTGAAGATGTACTCTGACCGGACAAGGAATGAACCTTTTGATGACAACCCAGAGATCACCAAAGGCCTGAAGCGTCCTGAGTTGCTGAAGGCAAGGTCGAGGAATTTTTTATAAGAGCCAGTGGCAAGTCTGCCCCAGGACCCAACTGTATCCCGTACGTGGTGTACAGATGCTGTTAAAAAAGTCCTTGAATGCTTCACTGCTTCCTAAGGCTAGCGTGGCAGAAAGCCAACGGAGTCTACATTCCCAGGGAGCGAGACTCCTCTAATCTATCCCAAGTCAGACCTATCTCACTGTTGAATGTTGAGAGGGCAAGATATTCTTCTTGTTTCTGGCACACAGACTCGCACAGTTTTTGATGGAGAACAATTAACAGTAATTGAACTCAAATCTTAGAACACCTATTGCAAAGTCACCTTTTTGTCTTGTCCCTGTCAGAATGTCCGATAAAGTGCAACAGGGAAAGATCGATGTCTGGCGTCATGAACCAGGTCGGCCCACCTTCCGAAATTGTATAGGAAGTAATGGGCCGAAACATTTCCAACGAGGGATCTTTCTACTGATGATCGGTGGACCCCTGCTGCTGTGCATGCTCCCCTGTCTTCTCTTCTTCTGTCTACTCCTCACGGTGTCAGGGGAGGAGAAGATCTCTAGAACGGGCCTTTCTGTTCACTTTGTGTATAGTACTTTTTGGTGTCTCAGATATTTCTGCGGTCCATATTCTGCTTGGTGGACCTCTGGGTCTGTTAGACTGTATCTGTACAACATTGCTCTCTGTGGTGCCCTGTCTGCTGCCAATCTTGTTGCATGGCCAAACCGTTTGATTTGTTGTCTACCTATAAAGTTCAGTATTGGTTCTGCACTGATTCTCTTCCTGATATTGTTCCTATCGATCTTTCCTCGTTACACCTAGCAAAGTACATAAACATTTCATTTCTGTCGTGACTGTTTTCCTTCTGTTTTCTGAGGACAGTGTCTATGTTTGACATTGATAGCAGAGCATTGGTAAAACTATTGTGTTAAACAGTGTACTTTTTCAATGTTCATATTCACATGCTTGCACTTCGAAATTGGTGCCATTTGGTCTAAAACTTGATTGGATTTATTGCATATTTGTTGGATTTCTTTATTCATTTTTTCATATTCTGAAGAAATGCTTCCTAGATATGTAAAATCCTTCGCCGCTTTAATTGGTGTTCTTGAATGTTGATATTGGTGGTTCTTCCTTTTCTGGAGAATTTCATCAATTCTGTTTTGTTTACATTGATGTTCTTATTATAGTTGTAGCATTCTGACTGGAGTCTATTAATATGTTCTTGTAGCTGAACTGCTGTTGGTGCTGTAGTTGTCTGGTGGTCGGTAAAAAGCAATTTACTTAGTAATTCTCCGATGTTGTCCCCCTCACTGTTGTTAGCTGATTTGCAAATTTGTTCGACATATGTGATGAACAATATTGGCGTTAGAACGCACCCCTGCCTAACTCCAGATCTAATGTAGAACCTCTCCTGTATTTGTTCTAACAACAAACATATGTTACATTAACACTGTGCATCTGAATTACCATTTAAAACCATTTCAGCCTTGTAATGTGTCTAACTCATTTGTTTATTTATTTAAGCTCAAATGCTTTAATCTTAAAGTGTTAAGTAGGACCCCCTCCCCTCTTTTTTTTTTAACATCTCAACCCCCCACCCACCCACCCACCCCCAATACTAATAAATTATTGAGGTCATGCTGGCCACCTTTACATCCCATTAAATTTCTTGATACATATTTCATCCAGGCTGACCTGGGATCCCAACTCCATGCAAGCAATCCTCATAGATTTTACTACATTTACTTGTTGGTCTTGTTTGTTTTTCCACCTTCTTGCTTATATAGTGATTCTTTTTAAAACCACAAACCTTGTTTATTCCAGGACATAATTCTTACTTCAGAAGTAGTGATCACTGTTAATATTTGTTACTGGGACAGCAGCAGTTAGTACAATGACACATGTACAGTATATAAATGCATGAAGACAGGAGTTCAATATCTAGGCAAAGTGGGTGGATGTTTCTATGAGCCGAGACAGGTGTTAATGGCCCTTCCTCTCCCAGCCAGTTGTTACTCTGCAGTCATAAATGTCTATATCAGGAGGGGTTACACTCATAACTGCCTGGGACGGGAGGAGTTACGGTTAGATGAGGAACATAAGTGATGTTAGAATTTAACTTACAAACTTTATTACTTAGTTTTAACATGTCAGTTTTGCACAGAGTATGCACAAAGTAAATGATAAATTATTTTTTTTTGTGACACTATGTACATCCAGTAAAAGATCACATGTGTAGTCTTCCCTTCTTCCAGTTACCTCATTTAAGTGTTGGGCGGTGTAAGGATCTTCAGTTTATTCTATTGTGTTGTATAAGTTGATGTGCATTCTTTACGGCTGTTCTTAATTCTATTTTTCCATATTTTGTATGGGTTTTCCTTGCTATGTTCATTATATATATGCTGAGTGGTTTTTTGTGGCATTTGATAATAGAGCATTTCTCAGATGGCCAGACCATCTCATCTGTTGCTCTTTAATGAATTTTATGTTTGGTTGCAGAACTGGCCTTTATTATTTCTTCATGTTTGCTTGTACCTCGTGTTATTCTGGCAGCTTTTCCAACAGCTAGTTTCAGAAGTGTCCAATCTGGTGCTTATTGAAAGATTGACCATCCTCCTAGTTTTCTTCACAACACTCACAACCTTCCCACACATAAATATAGTATATATATTTGCATTTTTACAAACATGGGTGACAGTACACTGTCAACATCATCATCAATAAGCACGGATAGTCTTGATTTATCTTTGTTTTTTCCCCCTGCTTGTTTCCCTTAAGGTTACCAGTTGCCAGTAAGTTTTCAAGACTTATAGCAACAGCTTATTCACATAACCTCACAACAGCACAACCTGTTCTGCAGTGGATTAGAGGTCACTGTGGCTTTGAAGGCAATGAAATAGCAGACAGATTGACCAGAAGTGGCAGTGTGACATGTTGCAAACCATTATTTCTCTTTTGTCATAATTGTTTAATTAATAGACTGTGTGTTAGCATAAGGAGTGGGATGTATTTTCACAATACTGTCACGGCTCCTGAGCTGTGAAACTTCAAAATGTATTGTTTTTTTCTCATTTACTTCTAACTGTTTATGTTATGTTGATATTGAGATTACTGTGCTGTCTCCAGACAAATTAAGAAGAGTTTTAAGACAACTGAGATGTGTTTCTTAATGTAAATGTTGCGAATACCTTGGACTGTTAGAATAGCTAACAATAATTGCCTAGAAATGGCTAATAAAAGTTAAACATTATATACAACAATGAGAAGGAGAGGGACAAAGTTCTTTGGTCATGTGATGAGAAAAGGAGCATTGGAAAATATTGTGATGACTGGAAAAATCAGTGGTTGAAGAGTCAGAGGCAGAACAAGAGAAATAATGGTGGATGGCTTAAGACAGTTTCATGGAAGAATATCAGCAGTGGAATTGATCCAGAACACCAAAGATCAAGATCTGTGGAGATGCATGAACGCCTACGCCAGCTGGCAAGACACTTGATGATGATGTGCTATATCTACAAAGAAGGTTGGCTACAGTGTGCAGTCTTTGTCTGTGGGAATATTGCCTGGTGAGGGCCCAATCTCTTCCATGACCTGACTCACACTGTTGTCAGAAAACCACAAGAACAGTTTTTTTGGGGTTAAATTTTAGCTATCCACCATGGGAAACAATCTCTAGCACTCGAGGATTATAAAATTGTTGCCTGTGTTCACTAACCTGTAAGCCACAGAGCCGCAAATTTATGTTGTGTACATATAGCCACTACTAGCATTTGTTATTTTGGATTATTTATTCTCACTGTTGTGTCTCTATTATCATAATTATGAATGCCTGTTCAACAAATGTGTTTCAGTACAAGGAGGGGGATGAGGTTGTGTTGTGGATGAACACAGTGGGCCCCTACCACAACCGACAGGAGACCTACAGCTACTTTTCCCTGCCGTTCTGCAGGGGGCAGAAGGCTGGCATCAGCCATTACCATGAGACTCTGGGAGAAGCCTTGCTGGGTGTGGAGTTGGAGTTCAGTGGAATTGACATTGATTTTAAAGGTTTGATTTTCAGTTTCACAGGTTGTCTTGATGTGATAGGAGTAACTGTGTTTCCTTAAACTTTTAACTAATATTTGCTCTTTATCTTTTTCTCTTACCTCTCTTCCTCCTTTTCTTATCCCTTTTCTGTTCTGCCATATCCACTGATATTTTTTTTTTCAATTACTCCACCTTTTTTTATGCCTATATCCTTAAAGAGCATAGGCACTCAACCTATTCTCCCTGAGCTGTCCTAGCCCTCAGCATTTCTTGCAGCTGCCTTCTTCTTCTTATTCACCTCTCTTCTCATTGTGTAGGCCTCCCTCTGTCTGTGCACACTTGCTGACACCTAAGAGTTAATTAACCAGTGCGTTGTCATTGTGATGCCTCACATAGTGTGGTTTAATGTGTATAATTTGTGTATAAAGTGGAGCTTATTTTCATTGCTGATCTCCAGCTCTTTTGTGTGTGTCAATATCTGCTTTGTGCTGCCAGATGTCACAGTAGTTTAATGGATATACTAGGTAGCCTAGCCAGGACACACTCTGTTTGTTTGATGTGCTGTGATGTTGTGAAATTTTAGATTGTCAGTGAATTCCTCCAGTCTGTCTTCTTTTAGGCCTGCTTCTGCCTCTCAGTGTTTCCATTTTTTTCAGCCTTTACACTCATGCTGTGTGCATCGTTGGATTTGTTCTTATCAGGTTGGCTGAATCATTTCAGACTTTGTTTCTCAATGGTTTCTGTCCTAATGTCTTAATACATACCTGTAAAGATTAAACAGAATACTATATTATTATTTTGAAAAGGCTATTTTTGGACCTGTCCTAGTGTTTAGTTATACAAAGTGATAATATAAGGGATAGAGCAGTTGCTTACCAACCCATTGGCCTGATTCCAGTTTGCACTTCAAAGGGAATATTAACCTACCACAAGAGGTTCTTGTCTAATAAAATTCAGCTTGTGTGGTAATTAAAAGTACTGAAAAATTGAGCAGGTCTCCGTATCTTATAATGCCATAGTTTCATTTGCAAAGTCCTTCATTTCCTTATACGTGAAAATATTCCATGTTCTACGTTACATCTAATTGGCTAAACTCACATTATTTCATCAAACCACTGGTACATCTCATGAATACCCCCTTTTTTATACTGAAGAATAATTTATTATATGGTTTGGGCTACACAGCACATTGTGGGGTATTGTGAAGCTTATGCTGGTAATGTAAATATGCATTGTCATTGCAGCCCTACTCTATTGATTTTGGATAGAGTTGCCACCTGTAAGCATCACTGCTGTTGTTCAGTTGATTGATCAAGTTTCTTGGTTACAGTTTTTTTTTTTAAGTATAAGAAAATGTGCTAATGCTTAAAGGTGTGTGTGATTGTTTTTTAATAATTTTGCCCAGACATAGCTGACTTGTGGCCTGTTGTTTGTCATTTACATCTGTCGTAGACATTTTAATTTGCACAAATTATTTTACAGCAGTGAACTGTTGAAAGTCGAGAGGATCAGCGTCATTGCACCAGGATGAATCACATTTGGCTTGGGTCTCTGCAGGATGATTAGCTGCTTTCTGAGTGTGTCACACAAGCACGAACTCTGTGTTTTCAGAGACGATTCCTAGAGATCTACCTAAAATTATACTCATGATATGAGTGATGCAGTTGGTGAAACAAACTCAGGACCTTCAGAACATGTGGCAAATGGTGTAACCACTCAGCCAGGAAGCCCTGTCACATTTTATGTCGAGCTAGGAAGGTTAGTTGTCCATTGATGCTAAGCAAGAGATGAAGGGCAAGTGTGCTTTGAGAAATCTATGGTGTTAGTGAAATGTCTGGCAAACATGTGTCAAAAGAGAACCTGCTAACTTTCGAGCTGAAGGCAGATAATGAAGCCTCTCAGCCACCCTACCTCTGCATTGATTGCCTAGCAGTTGTCACTTTGGGATAGTAATTTATGATTTGTCTCCCCCCTTCCCCCCTTTTGCAGGTGATTTTAGCCACACAGAGTACTGTACAGTTGACTTGGATGAAGAAAAGTACCAGGCTTTTGTGTATGCAGTACGGAACCATTATTGGTACCAGATGTACATCGATGACCTGCCTATATGGGGTAAGTGGTATAACTGATTTGGCCACTAGCACCATAGTTATCCTCCCACCTGCTTTTCCTCATTCTTTCATCATCCAGGGGAGCAAAATCCCTAATTAACTCACATCATGCTCTTTCAGACTTCTCATGACGAGGTGGATGTTACAGCTGAAGTTTTCACCAACATGGTGAAGCCAGTTTGATGCCCTTACGTTAGATGTAATGACGTGAGCCCTGGAAGGCTAACTACCCCGGTGAACAAATGCCTGGTGAAGTCAGATGTATCAGCCGAAAGGTGCAGATATCACAGCTATGCTGTAAACAGGCACAACACAATTATATCACAAGGACGAGCGATGAGAACACATATTATATGAGTGGCTGGTTACACAGTCACAGCCCAGACAAACTGGACACCAGTAAAAAGCATTCCACATGAAATTTACTTTGATGCACCATGCATTCAACTCAGCAGCTGGGCAACAGAACCATGTACTTTTAAGATTGCATATAAGGACAATGCACCAGTGATATTGGCCAGAAACAACACTCCAAGGTTTTAACTGACAGCCCATCTGTCCATGGCTGAATTATCCTTAGGGTTAATGAAATAAATTAAATACCTGTAATGGCAACAGAGGTCCTGAAATCCTGTGCTCTGATTGTGGAAGACTTTTCTTAATGTGGGTGAATCTTGCTAGTCACACTCATTACCTTGGGCTGTGGTTGCCATGCCTCCACAAAGCACAGTAAAACACAGTTCTCCAGAAAGACGGAAAGGTAACAACAAGTTAAATTAGTATTTTTTTTTTTTCGACAGTTAAGTATCTGGTATTTTTAAATAAAATTGTTTAATGTCACAGCTGATCATACAAAGGTAAGCTGATGAATTTATAAAGACGTTGAAAGGGGAAAGATTGAATAAGTCTAAGTAGATTTGTACTGGAATTTACTTAAGTTAAAAAAAACAACAACAGTGGAGCACTTAAGCGTCAGCTTTATAAAAGTATAGAGGCTTGAAGCTTCAAGTGTTGGCTCCACACTAGGCACAAGCAGCAGCAGCAAACCCACCTCCAGCTTTAATGGCACTTTTCGCTATGTTCAGATCCACTGTTTTCTTTAAATTTAGCTTGCAGTGCCCAAAATGGATATCAGGAAGTGTCCTGGGACATAAAGACAACTGGAGTGATGCTGACTATCAAATAAAGTAAAAAAGTAAAAAAAAAAAATATATATATATATAAATCCAATTTTTATATTTTCAATTTTAAAATAGAATTAATTTCTTGTTACTTACTTTGATTTCCATGGCCCTAACCTGGGTTCTGGGGCTCCGTTTAGGAAAACCAAGAATAGACTCAATGTCCCCTAACAAGCATGTTTTAGCAGGCGACCAATTAGGGGTGTTTTCTTGAATGTCGGAATACATCTGCCTGAGAGGGGAGGAGCCAACGGTGTGCATACAAAAAAGCCAGATCTGTAACAATGTATGTGCACGCAAAAGTGAAGTTATGGATCAAGACCAGAGTCCAGGAGTGGAGGACAGAGTGGAACTTTCTGCTGGAGTTTAAAGTTGGTGAATGCAAAGAAGAAGAAGAATATCCATGTCTTTGTGAGGTCTAGTTTCATACCGTATGTTTCTGATTTTAGTTATTGCATATCCTTTAAAAAAAGTTGCAGAACCAACCCCAGCATTTTTTGGCTGTTGTGATTTTTCTAGACAAATTTTTGTCCAATAGTTTGCCATTGCTTTCTGGACAATCGGCTTCTCGTTACCACTGTTGAAACCAATGCAAGGCGTAAGGCCTGCAGCTGGGATCGAACCCAGCACCCTGGCATTACAAAGCGTGTTCTCAGCGCCTAAGCCACAGATGCAGACGTTTCTGATTACCTTTATAAATTTTGTGTTTGCAGGCATTGTTGGGGAAATAGAAGATGGCGGTGAGGGTTTCTATATCTGGACTCACAAGAAATTTGACATTGGCTACAATGGGCCATACATAGTCGATGTCAACCTGACATCGGAAGCTAAAGTCAAACTGAAACCAGGAATCAAGATTCCATTCTCATATGAGGTAATGTTACCAGGCAGTTTTAGGTATCATTAGAAATGTATGCATATATGTATAGAGGGCGCAGTAGCTAGGGATTGGAGTCTTACTGATATATACAACCGGTTTGAAAACTGGGTTTTGTATGACTGAAATACTGAGTAGTGAGGAGTTACATAAAGCCTTCATTCTTCTTTTTTTTCCCCCTTCTGTTTCTTGTTTACCTGCTGTAAACTCAGGTAGAAAGTTCTGGTTGTTTGTTCACTTTTTGGACTTTGTTTTCCTGTGTGGGTTTCGGGGACCCATTGTGAGAAAAACAAAAATCCACCCACTGCCTTCCCAACAAGCATGTCATAAGAGTCGACTATTTGGGAGCTTCTTCAAAGTTGGAGTGCATCTGCCTGAAAGGCAAGGAACCAACAGTCTGCATACAAATAAGCAAGATCTGTAAAATGGATACACACACAAAACTCAGGTCCTGGAACAAAACCAAAGTCCAGAAATGGACAAACAACTAGGTCTTTCCACGGAGGTTCACAGCTGGCCTGTTAAAACATCCATAATGATGTTGCAAACTAGTTGGTTACATCAGAAATCTTGGATTACAGTGTAGTGACATATTTAAATAACTTTCCTCTGAATGACATGACAGTATTTGCAATGAAGGACATGACAGTTGTCTCATGGTGCGATGTGGCAGTCTTTCCACTGAATGACTTGACAATATTTGCACTGAATTGTTCAGAATGTCATGAGAATCTCCACATGACATGACATGGCAGTCTTTGCACTGAAACCTGAAGTCTGCACTAAATGGCATTGTGGTCTTCAAATGGCCTGACATGGCAGTCATTGCACTGAATGACATGGCAGTCATTGCACTGAATGACATGACAGTCTTTGTACTGAATGACATGACAGTCTTTGCACTGAATCATATCACAATCTTTGCACTGAATGACATGGCAGTGTTTTCACTGAATGACATGACTGTCTTCATGTAGCAAAACAGGACATTCTTTGCAGTGAATTACATTCTTATCATCAGATCATTTTGGACTCTTGGCATTAAATAACAGGACAGTCTTCATACAGAAGCGCATGTTTTGTCCTGAGTAACAGCACAGTTTTAACATTGAATGACTCGACACTGAAGAACATGAGGCATTTTGCGCTAGGATCCTACTAGAACAGTGATGCACATTGCAAGACTATGTCTGGTAGTCTTAGTTTCAGCTTCATAGCAACGGGTCGCCCCATCTTTGCTCCGCTCCTGTGCCAACAAAAAACACCCAGAATGTTTATCACAGTCCCTTGTGGAAAGATTGACAGACTGCTGTCTCAGCATATCTAGCATACACTCGCATTAAAGCATACGGTAGCCATCCGAAGTGCTAACACAAACAGTTCAACATTAGAAATGCAGTTCATCATTAAAGATAGCAGAACTTGTCGCCAACAGTTCAGCAGTTGTCCACGCGATCAATTTTAACCAGATATGGGCACCGCCAACATTGCACGACAGGCATCACGCCATTTTCTGAATCTACAATTCACAGCACCACGTTGGTCACAGTCGAAAATACATTCCAAATGCAATCCGCAGCTCACATGGTCACGCCATGCATTCAACTCAGAAGCTGGGCGATGAAACTATATCCAGTCTACAAATGGAGCAAAAATACTTCGGCCACCATCCGGCAGAAGCAAAAAATTTGCCTCTTCTTCGAACAGCGCCGCTGTCTAGTGTCCATTTTAACCGGAAGTTCTATGTATTTTAGCTTCTCTTGCTCAAGCCTACCTTACCTTCATGTGGTGGACTCTGTTCTCTCCCCCCCCCCCCCCCCAGTCAAGTGCAAGGTTGGGGTTGCAACCCTCTTATCAGATAGCTGGATGGGAGAATAAATGAGGCAGAGACCAAATCTGGTTCCGTCGGCAGGCTACTGAGTTGAGTGCATGGTGTGACATTTTGAACCGTGAATTTCTTGGGGATTGCTGGTTATCTGTGGTCCTGAAGATGTGTGTTGTAAACTGCATATTTAGAAAATAGTGAATGGCTGGTTACCACAGAATTAGCAGTGTGCATTATGCAGTAATGCTTATACACCTGCTGATTTGGCGGGACTGCTGTTACCGTCAACTGTGATGGCAGTTCTAGTGATAGTTTTTATTCCTTTAACTGCAGTTCTGTTTGTTACATCAGGGGCAGCATGGAGCAGAATTGCTGCGAGCTAGTTGTTTTTATGAACGTGTTAGCATTATTTGTTATAATGGTGTAAACTGACTTATATTTCAGTAGAACCTAAAATCCAATTTATCCACATTTGTTACTAAATTTTCCAACCGTGTTGCACACATTGTTTTTATGTTTTTTATGTACTAAGTATTTAATATTTAAGCAACAATTTTTAATATTCAAACTATTACACAATATTTTTTATTTTGTCTAATATTCATTTAATATTTAAAAAAACAATGTTATTGATAGAAATAATAATGTATTCCTTAACACAGGGATGTAAAGATGAGTTTCGGGTACTTAAAATGTATAATACAAGTTTTCTGTCACTGCATAGGTGAATAGGACAGTTTCAAACAACAAGAATTTATTTAATGACCAACAGCACTGTGCAGTTTTGAAGTAACCTTTGACACTTTTCTTCAATTCTCTGGGCATTGCTTGTCATTATCAAATAAAAAACTTAAAATATTCCCTAAAGACATTTTCAGGAATACATAAAGTAATAATTTGCACTTTTCATTGTGTCAGCAAATTAAGAAGAAAACAAGTTTAACAGGTAACAAATCTACACCAACACTACAACTCAAGGGTTCAACATCATCGTGTGCCTTGCTAACTGGCGTAGGTGTTCATGCATCCCCACAGATCATGATCCCAGGTTGCCTGGAACAACTCTCTTGATGATATCCCTCCATGCCATCATTTCAGCTCAAGGTTTAAATTTTTTCAAAACCTTGACTCCTTTTGTTCTTAATGTGGTATAGGGACTTGTGAGTTCTAGTGTCTCCAGAGCTTTACCAGTTATAGCTTAGCTACTGGTAGGATCTCTCATCTCGGATAGGTCAGAGGATAGAACATGACGACGAGGGACATAAACCTGTTGCCTGGAAGGAGATTTGAGGATGGTTAGAAGCTAGCTAAGGAAAGCAAACACAAAATTTTTGAGGAAATTGAATATACACAGCAGGATACCATGGACACCCATAGTGACTAACTGTGACTGCCTGGAAATGGCTAATGAAATTAAAACACTTTATACAGCTACATTAGAAGAAAGAAGTAGCCAGTTTTCTTTGTTCATATAATGAGAAGTAAGGCATTGGAGAGCATCGTGTTTACTGGAAAGATCAGTGGTTTAAGAGGTAGAGATGGAGTGAGATGATGCTTGACAGCCTGAACCGGTTGGATATCATCAATGGAATTTATTAAAAATACCAGTGATCAAGATCTGTGTAGAGACGGAAGCGCCAGTGCTGCCTGTCAGACACATGATGGTATTGATGATAATGATGAGACACTGGGTAGTTGAAACATGTCAGCCTAACTCTGTTGATGATGATGAAAAACTGTTCAGGTGTAAGTGCACAGTAGCATTACTAATATAGCCAATATCATTGTAAATCCTGACAGATTCATTGGTTCAGCATCTTCAACTCCTTCATGATGGTGATATTCCTTGTGGGGCTGGTCAGTATGATTCTCATGAGAACACTTCGCAAGGATTATGCTCGCTACAGCAGGGAGGAAGATTTGGATGACATGGTGGGTGTTTCTTTTTAATGTCAGCAGTTTTTGTTTTTGTTTATTCTTTAATTATGAGTATGTATGTCTTCAGTTTATTGTTGGCTTATTTTCACTTTAGCCCAGAAGTACAGTGGTCTATTCTTCTGCTTTTCATTCCCAAATGGAGAACAGGTTCTCAACCAGATCACTGCAGGCCTTCCTATCTTTTGCTGTCTCATGCAGCTGCTTCCGTGTCTTTCCCCATATGATTAATCTGTTGAATTCTAATCAGAGGCATTGCATATTACACTGGTTTTTATCGGAGGCATTACATGGTACTCTATTTTTTTTTTAATCAGAGGCATTGCATATTACTTTGGTTTTTATCAGAGGCATTACAGATTACTATGTTTTTTTTTATCAGAGGCATTACAGATTAATTACTGTATTTAAAAAAAAAAAAATCAGAGGCATTACAGATTACTCTGGTTTTTATCAGAGGCATCGCAGATAACTCTGGTTTTTATCAGAGGCATTACAGATTACTCTGGTTTTTATCAGAGGCATTGCAGATTTACTGTTTTTTATCAGAGGCATTACAGATTTTTATAGGAGGCATTACAGATTACTCTGGTTTTTATCAGAGGCATTACAGATTTGCTCTGTTTTTTTATCAGAGGCATTACAGATTACTCTGGTTTTTATCAGAGGCATTACCGATTTACTCTGTTTTTTATCAGAGGCATTACAGATTACTCTGGTTTTAATCAGAGGCATTACACAATACTCTGTTTTTTATCAGAGGCATTACAGAATACTCTGTTTTTTATCAGAGACATTACAAATTACTCTGGTTTTTATCAGAGGCATTACAAATTACTCTGGTTTTTATCAGAGGCAAAGGATAAAAAAAATATCTTTTAAAGCTAACGTGTCATATCTTAAATCAGAACACTGTGGTAACTGCCTTCACATGCAGCTTTTTAGATTTCCCTACAAAAACCCTGTCAGCATAAATCAGCAGTGATGCTCAATTTCACTACAGGTATATAAGTAAAAACATATTATGGTTATAATCAAAGTATTATCCAGTAGCAAAGAACCATGGGTGAAATGGCTGGAATAGTGTTTTCCCCCTCCCAGTAGAGCATAGATCTTAAACTAAGACCAAGCCCTTTGTAGACTTATCCATGATTGATTGCATTTTGCAGAGATGGTGTTTTACAGAATGACAATGTGCCAGCCTCATGCCGACCTTTGTTGGCAATGCTTGGTTGGATGGTTACAGTATTACTAATTATTTGTTGTTTTCCTCATGGATCTTGGTACACAGGTGCAAACTTCACATTTGTTTTTCCAAACACATTTTTGGCCTCATTTGGTCATAATAAAACTAATATTTTAAAACAAAATTTGTTTTATTCTGGGAATTATATCTATATTACTCATTGAGAAGAAAAACGAGTACTTTGTGAATAAATAGCTGCAAATGTATTTGATATAGCAGTGTTATTTTATTTTGTAGCTGGAAAAGGTAACGGTAAAATAATAATTGCTTATTTTCTAGGAGAAAGATCTTGGGGATGAATATGGATGGAAGCAAGTTCATGGAGACGTGTTTCGTCCAGCTTCACACGCGCTGCTGTTCTCAGCCTTCATAGGGACTGGCTACCACATTGCTGTTGTTACTTTGTGTGTCATCCTGTTCACCATTGTTGGAGAACTGTACACAGAGTGAGTAGTTTTTCCTGTTGTGTTAGATTTTCAGTGATTGTAGTGATATGAAATTTATTGAACCTGTCCACACAATCTTAAGTCTCTAAAATCCTCTTTCAGTTCTTGTTACTGAGTTTTTATAAACGAATATACACAGTCGTCATAATCTCTGATTTAATTGTCCAATCAAGTCTCTCATTTCATTTCTCTTTGATTAATGCATTTGCATATTTTGTTAAAAATGCAGCTTATTCTTCTGTATATCTAGAGCACATATTTAATTGTTTCATTTGAATTTAAATGCAGCTGAGCTTTTCTTAGAAAATCATAGATCAATTACAAAAAATACTGGCATTCTGCTAGATCTGAACACTGGGTGAGTGAGAGAAGTTGAACCTCTCTGAGACTGCATACCAAATGATTAATACTTGGTGACACAAAGAGCGACTTTTCGGATGAGAATCCCCTAGGTACATATTCCAGAAACCCATTTCAGCTGAATGAGACAGTAATATTGGGGCCCCCAATAAAACCAATTAACCTTCTGTTCGATTATGTTGAGTTTTAACTGAACATCAAATAAAATTGGCTTAGAAACAGCACACTATATCTCTGGAACTTCGTCTTTGTTCACCAGCTGTAAGCTCCGAATAAAAATTCTGGTTGTTCATCCATTTGAACTTTGGCTTGGTGCCTGGGCCCGAGTTTTGCATGCACATCGTCTTTACTGGCTTATTGGTGTGCACTTGGTTGTTCCTTGCCACTCGGGTGGATGCACTGACTTCGAAGGAAGCCCCCAATTAGTCGACTCGTATGAGGTGCTCTTGGGGATATAGTGGGTCTGTTCTTGTTTTCCCCACAATGAGGTCCCTGAACCCAGATGGGTAGTGTCTAGAACTGAAATACTTTAATTACATAGTGTTGCACTAACTTAAAAGGCGCAATATCTGAAGGCATAGTTTCTCAAAGAAGAGACAGGATGACCAGCGTATAGGTAGACATGGGATATTGCAGACACTTAGAGCATGATGGTACAAGAGGGTTGCCACTTGGAGAATGATGGTACAAGAGGGTTGGCACTTAGAGAATGATGTTAAAAGAGGGTTGGCACTTAGAGAATGAGGGTACAAGAGGGTTGGCACTTAGAGAATGAGGGTACAAGAGGGTTGGCACTTAGAGAATGATGATACAAAATGGTTTGCAAGGCATCACGAGGGTTTCTAGGTTTTTAATGGGCATAGCATTTGTCATAGGAACTGCTACATGATTTTATATTTGAGAATAAATAAACACCCCCCCCCCCCCCCCCCCCCCCCCCAATTCACTGAAAATATTGAAATCAATAAATGTTCTGCCTAAATACTGTTAACAACTTGTCCACAGGAGAGGGTCATTACTGAGCACTGCTATATTTGTGTATGCTGCCACAGCTCCAGTGAATGGCTACTTTGGAGGGAGCCTTTATGCTAGAATGGGAGGTGAGTGATTGCTTGTCATTGTTTCCCTTGTGGGGAAATGGGACACCATTTGGAGAAAAAGAACGGGGAGGGGGTGTTGGGAGGAGAATAGATCCCTTAATAAACATGGCAGCATTTAAGCCGACTGGTGAAAAAAAATGCTGAAATCGGATGTATTGTATCAGAGGTTGCAAAGACTTTTTGGAAATTGTTATCATGTTTTCTCAGTGTGTGTCCTATCCAATGCCAGTGACTGTGTTTGGATATAGAGTTTTGTACGCTTGAGTGCCTCATTGTGCCTCCTATCCTCCTTTTGGGCATAACAGTTTGCTTTCTTTTTTGTTCTACCTTGTTGATATTTATTTGTTTAGGGCAGTGTATCGTAGAGATGTGCTCTTTATAAGTAAATAAATAAGTAAAGGACCCTTTTCACACCAGTGGCGTATCAGGCATATGAGGCTGTACTCATATTTTTATGGACCAATCGGCCGTCGATGTGTGTTTTGGTCAACATCTTGATGCCCACGTTTACTTCCCAGGACTTTACCTGGTACCCATTTAAGACTGTTGACCTGGGAGACAAGGTCATGTTTGGGGAAAGAAAAATCGGGCTCATGCAGATTTGAACCCACAACCTTCAGATCTGCAGGTGAAAGTGTAGTCGCTACACCATGGCAGCTCCTTTGCTTTTTTATGATGCATTACAAATGTTAGAAGTGGTCATATTTCTTCACTTGGCAGAAATCTGTTCTTAGTAATGTGCAGTATGTATGAGTTGCCAGTTAAATCAGCTGACTTTAGATTTTAATCTGCAGCAGATTAACTCTAAATCATATAACCTTCTTTTATGAGACTGGGTCAGTTCTGTTGGAGGCAGAGGCTATTTTTGTATGGCTGACGACGAAGACATGTGGCAGAAGTCTTGCACAAGGATCTGTAAAGCCAGCATATAGCCTGCTAGTGCCTAAGTTGCGGTAGAGTTTCTCCTTATACACATCACAACAGCCTTAACATTCCTTCACATGGGTGGGAGACATTACTGTGCCACACATGGAATATAAGAAGTGCAGAAGCTCGGATTATCAAATGTAGCAACTACTTGCGAAATAACTTAGACCACTCCATTGTTTTTTTTTTCCTTTTCTTTCCTTCCCCACTTCCTTCTATCTTTCCATCCCTGCATATGTGTGAGTCTATGTATATATAAAAAATGAGAAAGGAGCAAGAGAGAGTCAGGTGGTTAATTAGGTAACTCTTGTTATAATCTATAATGCTAGACGTATAATTTTGTAGACCATTGTCTTTATAGACCATGGTATTTATAGGTCTTTATAGACCATTCTCTTTATAGACCTTTGTCTTTAGAGCCTCAGTGGCTGATGTAGTCAACATCTTGCAAGGCATTATTGGCAGAGCAACAACAGTTAATTGTGAAAATTGTTTGACTGTATCATTTTCAATGTTTTCAGGTAAACTGTGGATCAAGCAGATGGTTGTTAGTGCATTCTTGATGCCAGCTGTTGTTTGTGGGACAGCATTCTTCATTAACTTTATTGCCATCTACTACCATGCATCACGGGCAATTCCTTTCATCACCATGGTATGTATACGTGCATTCATTTTGAATTTTTTTTTTTTTTCTGTTGATTTACCTTTCCCTCTCTCTTGCTGTTTATTCTGATGTCCAACGATAAATCTCCACATACATGACTTTCTAGTAGTGTTAAAAAAAAATTTATCCTGTCGTCTTTCAATACCATGTTGTGTATCTTCACTGTCTGTAATCCTGGATCTGTTAATCTCAAGGTCCCTTTTCCACACCGTTAGGCATATTGAGGATATGAAGCTAGACCTGTGTTTTATAGACCAATTGGCACTCGGTGGGTGATGTGGTCAGCATCATGCCAGCTGCCTTTACTTCCTAGGACTTTACCTAGTACCCGTTCTATTTGGGTTGAAAAACAAAACAAGTAAGGCCTGTGGATTGAAACCTACAACCAATGGCCCAAGGTGAGTGTCTAGCCGCTACACCTCGGTGGCTCCCACTTAATAACCTTTACAGTTGTTAGTTAGTTAGTCTTTCCTCTTGTGTCGAGTGCGGCACATAGGGCAGAGGTCGTGACTCTCCATGCACGGTGGTCCGTTGCAATCCGTTGTAGGTCTTGGATGTTTGAGTGGCCCATGAGCGAGCCTTCCCTGATGATAGTTCTACGTAGGGTTTCCCTTGGTCTTCCACGAGATCTTTTTCCCTGTGGTGTCCAAATGAGGGCTTGGTAAGGAAGTCTTGATTTATCCATTCTAAGGGCGTGGCCGACATAGTTCCAGCGGCGTTTTCGTATAAAATTAGACACATACTCTTGCCTGGATTCTTGCCTTATTTGTGTATTGGTTCGGAAATCTGACCATTTGAAATTTAGTATTCTTCTAAGGCATTTATTTTCAAAACTGTCTAATTTTGTGTCTAGAGTTTTCGTTGATTTCCAGCTCTCGCATCCATAAGTTAGTACTGGAATCACACAAGAATTGAAGATCTTGAGTTTTGTGTGTTTGCTAAGTGTCTTTGATTTCCAGATGTTAGACAGACGTTACAGTTGTTACATAATTTTATTTTAAAAAAAATTTATGATATGCTATGCTAAATAGTGCCATTCCATTTCAGTGCTATTATTTTTTATGTGTGTTCTGATCTTTTTTAAAATATGTGCCTCATTTTGCTGAGAGTGCTAAGGAAATTGTGAATTCTTTACAGCACGTTGCAGAACCAACCACAGCCTTGTTTGGTTGTTGTGGTTTTCTAGGCAAATTTAGTGTTTAGTGGTTTGCCATTGCTTTCTGAACGGTCACCTCACAGTTGAAACCAACGCAGGACAAATCGCTCGTGGCTGAGATCGAACCCGGCACCGCAGCATTACAGAGCGTGTTCGTAATGCCTAACCCACGAACACCTACTCGTTGTCCTAGGTTAATGATATAAATCTACCCTGATAGAGATTTAAACCTAACACCTTCATGCCAACAGGCAAGTGTCTAGCCACCACACTACTTTAGTGCCCTAGTTTTCTGTAAGCAAGGAAGCGAAATAGATTATGCTTGCCCTAAAATGTTTTATTTCTTGTCTTGCCAGGTTGCCGTTACATGCATCTGCATCTTTGTGATCTTGCCCCTGACACTTGTAGGCACGGTGTTGGGCAGAAATCTGGCAGGGCAGCCTGACTATCCCTGCCGTATTAATGCTGTTCCCAGGCCGATTCCAGAGAAAAAATGGTACTTGATTATGTTTATATTTTACATGTTTATGATTTCAGTGTTCATTCTTGTTGTTTCCTATCTGTGGAGTGTCTCTTATTTGTAAATGTACTTATAGTAGTATTTTTTTTTTAAATAAGGTAGTAGCATATCCCCTTCAGGATGTTCCAAACCAACTCCAGCATTTATTGACTGTGGTGGGTTTTACTAGGTAATTTTAGCTTCATTATTTTTCCATTACTTTCTGAACACCAAAACACTCATTTCATTGTCAAAATCAGCTGAAGCTGACTCCAAGCCCTGAACTGTAATAAAGTCGGAATAACAGCAGGTATCAGAAATAGCGTTTATGGGACAGATTTACAAAAAGGGGACAGTGTTTACAATTTATAGGTAGAGTAAGGTCTGGATCATCACTAATGGTTAGCTGACTCTGATGCAAGTAGTCGGCCTATAAGATGTAAACTACATTAATCTCTTTTACTGTATCTCCATTCCCATTTGAAATCGAAAAAGGAAGCACTGGCAGTAAATGATGTAACGATAAATCCTGAAGGATCATCTCTCAGGCAGGCTAACTGCCTGCAGAGAGCATCACACAATGCACAAACTTCATTAGCTCCCGTGACTGTTGCCAGGAATCTCTGTAAAAATTACACTCATAAACTGAGTGACACAGTCTGTGCAACATAGACCTTCAGAGTTTGAGATGAATGGCTTGACTGCTTCAGCAAGGACTTCGTGTTTGTTTCAAGGCCTCTTTTTAGAGGAGAGAGGGAAAAATAAAAAAACTGCAGCTGCTGCCTATTAGGCGACTAAGAATTTTGATGTATTGGGCCATAAGGTGCAGATATTGCAGCTCATCTGTAAACCGTAACACAGTTTGTCGGCTGGCTTTTTAAGAGTGTGCAAAGAAGAAGAAACAAAAATTATCAACCAGAACAAACACTGGAAAGATCACATTGAATGTAAATGTGAAAAATGGGCAGGAAGAGCTATTGCACAAATAAAACATGAACAAAGAAATAGGGAAAGAAAACGGTTAAAAAAAAATTTAATACATGAAAATGAATAGAATGCCAGCTGAACACTGGTCCCTGCAGGGGTGATAAGACCAAAATTATGAATGATTTCCAACTATTTTTTAATGTTTGATGGTGAGTTTGAAATTAACCCTTTCAGGCCCAGACAGCTACTTAAAGACATTCTTACCAGAAGTGTTTGTAATTTTAGAGTACTAATATTTTAAGTGTTTAGAGTAATGATATTAAAGTATTTAGAGTACTGATTTTATGAGTCTTTAGAGTACTGATATTTAAGTCTTTAGAGTTCTAATTTTAAGTCTTTAGAGTACTGATATTTAAGTCTTTAGAGTACTGATATTTAAGTCTTCTGGAATTGAAAAAAAAAACAACTTTAAGTCGTGGCAGTAATTGGGCGAGAATAGATTAGAATAGCACAAGAATGAGATGAAAAGAGCTTTGAAATATACACCTTGTTTAAAGCTACAAAGATACACATGGAGACCCACCTGTGACTTGAATAATTAAATCTCTGCTAGTATCTATGATTACTGTTATATTTATATTTACGTTTATAATGACGTTTGATTACTGTCTTTATTCCAGGTTCATGGAACCAGCTGTGATCACGTTGGCTGGAGGAGTGCTTCCCTTCGGCTCAATCTTCATCGAAATGTACTTCATCTTCACCTCATTCTGGGCCTACAAGATCTACTATGTCTATGGCTTCATGCTGCTGGTCTTCCTCATTCTCGCTGTAGTTACCGTTTGCGTTACTATAGTTTGCACCTACTTCCTTCTAAATGCTGAAGACTACAGATGGTAAGTTGTTGTCGGCGAATGACATAGGAATTTAAGTGTTTAAATCTGGGAGACTGAGTTGGTTGACTATATCAAGCACCACACAAGATTTAAAAAGATAATAGCAGAAGACATGGGGTCAAGAAGGAGGGCTGATTAATGCAAAGATGGGCACAGGATGTAAGTGACACGTTGGGTAGGAAAGGGCACAAGGTGGAAGATCTGGAAAGGGACTGAGTTTCTTTCAGGCACTCTGTAGTGAGAGTGATGTTCTGCAAAGGAGCTGCTACATGATGATGGTGTTGGATATGCGAGACCGACATAGTTATATGACGGATCATCCTGTTACATCTTTATCCATTTATTCCTTGTGTAATTGGTTTCCATTCTCAGTCTATCCTGCTTCATATGTCAACTGAAAGTATCCATTCTGTGTTGGTTTACTATTCTTCATAAGCTCCATGCAGTCTGTGCTTGGTTTGCTACACCCACTTTTGACATGGTGCTCTTGCAGTTTGATCAAAGTTGACAAGTCACAGTTTATGAGTGATACGTACATTCTTTTCTTAACCATAGCATTTTCAAGTGTGAGGTAGATAATTTCTCACTCACAGATTTGCCATTATGTGGACAAGGAAGTTAACATTTTCACATGATCTCAACCTGTTCTACATAGTTTTGCTTGTTTGTTTGTGTGTGTATGTGAGTGCGTCCGTGTGTGATGACCAGTGTTAATACAGTGACCAGCATTTTTCTTGCCTGCCAGCCCAGTGGTCATTGTTTTAACTCTTTCAGGATGGCATTTTTCTGGAGTTTGGACATAATTAATTGAGCTAATTTTTTTTTACTGCAACGTGTCAAAGCTAAAAGCTTTATGGAAAAAAATTAAGTATTGACTGTATAGTGGTGTATAATATATGCTGTTTTGGTCATACCTGTTTCATGCTTACAGCTCTGTCTACAGTGGACCTTGAAGGCTTGAAAGCTGCCATTTTAGGAAAATCACAAAAATAAATTGTAACACTGATTTAATTTAAAACAAATTGGAAAAGTAATGCATTCACCAGGTCATGCTTGAATGAGAGTACTTCGTTTCACTAATCCTAAATTTTTAAACATGTTACACAAACTTATTTTCACAGCAAACGAAAAAATTCTTGATCTTCTATGTCCAAAGCCACTTAGTGGCATTATGTCCAAACCTGGTGGATTCAGCCGTCTCTAAGTGGCGATACGTCCCTAAAGAGTTAAATTCACATCAGAGGTTTTAACGAATAATGACTTGGGTCCCCACATCGACAGACACATGTTACTGAGGTTATGAGTTGGGTTATCACAACACTCCGGACACAGTTACTGGGGTTTTGAGGTGGGTTATCACAGCACTTTTGACACAATTACTGAGGTTGTAAGGTTGGTTATCACAACAATCCAGACACAATTACTGAGGTTGTGAGGTGGGTTATCACAACACACCAGACACTTCTTTCATCTAAAAAAGTTGCAGCCAACTAGCATCTTTCAGAGAAGTGGATAATCTTTATATCTGACTGAAATCTGATATTAACACCTTGTAACATTGTGATTTTTGTTTCCCCCAGGCAGTGGACCAGTTTTATGGCAGCTGCCTCTACGTCTGGATACGTGTACCTCTACTCCTTCTACTATTTCTTCTTTAAAACAAAGTAAGGGCTTTGTGAGCATGTCTTTATGTTTTGTAACTTGAATTATTAGGTGCATAATTATAAAATTACCTTGTTCCCTGCAGAATTGTCTTGATGTTTGTATTACAATCTATTTTAGAATTTTAGTAATTTCATTATTCTCAACTCACATTTTCATTGATTATTAATATCTGGTTAAGTATTTCAGTGTTTCTTTTCTGTTAAATCCAGTTCTGTTTGCAAATGTTGGTATTGCACTGTTGCTTAAGTTTTAATTGTCAACATTAAATAGGGTCTAACTTGTACATCCATGTTTTGGTTTATTATGGTTCTTCATCTCAGAGATTACTAAAATCTAGCCCCACTGTTCAGTTTTTATGTTACAGTATAGTAGTTTTTAATGTCTCTAATTTAAAGTGTTTCATCCTTTTAATATTGCTATTATAGTTTGCGTTAGCTGTTCAGTGTTCTTCAGTGTAACTGTTAGTTTAGCAGTGCTGCTTTACTATATTAATTAACTTTTTTTTTTCGAAAGCTAAATTTATAAACTGAGTCCCATATATTTCAGTGCCACTCTGCAGTCAGAGTGTTTTACCAGTGTTTCTTACAGCATAGATTTATTATTCAGCAATGCTGTTACAATGAAATAAGAACTAGGTTTCAACTTAGGCACTATACTTTAACTGAAAGTTTGAATTATACACTAGAGCTTGCCGAAAGATGGAAGCACAGGCGACTTTTTTTTAAAGAGAAACCTCTCTTTGTAAGGCCACATTCTAGTGCTGCATCTGCAACCAGGAGATGCAAGGGCAGAGAATGAAAGAAGAGCATTCACTGTGTTGGGAAACATTCTGGAGATAAAAATAGAATAGTTGTTTACACTTCCACACATGCTTAGTATGTTGACCTGTACATTTAAGAGCAAATACAATTTATTTAGGAGTTACATTATCATCATCAATTGCCACTTCTGCCATTAAGCATTGTGGGGAGGAAACAGTTTGTGATCCATTACTTGGTGGGCAGCAATGGCTATAGTCATTCCGTGTCGATGTAGAAGCTCTTTAATGTTATCAGTCCATGTTCTCCTAGGGTGGCCTCTTGATTTTTCTTCAGAACTCTTCATGTGTAGTGCCTGCATTGGTAGATGTTTTGGCTGCATTCTTACTAAATGACCAAACCATTCGATCTTCTGTTCCTCAGTGAACTTGCTGCATGTTGTTGTTTCTTCAGTCTGTCTGATAATATTTCTAACTTTGTCTCAGATGGTTAAGTAGGCAGCTTTTCTCAGGCATCTTATTTCACAAGTGTTAATTTTACGTAGGTTAGTCCTTGATAATGTCCAGGTCTGGCACTGGCAGCACAGTGTTGATATGAATATGCTGTTTATAATCTGTTTCTTGATGCTCATACTTATGTTTGAATGTCTTAATAAAGGTGTAATTTGGTTTAAGTGCACTGGCTTGTTGGCATCTTGTTTCTATTTCCTGATCTATTCTTCCTTCCTCTGAGAATTTACTCCCTAGATATTTAATTTCTTTAACTTGCATCAGATAAGTACAATTCAACCCTTTATATGTAGCGGACTAGGAATTCTGCTGACCTGCATTACAGTTTTAGTAGTATTTATTTTCACGTTATATCTTCTGAATGTTGAACTTAGCCTGTTCATAATCTTGCTAAATTGTAGTCTTGTCATAGTATGAAGGAGGGAGATTGAGGGTGGGGGGGGGGGGGGTGGAGGAGGAGATAACTTAGGGGCCCTCAAAATAGATTTACCTCATAATTGTAATGGGAAATTTGCAAGGAGCATAACATAGCTAATGAGCAGTCAGGAAGAAACATTTTTTTATCATTGATCTTTTCAGAATGTATGGGCTGTTTCAGACGGCTTTCTACTTTGGGTATATGGCTATGTTTAGCTTAGCCTTGGGAGTTATGTGTGGTAAGTTACTGAACAAATTTACCTTCATTTATGTTTACACGCATGTTACTAAGGTAATGAGATGTGTTCTCCTTACATCACTGTCAACATATGTTTATTTAGTGATGAGTTTTGTTCTTCTCACAGCACTGTGGATATATGTTACTGAGGTTATGAGTTGGGTTATCACATCATTTCAGACACATGTTACAGAGGTAATGAGTTGGGTTATCACAACATTTCAGACACATGTTACAGAGGTTATGAGTTGGGTTATCACATCATTTCAGACACATGTTACAGAGGTTATGAATTGGGTTATCACAACACTTCAGACACTGAGGTTATGAGAACACTTAAGGCACATTTGCTGAAGGTATTACCTGTGATCATAGTAAGAATAGTTTCAAATACACCGCAATACAACACTGTGATAGGGCAAACCACATTGATGTCACAAGAGAACAAAGTAGCAATAAAAGATCAACAGACATTCAGACATGTTGAGACTGGGTACACATTACACTGAGAGCTGCGTTTGTGTAGCGGCTGGATGCTCACCTGCAGTCCTAGAGTTCTAGGGTTTTAAAATTGACCCGTCTCCCAGATAGGCCCACCATTAAATTGATACCAGATAATGTCATAGAAAGTAAAGGCAACCGGTGTGATGTCACCATATCACCCATCAAGAGCCAATTCGTCTAAAAAATATAGGTTTATCTGCTGAAGCACCAAAGGCAGGAAAATGGTTCTTTACTTTGCTTACAATCCACACAACAGATTGAAATTAATCACATGAGGTTGGTATATTGTCTCCTGATCCAGACATATTTAATTGGACACCTAGCTTTTCGGGTTATACTTCTCAGGCACAATATTAGGAGCACACATGCGCATGTATTAACAAACCAAGTGAAGTTAGAGATTAAAAAAAAAAAAGCTATACAAACCACTACCCTGTCAGTTTCATAATAATGACACCTGTCCACAAAATGTATGAGTTTCTGATGCATACACATCAGAGCAGTCATCTAAGGAGTTTGTGCACTGTGTGGAAAACTTCCCTTTATAATCTGAAGGGTAGATAGAACAACAGATAAAGGACAAATTGATAACTGACACTTCCGCCTCACTTCAACACTGTGGAAGGCTAATCTAGTCACTTCCGGTTGTGGCGTAGCTCTGTAAGTGCCTGTATATTGCCAATGTCTACAGCGACCTGGTCTCAGAAAGCTTAGTTAAATGCCACTGGTTTTTGTGTCCACCTGTGTAGTGTTTAGGAGGTCCAGATTGTGAATATATCAGCTAAATAAAGCATTTAGAGGAGTTTCCTTGTGATTCCAATAAGGTTAGTTGCATATCCTTTACAGGAAGTTGCAGAACCAACCCCAGCAGCACCTGGCTGTTGTATGGTTTCTCTAGGCATATTTATATCCAGTAGTTTGCCATTGCTTCTGGACAGTCGTCCTCCTGATACCACTGTCGAAACCAACACAAGGCGCATGGCCCGCAGCTGGGATCGAACCCGGCATTACAAAGCGTTCGCATCGACTGAGCCTTAGAGCCGACGTGAATCCAATGTTTTTTTTAAAAACCGTATTCCTCAATGAAAAAGGTCACAGGGTCACAACATGTTTAGATTTGTCTGTTTAGGACTTAGTAATTTATGTAATGCTCATATTGTTTCCATTCTTGAAAATCTTAAGAGCATTGAACTGATATACTAATTGCTGTTGAGAGGCAGGCAGTTAAAATAATTAAGTGTTGACTGAATTAGCAACCTTGGTCAAGAACATCAAGTTTTGTCTCATATCCCGATTTATGAGGCTGGATCTAGTCAGAATATAATCCTTCTGCTTCTTAGGATTTTATTAGATGGTTATCTTCTTAATTCCAACCCTGTGCTACCAGTGCCAAACATGGTCACTCACAACAAACCAGAAAAGAAAATTAGTAACCATGGAAATGAGATGCCTGAGAAGGACTGCAGGAGCGACCAGAAGAGATAAAATAGGAATGAGGTAATAAGAGGGAAAATCGGCACAGAACCAATTCTAAATTACATACAAAGATAAGTCAGAAGGTTTGCTCACTCAGAATGCCTTATGATGCCATTCCATACAAGGCCTACACCGAACGAGGAGATGGATGGACGAAGAGCACAAAATGACAAGATAACATCTGAGGAACTCTGCAACAGCACAATGTGTCTATGGTCGAGGCGGCCAGAAGAGGACGATGCAAAACCTTAAATCTGCTCTCGCTCAAAGCAGTAAAAGAGGAGGTGAATAACAATCTTTTTTTTCCCACTTTCATTGTCAAAAAGGTAGTTGACCCCTGTTGTGGTTTATGGATAATATACCTTTTGGCCCAGCACATCTGATTGCAGTAGATGTTTAAGTAGTCAGTCACCTTTAGTCACAACATGCTTATCCCCCATGCGTGGGTTCTGGGCAGTGTTGTAACTTTTCTTTGACAAAAACATCCAAAATGGAGTCCAAAAATATCTAAAAACATCTAAATTTGCATAGAAAACATCTAGAAAAAACATCCAAATGGAAAGAGTCACAAATTACATAGCAATTGATATGACTTACCCTATAGAATCATGTCCTCATCTTTACTGAAGACTGCCTTACAAGATCCACAGGATAAACTTAGCTTGTATGATGAAGTTGAAGCTTCAGATCCAAAATGACTGGTATGCTTTAGCTGTTCCAATTTCTTTTAATACCCAATCAGGGAGCTGATAAGTTGAACAGCCTTTTCCTTCTCTTATCAGGCAAAATTTTATTGTCAAGATAGCATTTAAGAGGTCAAATTTCATCCTGTTTCTTAGGTTAGATTTGATAAATTCACTCCAAATGAAAAGCAACTAGAAAAACATCTACCATCTAAACATCAAAAATGCCATCTAAATGCAAGGAAAAACATTTAAAGTCGCAACACTGGTTCTGGGGACCATTATAGAAGAAAACAAAAGAATATATCTGCTGCCTTTCTAACAAGCATGTCATTAGAATAGACTAGTTAGAGGTTTGCTTCGAAGTCAGAGTGCATTTGCCTGAGAGGCAAGGAGCCAGCAGTCTGCTTACAAAAAAGCCAGATCTGTAAAATGGATATGCACACAAAACTCAAGTTCTGAAACAAGACTTAAGAGTCCAGAAATGAACAAACAGCCAGAACTTTCCGCCAGAGTTTAAAGCCAGTGAACGTGGAGAAGAGAAGAAGAAAACATGGTTGTTAAGGTGCAGTATGTCCCCCCCCCCCCCCCCCCCCCCCCCCCCCGGTGCCAGGACGCACATGGGCAAGTTGGTAACCTAATTTGAATGTTTACTTTCAGGTACAGTTGGTTATGTTGGAACAAGTATATTTGTGCGTAAAATATACTCTACAGTCAAGATTGATTAAACTGCAACATGGGCGTGGTGGTAACTCAAGGCTGGTGAACATTTTATTTGATGACTGGAGACTGTATGAGTTGTGTTGAATGGAATCACATGTCTGAATGTTACTGAGTGCAATAGTGGCAACCAGTTATTTGTTGACACTGGAACCTGAACCAAGATGGTGGGTAGTTTGTAGAACCTGGTTGTTGACTATAGGGGTTGTAGTGATGCTAGAAATGTCAATAAATCCAGGGTTGGCAGTGTAGATTGTCAGCTTTTAAAAAAAAAAATCTTGTGTAAAGCTTATTTCCAGAATCAGTGGAAATAACTGGACATTTTTTAATTATGCAAACTTCAGCAAACACCAGTGCTGGTTCATTTGTGCATATTTTAAGGTGTTAAGATTCTCTGTAACTACATATGAGAAACTACATAGTATATATGTGTGTATGTATATATATATATGTATATATATATATGTATATATATATATATATATATATATATATATATATATATATATATATATATATATATAATATATATATATATATATATATATATATATATGTATATATATATATAAGTATGTATATATATATATATATATATAATAAGTATGTATTGGGGCCAGAAAAAAAAATACTTCAAGGACACACTAAAGGCATCATTGAAAACCTTCAGTATAAACCCTGACACCTGGGAGGCTGCAGCATGAGACTGTACTTTATGGCGCACATATATCCGAATTGGTGCAGCGATCTGTGAGGCATCTAGAACAAGGGCAGCTGAACAGTAAAGATAGGCCAGAAAGAACCGTCAAACAGGCCCTTTGTCTACAGACACTGCCCTGCCCTCATTGTCTCAGACTCTTCCGGGCAGGTATTGGACTTCAAATCATCTCCGGACTCATAAACAACTGCAGTTTCATGACGGATGAAAAAAGTGGTCCTCATCACTTTTGATGGACGAACGATGTATATAAATATATATAAACAAACAGATATACAGTGGGTGGCTGCACCCCAAATGTCAGACGCATCCTTGAAAAAGACAAAACAAATTGCTTTGAGAAAACCTTAAAAAGCTCCAAATAAGATGGGACAATTTTGCTATGACCCCTACAAACTCCCCCCCCCCCCCCCCCTTTTCTGCAATTAGTATACAATTTAAGAATGCTTTTGTTTTGACAACACAGTTAAGTGCATGTTGCTATGTTGCTGGACACATCAGCTACTTACTTGTTACTGATACAGACAGCATGTAGGGCATGGCTATTCACCTGGCGGCCAAATTACCTAGTAAGTCTCCTACAGATCATTGTATTGTTTTAGTGATCTTTTTATGCTGGGTCTTGGTACACTGGTTCAGGACGATCCCCATTTTCAACATTTTGGCCCTTGGGTAAATTTAGTTTAATATCCCTGATGTAGGAGATATGTGAATTCTTGGTCTGTGTCATTGACTGATGGCTGTTCTACATTTCTTGTATCCAAGATTTTATTGCCAGTAGGTTTCTTCTTTTCTTTTGTTTTGATGACCTTTGCTTTAACTCTTTGAAACGGAGGCAGATTAGCATCAGAGGCCCAAGGAGTAGTCAAGAGAAATGTAAAATCGGCGCTCGTGCGTTTTTTTGGCTTCTAGGTAGGAACCTACAAGGTCCGACAATTAAGTAATGAGACTGATTTTATTATGGCCTAGACAAAAATGCCATCTATGCAGCAAAGCAGGGAATCTAAGGAGGCTACATTCATTGATGATTTGACTACTTGTCATCACTGCTCGATAAGCAGACAACAAACAAACAAGCCGCCATTTTGTTGACTTAGTCAGAGGTGCAATGTTATGTAATCAGCAAGCACCAAAAAGCTAACATTAAATTCTGTTTAAAACTCAGAAAAAAGCGCCATTGAAACAGTTGAATCGATGCAACAAGTTTATGGGAATGATTGTTTAACTCGTGCACACATTTTCAGGTGGTATTCACGATTCAAAAGTGGTGTGGAAGTGATTACTAATGCACCTAGACCTGGATACCAAATTTCTGTTCCTAATGATAAACTCATGCAAAAGTGAGAGAACTGATACAAGTAGATCATTATTTTACTGTGAGGATGATGGCAGATGAGTCTGGTATTAATAGCGAGACCATTCATAACATTTTAGTGCAAGATTTTGGCAAGAAAAAAGTTGAGAACCCAAGAGACATCATCAAAACAAGAATTTTAGCCCAAAAACAAGTGTGTGTGTTCTCAGCCTTCCACCCTATTCCCCAGATTTGTCTCCCTGTTAATTTTTTCTATTTCCAAAATTAAAGTTAGGATTGAAAGGACACTTCTTTATTAATATTGATGACATCCAAAGGGCCATAACATTGACTTTAAGGGCCATAACAACAGAAGAACTACAGAGGTCATTCCAGTGTTTGTTAGATCATGCCATATGCTGTATCAATGCACAAGGGGCTTACTTTGAATCAGATACAGGATATATCTTGAACTGTTGATTATTTTAATTTGTATGGAATTAGTCTCATTACTTAAGTATCGGACCTAGCATTCCTTGGGACTCAAAAAGAGTTACAGTCTGTTTGAGTGGTAAAAAGAGATCCTTTGAGTGAAAAATATATATTTATTTTTGATTAAGGTAACTTTGAGTCAGTAGCAGTTTTATTTTTGCTGTATATTGCTATTAATATGCGCATCTGTGTGCTGTGAATAAACAGTCTCTTGCTACTGAATGATTGTTTTTGTGCCTGATTATACTTTCTTTGATGAATGTCAGCAACCTATAACTTTTGTTGTCTATTTTTTTTGGGTTACATATCTTGCTGATCTTTCAAATTCATCATTTTATGGAGTTATTTATTTCTGTTTACTTTCTATTTTCATTTGTGCTTTATCTGTTTTTTTCTTTAGTCCCATTTCAGAAAATAATATTGAACACTTCAGAGATGTAGCATTATCTGTTCAATTAGTGACCATTATAGGACACACTGAGGAAAAAACCAAGGAGAGAAGAACTAGAGAATGAAGTGGCATAGATGGGGGGACATGGGTTGACCAGTACACAGTGGCAAAAGTTAGGGCGACTTGGCTCAGGTCCCATGCTCCAATTGGGGGATAAAAGGCAGAACAAAACACACACTAATTGAATTCTGTCAAGCACATTTATGGATATGGTCTCTTTCTTTGTACTGGTTAAATCGGAGATCACTAATTTTTACACGGTTATCATTAATTACAAGCTTTTGTTTGTGGTTAACTATTTCAGTTGTCATAATACGCAAAAATAGAGACTATCCTTAGGGTTTGAGCCTTTAATGGGATGTCATACTACATTGAGTGTGTTTGTTCAGATGGCTATTAACAACTCCATACCCTTTGGGTTGCTGAGAATTTCTTCACAGTTCACTTCTTGATCAGATGAGGAGCATATCATGAGTTTTTGCCCAAGGGCATTCTTTGTACTGTTTTGAGCAGGCTGATAAGTTATCTGCTGCAGGTGCACGGGGCGCTGAGCTGCTTTATGATAAAATGAAAGGGGACAAGGCATTCTGGGATCAAGTAGACAGTCTTTTTAGCTTCTTTACATTCATCATAAGTATGCTTTGGGCATCTTGATTTGGTTGTTCAAAAGAAGTCCTAAAATAAAATATAAATATATCTGTATTGTTAGTCACATTTTGTTCAGTGGTAATCCATAGGATATTTTCTTTTAAGTGCAGAAATTATCATCATCACACTAATGTGAGAATGGAGGAAATGTTGAAATCAATAATCATTAGCAAGGAAAATCAGGATAAGACACATCCATTAAAAACAATATCGGGGTGTTCAAAAATAATGTTGGCTTAGGGATTGTGAATGTGATTTCTAGTTACAGAAAAGTTCAGTTAAGCTGCAGGTAATTTGGCAGCTATTCATTTTGCATTGATTTCGACCATGATAGGAAGCGCTGAACATGAACATTCAGACAGCAATGGCAGACTGCTGATATAAAATTGTTTTTAAAATAAATTGACATAAAATTAAAGACAGGCAACAAGTTCTGGAGTTGGTTTGCAGTGTTCTATAAAGAATACATAATTAACTTTTATCAGAGAAAAAAGAAACATAGTTATATGATCGCAGCAATAGTAAAGGGATTTATGAGTGTGGGAATGCAGTTGATGATGTGTGGGTTGGGAAAGTGTTTGAAAGTAGCCACTAAAAGTAACCAGCCTTGCTGTTGACCGAGGAAGCAGTTTAATAACTTGATGCATGTTGAGTGAGTGAGTGAATGCTAATGACAATTTATTCCATCTATTGTCTATGGTCTGCAGTAAGGCTTGCAGATATTTGGGATATTTATTTGCTTTGTGCTGGTGGTTAGAAATACTTCAGCCTGTTGGTGAGACTCAGATCTCACAGTGAGATGTGTCGTTGAATACAATGTTTACAGATATTTTTCCTAGAAGGTTTTCGGGTTCATGTTTGTATTCTAATTCATCTAGCAATTTATTTGGTTTCTTTTCTCTAAGCTGTTATCTTCTACTCTATTATAAACTTAGAAAATATATATCTCCTGAGAATATATAACTTATTTACCATAAAATGTGTAATGTCTTGAGGCCTATTTGCTGTGTCACCAGTTTTATTTTTTTTCCTGTTCTGGAACAATTTCTGCCCCCATAGCATCTGCTGTGTTTTAAAACTTACAACATTATTTCCTTGTGAAATCTCTGCTCCTTTGTTTGAATCTGCTTGTAAAATCTACTCAATTTTTGGCATCTGCTTGTCAAATCTACTCCTTTTTTGGCGTCTGCTTGTAAAATCTGCTCCTTTTTTAAACATTTGCTTGTAAAATCTTTGCTCCTTTGTAGGTGTCTGCTGAGTCTTGCTCGCTTTACCTGGGGCCTACTTTTGCTGACATGCAGTGTGCTGCCTGGGGTTTAGTTTCTTTTAAAGAGCTGATATCAGAGCACTTGAATTTTACCTAAACGGTACGTTCCCCCATCTTCAGCAGCCAGCATGGATTCCA